TACCATACAGAACCAACCATTCCATTATCTCTCTGTTTTTCACAGCACTCGCTATCAAATTAAGCGTATAGCTGCTGAAAATGACCTTTCATCTTGAGAGGTCTTTTCTCGCAATAGCTGCTCTTCTTTCCTTTTATATTTTTCTACTTTCTTACTATCGTACCAATTTTGTTTTTCTTTATATTTTCTTACACTAAATAATTGTCGAGCACCTCTTTTAACGCCAACATACATACTCTAAGTGTTAGAACTGAAAAATTCATATGAAAATTGTGTACGACGTGTGAAAGACAACATTTACTATTTACACATTTTTTCGCCACTACCCTTAGTAGACTGTGTTCTTTCGAGCTTTACTCCTTAAAATAGACTAGTTTACTTGACATATCAAGCTAATTAAACTGTATTTTGACTTAATTTTAGAAATTTTTTTTTGGTCAAGATACATCCCGAAAGAGACTCAAAATACTTTTAGAACCAAAAAGTGCCATAAAAGCAATTTTCAGATAGCCATTGTACTTAGGATACTTGATTCAATACTCTAATGACATTAGACTCACAAGGATTACAATATGGTTTCCCTCGAAGATTAAAACTATAGCGTTTTAGTTATAGGAATAATTCATTTGTTCTAAGTAGCAGTAACTTTTTCTCTCAACTGAAGACATATCAACACATATAGGGTACTATAAAGCTCATTACATACCAAATGTGCATCCTTTCTTTATTATGTTTGGTTTAAATATACGATAAAAAGCCAATCTCAATGCCTAGTACTTTCTTCATAAACAATTAGAAAACAATAAATACTATGACTAAACATAAGAATGAGACAATCTACACTTGAAAAAAATTCGTGTTGAAAAAATAAGCAAAAATCAAATTCTAAAAATCAAGCAGAGAGATACGTAAATTAGATTATAAGAAAGAGCAGAGAATAGAAGGGAGATAAAAGTGAGAGATAAATCAGTAACAGATGTTAACCAGTATATGTAAAATACTTACACCTCCTCTAGAGCCATGCATCATGGTAGACTAGGAAATATTGATATGTCTATATCAATGGGCGTAATACTATTGGTATGGTCGTGTAAAGCCATTTATCAAGACTCAAGGCTAGTTGACTCTTGTTCTGAAGAACGACAGAGAACAACAATCAAGGAGTGGGTTGTCTGTTTATTTTTCTTTGCGCTATGCTATCTTCTCATTACGTGCATACTACTACACGCTTGGCTAACCAATTCCAAAAGCTGTATCATCAAGTGCTAATTTTTTTCTATTTATATTATCTTAGAATAAACATCTCAACAAATCATCAACAAAAAACTGAGCGCGTTAAAGCATCATCTTGGCATATTAAAGGGCTTGGATCATAATATCTTTTGCTGAGTTTGAATGACAAAAACTGGACTAATTTTTTTTTCGGGTCAATGTACACCAAACGGAAAAATTATTCGCGCATTTCTGAAAAAAAGATGTGCGTACTTTTAAAAAAATAAATCGCACAGAAAAAAAAAAGAAAATTTAGCGTAGTATTTGAAAAAAAAATTAGCATGCTTGTGTATGCGCAAAATGCGTGAGTTTATTAAATAGGTCTGCGTTGAAGGCAATCTTCAAATTTGGCAGCAGAGTATCTACAGAAGCCTTTAAGATCACTGTACAAAATTCTATTGCAAGCATCTGCAATTCTCGAAGTCAATGTCTCCTCTTCCAAAAGCTGTTCCCTCTTGAGTTTGCTTTTGCAAACCGACCAGAATTGCTCAATGGGATTAAGCTCAGGCGAGTAAGGGGGGAGGTACACGCACTTATAGCCTCGGCCCTCAATGAGATTCTGAATATCTTGATGCTTATGAATAGGAGCATTGTCCATGATCAAATAATGGCCACGGAATTCCTCATGACGATCCATGACATCCAAAACACAACTGATGAAATTGAAGTAATGTCCAGTAACTGTACCATTGTTACTGGCCACTTTTGCATTCGAACCTCCTGCTGCTTTTCTTTTCTTTGATGAGGGTAATGCTCTTGGTCTTCTTACACTAATGTTAACAACACCAAAAGGCGAGATGGCACCCAAAATGGTAGTAGTTTTTGCTCTTGTTTTGGGCACTTTCACGATCGCACGCTCGCCTTCTTTGGACCAAGAGAAATTTCTCTTAAGGTTGATATGGAAAGCAGCTTCGTCAATGAACACACAGTTGCTAGTGAAGTCCATATCTGTTTTCATCCATCTCTTCACCCACTGATAGCGCTCTTCGATTTTTTCAGGGCTGTTTCTCTCGAAAGCTTGTAAACGAGCCTGCTTGAAGGTAATCTTACACTTATCCTTGACAAACTTGTTGAAACCGCTTTTGCTGATATCGAGTTTGCCAAATTTTTCTGTCAATACGTCAAGCATGTCGTCCAATGTAACGGAATTTGTGTTCTCGTCTGCCCATTCGATCATGAAATCTCTGTGCTCATCAGTTAAAATGGGCGGTCTGCCTACAGGTCTTCCACTGCCTGTAGCCCTTTGGATATACTCCTGAGGATCTTTGTTGTTCTTGGCTACCCAGCCTTGTGCCGTTCGAACATTAATGTTGAGGGCCAAGGCAGCAGCACGAACACTCATTCCTTTTTCTTCGACAAGAAAAAAAGCTTTTCTTTTTCAGCATCCTTGTAGTGCTTATATGCTTTTGTTCTCGCAGGTGTTTGCTTCAGCTCTGCAGGTAACTCAGCTTTCTTTTCGATCCCTCTCTCGGGAGGCTTTAAATCTGTGTATCTATCGTAGTCTGTTACGCTTTCGACTGGATACATCTCGTTGTCAATTTCCATTTCAAACTCTACAACTTCGTTTCCTTCAATGTCATGTTGGTTTCCTAACCCGTCTTCAAAAATAATGTTATTCTGTTGAATATGCTAATTTTTTTTCAAATACTACGCTAAATTTTCTTTCTTTTCTGTGCGATTTATTTTTTTAAAAGTACGCACATCTTTTTTTCAGAAATGCGCGAATAATTTTTCCGTTTGGTGTACACTATTTCCCGAAGCTATTGGCACACTTTTTTGTGATTTAGTACACTTTTAATTTTAAGTTCAGCACAGATAAAAAGAATATTTTGGCACAGGTTATTTGACACAAAGTGTGCCAAACTTAAAGAGGTTCTTTCTTGAGACAAGTTTCAAATTTTGAAGCTGAATACCTGCAAAAGCCTTTCAAATCGCTAAAGCGAATATCGTTGCAAGCATCCGATATTCTACTGGTGAGTGTCTCATTGTCTAAAAGACGCTCTCTTTTCAACTTGCTCTTGACAGTTGACCAAAATTGTTCAATTGGATTGAGTTCAGGAGAGTAAGGTGGAAGATAAACACAACCATAGCCACGACTCTCAGTATACTTTCGGATGTCATCCACTGTATGAATTGGAGCATTGTTCATTATAATATAATGCCCTTTGAATTCTTCGTGCTTATCCAAAATGTCAAGAGTACAGGCAATAAAATTAAAATAATGGCCAGTAACCGTACCAACCGTCTTTTTGGCCTTCAAATTGTTTGCTTTTCTTTTCTTTGAAGGCGCTACTGGTCTTCTCACTTGAATATTAACAACGCCAAAAGGTGAAATAGCACCCAGAATCGTTGTTGTTTTAGCTCTTGTTGTTGGTTGAACAGCTTCCGTACGAGTCCCTTTCTTTGACCAGGCCATCGTTCTTTTCAAGTTGATGTGAAATGCCGACTCGTCAACGAAAACACAATTACTTTCGAAGTCCAAATCAGTTTCAATCCATCTCTGGACCCATTCGTAACGCTTGAGAATGCTTGAGGGTGGGTTCCTTTCTTTTGAATGAGAATAAGCTTTCTCAAATGACAAAGCGCACTTCTCAGTCATGAATCTATGGATTGAAGTCTTAGAGACTTTCAAATCTTTAAATTCATTTATCAGACTCTCCATAGCCTGATCTAAGGTTGCTGAAGGGAAATCCATAAACTCTTTTCTAAGAATTGCTGGTGCTCTTCGTTGAAATTGCTTGGCCGACCTGTCTTAACTTTGATTTTCTCTTTTTTATCACTCTGCTCCTTCTGATCTTTCTCAAACCAGTTGTAAGCAGTACGTCGAGCGATATTAAGCTGCATGGCTGTTTTACTAAGTGTCAGGCCTTTTTCATAGACTAAGTAGAAGAATCGCTCCTTGGCATCGCTACTGCACTTAACATACAATCCTTTGCCAGAAGTTTCTGTTGCCTGAATTTTTTTGTTCCTCTCGCTTTACTGCTTCGCGCTCAGGAGGCTTTAGATTTTAAGCATTGATCGAAGTTGGTGACGTTGTCCAAAGGATACTGTTCTTCAAAGGCTCATTTCCAAACTCATCAAAAACATCGCCTCTTCCATTTTCATAGTATACTCGAAGTAGAAACGTGCCAAAATATTTATCTCTAAATGTGCCAATAGTTTCAGGAAATAGTGTATAATTGAATTGACTGCATAAAACTGGTTGAAGCTCAGCGTGATGTACCTTTTGCAGGTATTATTTCTGATCCAAAATAAGCAACTCCGTTTGACATAAATAGATTATTTATCGGGCCATTTTTTAACTTATTCCTATCAGACTCAGCCTCTATTTCAAGATTGTTTTCATTCATCAGGCAAAGCCAGTACTACTTTCCCGGTCGATCTATATCTAAAAAAAGATAAAAAAAGAAACCTACTCCGACTATTTTTTTTTCTTCAGATAGAACATTTGAGATAACTAAAAGACTAAAGCACAGACGTAGGGCCATCATAAAGAAAGAAGTGTAAGGAGACATTACAATATAATTGACAGAAATGTATAATTTTGCTTCAATAAGATAGAACTTTTACAAACACCTCTTGGCATTGTAGTACCAAAAAAAGAGTGGACATTAAATCGATAAATAAGGCTTTATTAGCTAATTTTGTCAAATTATAACTATTTTTATATTAGTGTATCATATATTAACGTAAATCGCTTTACTTTTTGATCAAAAGAGAGAGAGGGGGTGGGGTGGGGGCTTATAATTTTGCTCTACACACTCCTTTTATAAATTTATTTATTCTTAATTAGGCTTATACCTTACCCTTGTCTCCTATTATACAGTACAAGGATTTTCATATAAATATTTGTCTTTCTTTTTTTTCTCTTTTCTTCTTCTCCTCTCTTCTTTTCTTTTTACTTTTCTCTTCCATTCTTTAGATGAAGAAGTCATTTTCATTCAAAAGCAAAAGAGCCACTGTGTTCATCTTGTTCATTATATCGACATTTATATACATCACATTACCAAAACACACAGCATTATCACTATTTCAGACATCCACGCTCATACAATCCTCATCCATCGCGTTAGATGACACAATCCTTGACATACCATCAGAACAAGAGAAATACTTAGCCTATTTACCGCACTCAGGCTTATCAAATCAACGGATTGAGCTAGCAAATGCGTTAATGATGGCTTATATGCTAAACCGGACGTTGATTGTACCTCCTGCATTTCTAGGTACGGTGTTTGGTTGGATGCCTCGACCATCACTTGAAGATCGCCTTGAGTGGCTTACGACACCTAAAAACTTTGCTAAGATCTGTCAGCGACCTACACCAGGCAAACTACCCAGTTATGTACAGCGCTCTCGATGTGCAGAGTATCGCCATTTTGGTACTATCCCCTGGACAGCACTTCATGACCTTGATTCACTCTCAGAGATCAATATCAAAGTTCAATCAGTGGTTTCCCTTAGCCAGATTAAAAAAGATCTTGGCCTGGAAGACCGTGATATTTATCTGCACCACGATACACAACTTTATGATTGGCGGCTATATGAGAACCAGACACAGGCACTTGATTTATTACAGAACAAGCTCAATTACTTTGATTCGTTTGGAGGAAGACGATATTATAAAGTCTTATTACCCCATCATTTCTCAAGAAGAACAGAGCGATTGTTGTATTTGGGCGGTATCTTTGGATCCTCTCGATTGAATCTAGTAAACCCTGAATACAAACGGATGAAACAAAAGATTAGACGAGTGCTCCACTATCGTCTTGATACTCCGCTTGGAGAGACAGTCAAGTCCATTGTAGACTATATGGGTGGCCAAGGTGCTTTTATGTCAATTCATTTTAGAACAGGCGACCGTCCCTTCAAGAATGAAATACCAGCCAACCTTGAAAGTTTTGTCCAGAGAATGACAAAAGCGGTCAGTCAACCAGACTATCGTTTTCGACAGGAGGAAGGTTGTCTGGCTATTGCTCAAGATAGCCAAGAGCATGCTGATCTCGTATCCATACCAGAAAAGCATATTAAAGTCTATATCGCAACAGACTATCATCATCCTCGCAATGAATACAGTGCACTCTTGCCTTGGTTTGAACAGTTTCCTTGTACAACTACCCTGAGCGATGTACCGGATTATTTATTTTCCCCTTTAGATAGCATTCGAGACATTGTTGTGCCTTCTAAGCCATTAAAGGGATTCCTGATCCCTATTATAGATGCTATGGTAGCGGCACACGGTAAAAAGATACTGACTACACCTCGCTCTACATTTTCAAAATACATTGAAGAATTGCACCACGCCTGGCTCTAATATTTATATATATCATAATAAATTTATTTAATTTTGTACATAGTATATTTATGCATCTGCAGCAATTAAAGCAACAATCATACGGTATAAGAAGTAAAAGAAGCACTATAGAGTATGATTAAATAGACATAGAAACACTAATACTTACAATCAAGTAAAAACCAAGCTTAATAAAGCATTCTTTCTTTTGCTGAGATAAAGTACGGAATATTTCGGTAGCATCATACATATGACGACCATTCATGACCCTAAGGATGGCTTAATCTCAGATAAAAAAAAACAAGACTGTAAACTTACTTTCTAGCATTAAATGCAACCAAAGGCAAATTCAAAAGTAAAGCCATCCAACTACCATTTACCAGGAACATAAAGAACAAGAAAGCATGTGCTCCCATTTCTGGTAAAACAAGCTATATAGATATTAGAGACATATTTTATCTTCTCTCTTTTTACCTGGTTGAGTTTATTGCAAAGATCAATAGGGTTGATATAGTCGCACTCGAGATCTGAAAACATAATGACCTATGTTTGCAAGTTAAACAACATATATTTGTGTCCATCTCTTTACAAAATACACCATCATGAACAAGAGGAGTGCAGACATGACAACTGCAAACAAAAATAACATGGCTTCACCGGGCATCATGGTTAGAAATGAGAAACTTGAAGAAAAAAAAAGCAAAGATACGCGTACTTTAAAAAAAAAATTTATTTAAACAATACGTTCGAGTTCTCTAGCATAACCTAATGTACGCGTAATAATTTGTTCCTGAGGAATTTCTACAATATCATTGTCTTCTGAACCAAAGTAAATCTTTTGTTCAGCAGGGTTCACTTTCCAACCGCGTTCAGATGCAAAATTCAACAATTCCTCGGTATTCTTTAAAAACAACAAGGTACTGGCATCGTTTAAGGGCAAATATTCATATGCTTTTTCACTGCAACTAGCAATTTCATGTCTACCATACGATAAGCATACATACGTCCCTCTTTTTTTTTGGCTTTTTTTTTTTTTTACCTGATAGTACTGATTAAAATATCATAGAAAAACATGAATTCTTCTCCTTGCACAGTACTTCTTGTGCTCCAGACTTTGTTATAGCTACCTTCCATCAAAAATTGCTCTAAAAAAGATTGAATAAATGCATTTGATATGTACAATAAAGAAGTATTACCTAAATCAACAGCTTGTTTAATGTATTGGTTGGATTGTAATTGATCAAGGTCAATAGATTCAAGTGCTGTATGGAAATCAGACAATCTGTTTTGTGATAACAATCGAAGTAAGTTGAGTCCAATAAGTGGATACATTTGATTTGATGGAGGAAGAACAGACCTATATCCCGCATCATCAATATATGCCTAGTTGTATTGTATTTCTGCTTACACAAGGTCATGATAGTATGTGTTGAGTTGTGCAATATATCTCTCAAATGATCCAATATCCTTGATACGAACACTATAATAAGCACCTGCTTCAAGAATATCACCTAAACAACAGGTTAAATACAGTACGCGTTCGAATCATGTTACGTACGTGCAATCACCAAGACATTAGGGTCTGTCTTTCCAGCTACAGGAACAAAAGCACCTAATTCAATCAAAGCAATCTATTCATTGAATAAGCACATATACCACACAATCAATCGAACTCACTTTGGCTTGAGTTAAATATTGGCCCACTTTTTGAAGGTTAGGAGAAGGAGAGCTGGTTTCGTTCTTGAGTTGGTCACGAAGAGCGTCTAATTGTTGTACTGTCATCATATCGATAATGTCTTGAGAAAAGAGAAAAAAGGACGCGCATGTTAGATGCACAAAATAGATACGTAATCGAAAAAAAGGGAGTCACAGGTAAGTCTGTATATGTGCTTATGGCTTAAGTATATTTTACTCAAGTAGTACGATATTCTCTAGGGAACGGCGCCCTTTTTCTTGAAAAATGAATTAATCCTTTATTAAATAAAGTGTATAAATAGTTATATATATATATATATATATGAATGTATAGAGAATGATAATGAAATATGTTTACAAGTGGGATACTCTGTTATAGTCAGAATGACTGACAGCTAACTCCATATCATCTTGTCCATTTAGAGCCTTCTCTACATCTTTGTCATCTACAATAGGAGGTAGCCCCATTATTCTTCGAGTCCATTGTTGAATTGATTTTCCCCAGATAACAGGCACAAGCGAAATAAATGAAACAATCAAGAGTTTCATGACAAGTGACACAGTAACGATATCTGAAGTCGAAGTCAAGTCACTCAAGACATCACCTGCTTGAGCGCAAACAAAGTTATAAGGCATCGAACCAAACACTGTAGACCAAAAGAAAGGCACGACAGGGATATCTAATAGAGGGGATATCAAATTAATAAACCAGTAAGGCGAAAAGGGAAATAAACGAGCAAACAAGAGCCACCAAAACAAGCCTCCTGAACGCCTTTCTTGTTCCAACTGACGGCTTAATGGCTCTGCCTTACGAGCAAACCAAGGTACTCGAATTAAAGGCTTGCCTACTAACATGGCTAATGCATAAGCAAGTGTGGCACCACTAGCTGTTAAGAAACTGGTCAACACAGCACCAGTAAAGATACCATAGAGATAACCAGCCAACAAATTGAGCAAGACAGAGCCTGGAATAGAAAAGGCTTGTTGCCATAGATACAAGACAGAAAACACAAAAGTGACAGAGCCATAGCCTGTCCAACTATTCTGTAATAGTTCATCCAAGTGAAGTGCTGTTGCTTTTACATCCTCGAGTGTACGTGGTAGCCCAATATCAAGAACAATGTGTGCCAAGGAAATGGAAAACACAAGTGATAGAATACCAATCAGCACAAAAATCAATAAGCGGGGGACTAATTGTTTCCAAGTAGGCATAGAAGCACTCTTGTCTGTTCGATAAATTACTTCATCATCACCTTCTATTCTATCCTCTAATTCGGAAAAATCATCTAAAAGAGCATTGTTCTCTGTTCCGACAAAATAATCTGCTGTATCTGTGCTTATGTGTGGACTCATTTGTTATTACTTATTTTTGCGAAAAGAGAAAGAAAAGAAGAAACACTTTATAGTCACTAAGTCATTTTTTTCTAAAAAAAAAAAAAAAAGCTTGATCGGACTTTTGGTAAAATTCTGCTGTTCGTTTTTAAAAAGTTCGGTCTAATCAGAAATAAATACGTCATTCTACAAAGCAACCTTTTTCTTCTCTTTTCTTATTTTTCACTTAGTCGTCCTTCACTTGTAATATGATCGTTCTTAAAGACCTACGATGATGAGCTCTCTGTTAGGAGAATAATTCAAGATGAGTGCCCTTTCGAAAACTAAAGAGACTATTGACTTGGTGCAAAAGTTTAATCATGTTAGATGTTAGAACAATATGTACTAGTCAGGAAATGTCTGTAAATAGATAGGGAAGAGTAAAAAGTTTTATGTTCAACACTTGTACACACATTGCATGTCTAGTTTCATGCAAAAGTACTTGCCCTGAAATAAAAAACAATCTTTTTCGTCTCTCTTATATCAATACTTGGGCTGACATAATTGAATTAGATAGAGGGACTTGCTTTTTTTTGGCTTTAAAAAGATAGTATTTTTAAGCAGGACCAAAGAAACGTATATTTCAGCTTATTATGCAATGCACAATGATACATGTTTATTATTATGATAATTACTTAAAAAGGATGTTGGTGGTTTTGAGGATCCATCATGTAAGTATTTGAATTTCTGGGATTATAATATTGATTGTTATCGTCTTCTGTTAGCATAAACTGATTCGGACTAGTAGGACAAGGGCTTGGAGGAAGAGGTGTATTGATAGCCATTTGGAATGAAGAGGGTGTTAGAGAGGGTGATCTTTGTAATTGCAAATTTTGCGTTTGCACTGTAAGTTGCGATGGAGGATTGGTGTGGATAAGACGAGGAGAAGAAGCAGTTGATAAAGGGGAGTTTGGTACAGAAGATTGTTCATTAATATTAAGATAAAAATGTTGTTGTTGCTGTTGTTGCTGCTGCTGTTGTTGATTGTCAGCAGAAGTAATGTAAATAGGTGGAGGTGGTCTGTCGGGATCTTGCTTTATTGTATCAAATAAATTTGTATGTACTATGAAAATAAAATTAAGATCAGATAAAGATGTACCTCACTTACATGCTGTTCCATATTGTTTAGTCATAAAATCCATAATGTCTTTCATCATTTGTTCTTGCATTATTTGCCGCTTTTTCGTCTCTGTTAATTCATTCATGACTTGATTCAGGTTTTCTTGAAGGCGGGAAATCTGCTGCATCATGTCTGTCTGTGACATTTGCATCATGGCCATATGCGAACTCATATCGTTGGTGTCTCTTCTCACTGAATCAGATTCTAATGCTTTTCTTTTAATCTCGTCTAGTAAATCAGGTCTATTTCTCAAGAACTTTGCATGCGAAAACTCCCATATTTGATTCTCTGCCAATGTACGATGTCCTCTTGGTGATTTATTCACTTTATGGAAACCATACCTAGATAGTTTAAGTAACAACATGATATGTATGATGCTTACATGTTGAGTTGTCGAACAAAACTACTGAAATTGTTGTGCTTGAAATGTTTGGGTAACACATCTCTCGAGAATTCAGTGATATTACAGACAATAAACGAAGTACCAGTGTATGTCCAAGCAATCAGATGTTGGTATTGTTTATCGACAACCATACTAGTCATGGATAGATATATGTATATATATATATAAATAACATATTTCTTACAATTAGATCATTTACTTGTATAGTTTATGTACAAAAGTGTTTCCACTACCAGGTTTTGTTGCAATAGGTGCTGCTGGTGAGGGAGGTTGAAGAGACATTTGTTGAGTGAATTGGTTCTGAAGTTGGTCCCAACTACTTTCGGGTCCAGTAAAGGAAGAAGGTGACCCTGCTGCTGGTGAGATTAAAGGTGAGTTCAGAGGAGAGGAACCACTACCATCACCACCACTTGAAGAACTATTTCCACTATATTGTGTATTAATGCCTAATGACGCCACAGGGTTGGAGTGTCCATTATTCATTATAAAGAGGATATTTAGAGAAAAAGAAAAGAAAATAACGGTTTCTACACACGCAAATACAGCAAAAATAAAGCGATAATGACTGACCAATCATGTGTTGTGTCTTCCATGTTTGAAAAAAAAAATTGATTAAACGCCGGACTTTGAGATGAATATGCAAGTCCCCGAGACATGCTGTTGAAAACAGGGCGTTGATGGTGTCAAGTGAAATTATATGTCATTATATTGGGTTTATTGTCATCGTACTGATAAAAAAAAAGGGGGGACATGGTATGTTTTATAGAGAGAATTAAAAGATGTGTTCTTGAGATACATATATACATATATAAAGCAATAGTCTATAAGCACATACCTTGGATCTATATACATATCTTCTCTTCGAGTCATTATTGTCTGGGATTGTTTCCCAATTTGATAAGTCCACAGAAATGCAATTGTGTTTTTTTTTGCAGAAAACTTTCTTTTTTATTGCAAGTTTAAGAATCGGTATATTAGGCACAATTGTGTCACATCAGGATGCCTTACAAACCCTAAAGATATGCAAAATCTGTAAAAGATAGATACCAAAAACGTGTTTGTTTGGGTCCGAGTCCTTGAGCCGTTTTCGCGAATAAATACGTACTATTCCTTATTGAACGAGAAACTCTTTTAAACAAACTGTCAGATAGGTTTCTAAATATTATACTAGATTCTTAACTTTTCTATGTTTTATAAATGTGACGGCCATTTCTCCTTGAACCTGGGAGCATTTTAAAAAATGAACAGCCTATATTTTCTGAACGCATTATTTTTTTACTTTATTTTTTCTATTTCTTCTTGACATAATACAAAATGCAAAACACACCTAAAGGCGTATTATTAGGTTGGTAAGTAGTATATGAATACACAAACAAGAATATAACCTCTCTTTCTTTTCTTTAATAGGACTGGCCTTGCTGTTGGTAAAAAAAAAAAAAGCTTCCAAGAGAATTAGACCGATAATTGACTTGTATAACTATAGGTGCTTTAGGTGCATATCTCATCGGAAAGGAATACACACTCAACCGCTTAAAAGAATACACCAAGGAAAATTCTGTCACTTCAAGCAAGAGTAATGATACACAAGAACTACCTTTGAAGGAAGGCGAATTGCGTCGCTCAGTCAATAGAAGACTTTAAACCCCTAAACATGATATTTCGTTGATACGCATCATACAATATACATCGCATAGTTTCTGTTCGACTTAATTGCCTGTGCTGTTGCTTTTAATTAAAGTCGGAAGCGAAATATTGAACAGAAAAAACGTGTTTTTCTTGTCTTTTAGACTTTCTTGTATGACCCGCCTTGATCAAATAAGATTAGGCCCCTATTGTTTAAAAAGGTCAAAACAAGAAAAAAGGCACACTTTGAACTTGTAGAATTTCTTTTTTAGATTTCTCCCTCCCTCCCCCCTTCTTTTTTTTTTCTTTACTAAAGACTGTCTATTTAGTTACGCTTTCTATTTTATCCTCCTTCCTTTCCTTGTCTCTCTTTTCTTTCATTTTTTCTTTAATATGCGCATCATTACAAGTGCAATATTGTTTCTCTTGATTTCATCTAGTCAAGTCTCTTCACTTCCTACTAAAACAATAGCACCTATTCACCTTCCCCTTCGCTATGTAAAGAGAGTTCATCCACAATCATTACAGCTTCTTCAACATGTTAAGAGAGATATCAGTATAGGTCTTTCCGCTTCGAGTAATGACACTTTAGTGGCCGCTGTCAGCAACAGTGGTACAGATATCAGTATACCTCTCATCAATGATGCCGATTTAAGTGAATTGGCCGTTCAAGTCAATATTGGCACACCTTCTCAACCTTTCTTCTTGTTGTTTGATACAGGCAGTGCAGATACGTGGGTTCCCAGTACGCAATGTGGCTCCAATGATGGTTGTCCTAGCTTTTTACAGCGTTTTGATACAAAAGGATCAAGTACATACCAAGCGCTTAATGACGACCTCCATATTACTTATGGCATCGGTAGTGCGAGTGGTACTTATTTCAACGATTCCTTCTCATTTGAAGGCACAAGTGCATCATTGTCTCAACAAAGATTGGCCATTGTCAACAAAGCTGCAGGCCCAATTTCTACACAGAATAATGAAACAGACGTGGACCAGGTCTTATTGGATGGTATTTTTGGTGCTGGCTTTCCTGCAGGCACCACAAGTGCATTTCATCATGGGCAGACCTATAACCCACCCATTTTCAATCTTTATAAGCAAGGCTTAATTCCTCAACCTGTGTTTACTGTCACTATTCATGATCAAGACGGTGGCCATGTTGTATTGGGTGATGCGGACACTTCTGCTGCTAAGACGCAACAACTCGTTTATGCAAATGTTCCTCGCATTCAGAATAGTTTTACACATTGGTCCGTAAGCTTAAAGGGTTTACAGTTCCAAAATGCAAGTGCCTCTACTAACTTTCACTTTAACCAAAACACTATTTTTGGTGTGGATACGGGCTCAAACTTTATGTATTTACCAAAGATATTGGCTCGCGGTTTAGCTGATGTGGTCTCAAACCATACATTCACAATGGATACCAAGACAAAAAACGTGTTTGTTGTCGACTGTGCTTATCAAGACACAGACAATCAAGTCAACTTCTATTTCGATAATGCTCAGTCTATCACTATCCCTGTCAAACATTTGATTGCAAAAAGGGCCAGTGACGGCCAATGTTTGTTGTTATTTGTCGCTTCTGAAAATAACTTTATCTTGGGCAATATGTTTTTGCGTCATTTTGTCACTGTCTTTGACTTTGGCAATACCCCACGTATTGGTTTTGCCCCTCTTCAGGAATAAAGCAAAGGAGAAGAAATTAAATTGTACGTTGAAAATAAACTTTAATCTATTGCTTTGACAATGTGGGTAAAAAATTAGCAGAAGAAGAGTGTCTTCGCGTAATTAAGTAGTCAGGAGACCGGTGTTGTTCTTTTGCCAATAATGTGTTAATATGGTCAATTTCTGCTTGAAGTTCGTCCCTTCGTATCACAAGGGCATGTTGGAAATGATTGGGTTCTAATAACAACATGCTTGTCAAAGCTGCTTTTGCTGTAGATAACAAAGAACCTGATCCATTCATGCTTGTGGCAACCAACTGACGAATGAGCTCTTGTTTGTCTATATCGGTTTCTGCTTGTTCTTGGTTCAGGACAGTATGCATGAATGACTGAATATTCGGCAATGACGCTGTTGATGGCGATTCATCTTTTGTTTGTTGAATAGGTGATAGTAATATAGACGACCATCGCCGAGATGGCTCTGGCTGATGTTGTGGCTGAAGAGCAGAGTCGAGAGATCTTGATGTCTGTTGGGGCTCAATATTATGTTTCAGTGGTGTGTATTTTTTTGTTATATGGACTCGTTTTCTTCTATGTATGATGCTGCGTTTCATAGACAGTGGACGATGTACGTTATGTAGTTTATAGTATAGCCCACAAGCATTACATATATTATTACCAACATCGTCACGTCGCCATAGTGGTGTGGTAGTTGTGTCACAATTAAAGCATCGTGTGTTTCGATAGAGCTTGCAATCACAGCATTCTTTCGGCATATTGGGTGGATGATGGTGTTGTATTGTTTTATTGTTCCATGAAGAACTAGGTACTAATTCGCGAGGATTCATTATGATTAAAGACAAAAGAAGAGAGAGAGAGAGAGAGAGAGAGAAGAATAAAGAAGTAGAGAATTAATAACTATTTGTGTACCTTAATTTATTACCAAATAAAGAGAACATTGCTCGGCTGGGGTAAAGTGTGTGTATGAGATAAGATACGAGATTTAGTAAAGGTTTTTATTTTTTATAGCAGCAGATAACGAACATGAAACTCAGCTACCTTTTCAAGACTTTATTGATTTATTTAGCATTGTACTGTTGTTTATGTAATCCTTTGTTTGTCTTGTATTTCTTTGTCTTGATCAAGATTGGCATTGAATGCATTGACCTACCTTTTTTTTGCTGTTTTGTCTTCCTGGCAATTTAGCTGAATAACCTTGTATTCTAAAATTTAACAGAGTTAAAGTTTGTCATTTGTTGTAGAATCTATATATTCACACATCCGAGAACAGTTGTTTTCTTTATAAGTATCTCCAATGGCTTTTAATTTCGTTTCTCTGTATATATTGCAACTTATAATGAAGAATACAAATGTCTCAATTTTGGTTTTAAGAAATAAGTGTGAAAACAGATACAAGATTAAGCTTTTTTTTTTCTCGAAATCAGCAGAAAATCCTAATTTCTCTTATCTTTTTTATTGTATATTTTTTTTTTCTCGTTCAACATCCTTCAAATGACAAACATGTCTAATTTTGGAAGGCTAGTTATTTTATTTTTATTTTTTATTTTATGCAACAACAACACTAGTAAGGAAATAAAATTGATTTTCAACAAAAAATAAAATCTGGGGTTAACTGATATTGATGATCATTTCTTTGAATGGCCAAACGCTTTTCTTATTTTTAGAGCAGAAAAAAACGCATAATTTGACAAACATTGATTGTTTGTTAAAGTGTTCCTCATGCCGACGATGAGCAAGTACAAAGTGTAACGAAACAAAAATATCGATAATTAACAATTTGGGCCTTGTTGAACAATGAATGCTTTAAAAGTCAGGAACGGAAATGCAAAGGTTGTGGAGTCAGGCCAATTTTTTTAGCAGTAGACCAAACCATTTTTCTTCATTGACCAGGTTTCTTCAATTCTATAAGAAGTTAAGCTTTATACTCTTATCTTACTTATCCTTATGAAGATATAGAACATCTCCTTTCTGCACAAGAACCATTCTCTGCGGATATAAATCCCCATCATCAGTTGTTATAAAGTATACTTTAAAGTAGTCAGTAAAATAGAATATCAGTCAACAAAAACTCAATATGTGTACCCAAGATCATGGCTACATAGTAGTCATGAATTCCCTTTTTTTTACCCAGACAAGGACTGTTTTGTTCAGGCATTAGCATAGGAAACTCAACTAGTATTTTTTTATTTCCCTTTTTTTCTTCTAATTTTTGAGAACACATGCTTATCTCTAAAAAAATATTTGCACTTGCTTCTGGCTTAAGTGCTCTAGTTGCTGTTACTGCACTCTCACCTTTGGAACAAGTTCCTTTTAAGGTCTCTGAATATAGCTCACAAGGCTTTAGTATTTTGACAAGTGATAAGGTCCAAGGTTATTCTGTCAGAATAAAGCAACCCAAATCCTGCGAAGAAGGTATCCAGGTAACTCTATAGGTCAAGAAATAAATTGCCACTCAACAGCATATTTTTTTGTAGTATTCAGGCTATATTGATAAGCATGATACAGACGACCACTTCTTTTTTACTTTTTTGAGTCAAGAAGTAACCCTGAAACAGATGATACTGTATTGTGGTTGAATGGAGGACCTGGTTGTTCTTCTATGATGGGTCTATGGATGGAATTAGGGTATGAAGGATAAAAGACTACGCGAATTTTCTAACGTACACATTAGTCCTTGTCTTGTCAATGAGTTTGGTAATGCTACCACTAGAAACCCCTATAGTTGGAACACGGCTGCTAACGTCTTTTTCTTGGACCAGGTAAGTGTATATCAATCAAAGCTAGCTCAATTCATTTTCTTATTAGCCTGTCAATGTTGGTTATAGTTACGGCAAATCAAAAGTCAGCAGCACACAAGAAGCTGCTAAGGATGTCTATGCTTTCCTTCAACTGTTCTTCGGTAAACACAAGCAATACGCTTCAAACTCATTCCATATCTCTGGCGAATCCTATGGTGGTCACTACTTACCAGCCATTTCTACTGAAATCATTCGCAACAACAAACAAGCTGAAGAAAAGGGTCTCCTCAAAATCAATTACAAGTCCATGTTGATTGGCAACGGATGGACAGATGTACGCACGCAGTATAGAGAATACGCTACTTATGGCTGTACCAAGGATAGTAAATACAAACCCTTGTTTGACGAAGACACATGTGAAAAGATGAGAAATTCTTACCCTCAATGCAAGCGACTTATGGATGCCTGTTACAAATTCCCAAGTGCTCTTACCTGTATTCCCGCCAATATCAACTGCGATCGATCTCAAGTAGGACCCTTCCAAAAAACAGGGTTGAATATTTACGATATCCGTAAGCCTTGCGTTGGTGATACTGGATTATGCTATGATCTTAAGATTGAAGACTATGCCAACTTGGATGAAGTCAGAGAGAATTTGGGTGCGGATTCAGAAGCCGGAAAATACGAAAGCTGCAGTGACTCTGTTGGCTATCGATTCTATCAAACAGGTGACGAGTAAGTTTTTGTGTGTGTAACAAAATGACATAAATGTTAATTGTTGACTTTTTTGTACCTGATTGTATTACAGAGGAAGAGATTATAGCACTCATGTTGCAGAAACTTTGGAAGCTGGTGTCAAGGTATTGCTCTATGTTGGCGATATGGATTATATCTGTAATTGGATGGGCAATTTGGCCTGGAGTCACCAAATGAAATGGTTAGGGCAAAAGGGATATAACGAAGCACCCACAGAGAAATGGTATAGTGATCTTACTGGTCAACATGCTGGTGATGTTCAATCGTTTGGTAATCTTACTTTCCTTCGTATCTTTGACGCTGGCCACATGGTAAGTTATCTTGTTCAAGTTAACAAAGACACTAACTTATTTTCTGCTTAGGTTCCTTATGATCAACCCGAGAATGCTCTCGACTTCTTCAACAAATGGCTGAGTGATCTTCCTTTGGCCAATTAAACCATTTCATGCAGTGTAATAAAATAAGCGCGCTTACTATTTTGTTACGCACTGTTAACCAAATTCACCAATCATATCATGTCAATACCGAGAATAAATTATGATTTCTATTCTATTCTATTCTATCTTTTTCTTTTCTTTTTTTTTTTTTAAAAAAAAATGGATATTGTGAATACTTTTGAATCAAGTGCGATCAAGTTGAAAAGTTTCTATAATGGAAATAAGGTTGTGAACGATCCTATTCATGTAAGCTTCTTAAAAGAAGAAGAGTATAATATCTAATTTATGCGTCATAGGGTCATATTACATTAGACGACTATACCGTAGAATTTATAGATACACCTCAATTCCAACGACTTAGAGATTTAAAGCAGGTAACTTGGGCCATAGTGTAAGATATGTAGGCTAACATGATCCAGCTTGGTGTTCTTTATTTTATTTTTCCTGGAGCAAGCCACAATCGCTTTGAGCATTCCGTTGGTAAGATTCAATGAAAAAGAGCAAAAAAAAAAAAAAAAAAAAAAAAAAAAAAAAGCGAGTTGACATGTGCTTTACATAGGTGTGTCCCATCTTTCCGGGACGCTTGTTGAGCGATTTGCTAGAGAGCAACCTGAATTAAACATTACTTCGGATGAGATCAAATGTCTTAAACTAGCTGGGTAAGGGCAGAAAGGAAAAGAAAACGATAGTTTAACAAATAATAGTTTATGTCATGACTTGGGCCATGGTCCATTTAGCCATGTATTTGATGGATGTTTTATGCCACAAGCTCGACCTGAACTAAATTGGTCGCATGAACAAGCATCTGAAATGATGTTGGAGTATCTTGTGGACGATAACCATATCGACATTGACAAGACAGAAATTAATTTTATCAAGGATTTAATTGCAGGCGAACCTCGATCCAAGTCTAAATACCAAGAACGCAAATTCCTGTTTGACATTGTGGCAAACAAAAAGAACAGTGTGGATGTAGACAAATTTGATTATATTGAACGAGATGCTTATAATATGGGTCTTCGTAGTTCTTATGATGCCAAGCGTTTACTGGTCTATAGCCGAGTAATTAACAACGAAATATGCTATCATCATAAAGAAGTCTACAACATGTACGAAATGTTCCATACTCGTTATAGTTTATTTAAACAAATTTACCATCACCGTGTTGGAGAATCTATTGAATGGATGATTGTGGATGCGTTTTTGGCAGCTGGTAAGATCTTGGACGACATTCCGTTTGTTTACAGGCTGTTTAGATAATTATCTCAAGATTTCTGAAGCTGTACACAATCCTGAAGAATACCTATTTTTGACTGACGATATTATACGTACGATTGAAAGATCCAAATGTCCAGAATTACAGGAATCGCGTCGTATTATTAAATTATTAAGAACACGGAACTTGTACAAGTTTGTAGATGAATTCTTGATTCCTCCTCATCTGGAAGCTCATTTAAATGAGGCAAGTTCTTTCTATGCCGTGTTACATTTATATTCATTCATTTCTATAGAAGACAGTTACTGCACAAGACATTGTCAATTGCCAAACCGATAATGCAGGCCTAGTTGAACATGATGTAATTGTCAGTTTCTCAAGTATTAACTATTCCATGAAAGAAAACAATCCTGTAGATTCTATTCGATTTTTCTCTAAATTCAATGGCCAAGGTAATATTGTATAAAAGCAAACAATGTCTAACTCAAACCACAGAATCATTTAATATTTCACAAGAGAAAGTATCTTACATGATTCCAAGAAAATTTCAAGATATCAATCTTCGTATTTTTACAAGAGATCCAAGCAAAATGTTAGCTATCCAAAAAGCTTTCCGTAGGTATTTGAGCCAAATTACAAAGACAGAAACTGTGGTTGACCCTACAGTTTCTGTTCCTGCTGAATATCAAAATTTGGTATTCTCTAAAAGACGTCGTATGTCTTCATGTGATAATGGATCAACTTAGAAATATATTTATATAAATAAAGAAATGGTATATTTCATACAAAGAGTGTGTGTGTTTACATTTGAATCATTTCGTCTTGAAATGATTGTTGTTGTTCGACAGATTTCATATAGGCTTCTGCTTCTGATCTACTGAATTGCTTCTTATTGTTCATGTTGTTGTTTTGAGATAGTATCATTTGAATCCAACCCTTAGCCAGTTTAAAAACTTTGTTGGATCCTTTTATTTTCGAGTATCGAATAGCAACAATCTGCAAAGGCGAACCATCTTCATTTGACTTGGAAGAAGGAACAGAAGAGACATCAATGGACAGCATGACAAATCCATCAGGCTCATTGGATTCATCGAGTTCGTTTTGTTGATCTTCTTCAGATTGATGTTGTCTTTGTTGAAGCTGTTGTTCTTGCTGAGTTAATCTACCCATCGACAGCAGATCATGACTACTGTTACCTAACATCAGTCCACCTCCAGCTGCTGAAGATCCATTGATCAAAAGATTTGATTGTGAATTAAAGGGTGCTGAAATGCGATGGACTTGTCTACTCCACCAACTATTAGAACTATGTGTTGAGTTGTTACTAATGGTTGAGTTTGTTTGTTGTCTATGATGATGGTGATGTGTATCGGACAGACGATCACTCGAAGTGAACAATTTGGAACGAAACAGAGAAGATTGTTGCTGCTGCTGTTGCTGCTGCTGCTGCTGTTGTTGTTGAATAATAGATTTCTTACTACAGTTGCGTAGAGTCAAAAGACATACAAGCTGTGTACTACAGGTCTGATAATATGTGATACCAAGTATTTCACAAACAAGTCGAATGATCTTGATGAATTCAGACTGACTAGACTTCATTTGCTCTACATCTGATTGATCTTCTTCTTGTGGTTGTTGTTGCTGTTGTAAATCAGACAATGTGTTTGAAAGAAACACCATAGATAATCGATGTGACAATCGTCTGCTTTGTTGTGCGCGTTTACTGTTATCTGCTGAAACAAATGTGGAAGAAGTTGAGTAACCTGAAATAACTGTGGTCGAAGAGCCTGTCTGAATGTTACATTGAATTGAGAAATAACTGATATGGTCCTTGGCCACGCGCTGGTAAATCTGAGATAAATTTAATGCAGAAGCTGCTTTTCGAAGTTGTTGTTTTGGTTCTTGATGCTCTCCTAAATGGAAAGAATCAGAGCGTTTAAATTTGCGGAAAATATGGCTGATGGGTGATTTCAGATCAGACACGCTATGAATCTGTTGCAGTCGTACTTGTTTCATAGTGACCAGCAAATTCTGGTTAAGTTCTGTTATGACTTGGGACTGAGCTTCCAGATCAATAGGATGTGATGAAGAATGCGGGGCAGGTCCTGTAAAATAAGTAGCAGGGTTTGTGATGTGATAAATAACAGTCTTGGGTACTTTTAACCCTCTTTTTCTCTCTTCTTGAAGATCTTGTTTACACTGTCTCTTGCTGTTTTGTGTACTAAACTGAATTCGATTTGCATCGTCTGATTTTGCTGATTCGGCATAGGCTTCCGTTACATCAAGTGCACTATAACAAGTATTAGGAATACGTTCTTCAAAGACATTCTTTAGTGCTCCATGGTTGGTGAACCAAGGGTCGTCACTTAGGAAGCCTTTAAGTGAAAGTCGGTCATAACGATCCATGGCTAAACATTTCTGGATAGTTTGTCGAATTTCTGGACTCAAATGAGGAGGAAACTTATAATGGCGACTAACGATGTACTTTTTCAATTCAGATGGAGCTAAAAAGCATAAGTTATTATTTACTTTTTCTTGTCATATATAGGCTTACTTTTTGCATGAGAAAAGAGTTCTGTGCCAGCTGTCATTCTATAGAGCATGATTCCTAAACACCAAGCGTCTACCTCGGGTCCTACATAGGAACGAGCAGTAGCAATTTCTGGACTATAATAAAGCATAGATCCTACAATTTATGAGCAAAACTTAACGTCAATATTGTTCTACTTACCACAAACAGTCTTTAGACGCTGTAAACCAAATCTGTTTCCTAAACCAAAATCAGCAATCTTAACACGATGATCTGGTGTGAGTAAAATATTAGGGGTCTAAACAACATAAATGAGTCAATTGCGAATTCTTGCATGTGTATGTATTACCTTTAAATCTCTATGCACCACCCATTTAGAATGGCAATGGTCTACTGCTTTTACCACCTGACGAAAGATATCACGCGCTTGGCTTTCAGGAATGATATTCTTATCAATCGACTTGAGATATTCTTCGAGGTTTTCACCAGGAACATATTCCATCACAAGATAAAGAGCGTCTGCAGTTTCATATGTCTCATACAGACGCACAATGTTCGGATGGTCCAATACTTCCATTAATGCAATTTCTCGGTTAAGTCTTGACATAACACGATATATATGTGCTCTTTTGTTAATCACCTACATTCTATGAGTGAGCTTATGATATTATCTATGAAGCCATACCTTAATGGCTACTTTTTCACCTGTCAGGTAATGATAAGCCAACATCACTTTGCTGAACTTGCCAACGCCTAGTGGAGATTGAAAAACATAATCGCCTATACCATTCAATAAACTATCTGAATTAAAAGGTACATCTTTTTTGTTTTTAGATTTTCGGTTGGCTGAGTCAGGAAGAGAAGGAGGATGTGGTGATTTTATTATACCGGGTGGCAAAGTACGGTCTTGCTCATCCCTCATTTCAATAGTAGTTGACCTATGTCTCCATTTTGACGACTTGAAAGGATTAAGGACCATATTCTATAAAATAATACAAAAAGCAAGAAAACAAAAAAATAAATGAAAAAGAAATGTAAAAAAAAGGAGACAAGAAAAAAGAAACCTGGTTGTGTGAAACAGCAACAAGCCAACAATTTATTGTTATCAACATCATAAAGTCTTGTTTTGGTAATACACACACACAGTTGCAATCTTTTTCATGATGAAATTAAGTGTAACTTTTTTTTCGGGATTATTTACATTGTTAAAAGTCAAAGAGTCCATTCTTCGTTAATGCAAATTCCAAGTGAGCAGGCGTTTGTTTCTCCATTTCTTCTTCTCTTTTTCTGTCCATTTTTTTAGCAGTCAAGGCACCAATCTTTTTGTAGTAATCGAGTAGCCGTTTATGACCGCTTGCTTTAGCCAAATCATAAGGTGTGCCTATTTTACGTGGTACATAGGCATTAAAGTCACAACCACATCGCTCAATTAACAAGGAGGCAACTTCAAGATGTCCTTGACGAGAAGCCCAGTGTAGAGGTGTTTCTCCTCGTAAATCTTGTAAATCAGTCTGAAGTTGGCATGTTTGGATCAAATAATTCACAAGGTCTGTATGACCAGTCAAAGCAGCGTAATGTAAAGCACTTGCACCTAAAGAAAAATGAGTATGCCATGACATACAAGTGTTTCTTATTTACCCATGCTATCCACTTGTGAATGATATTTAGGTGGAGTAAGTGATACAATGTATTCCACTACAGTGGTGTGACAATTTTCAACTGCAACATGCAGTGCTGTCTTGTTTTTCAGTCCAGCTCCCTTGGCTTGTGTGAGATCAGCACCAGCCTCGACAAGAGCCTGAAGTCCCAGAATCCAACCCATACTGGCTGCTAGATAACCAGGTGTAACCTTGTCTTCTTCTACTTGACTTAACGTCATTGCATTAGGGTTAGCACCCTGTTGAAGCAAGATATTCATAAATGCAGAGGCTTTGATGGCGATCATGGCATGCAACATACCATAACCGTATTTGATCATCTTGTTACTCGACGATTGCTTGGCTGTATTAGGCGATCCTCCGCGTCTCAGGAAATTACTAGATATAAAAAAAGCCGGATTTCAATTTAATTTAAATGTCACATACAAGAATAATACCTTATCATTTTTTCAATCGTTGTGTCCTGAGTCTTATTGCTAATAATAGTGTCCCAAAGAGCATCAGAGCCACCAAAGGCAATAGGGTCTACTTTACGTTGTTGAATGATGGGATCGTTTGTACGGGAAGCGGTGCTTGTTGCAGTTGAATAGATGCTACTTTTACTATCCTCAGTACTGGCTGAATGTATGCTACTGGCAACGCCTACAGTATTCGTTGAATCCTTTCGCATGCGAAGCACAGGAGGTAATTCGGTTGAATTGGGTAAACATGAATTAGATGAATTAGTAGAAGATGAGAATGTTGACATATGACGAGGTTTGGTGTCCATCATTGTAGATAGCGGCGGTTGTGGTAGTGGCGGCGATATAGGTGGTGGTGATGTCGGTAGTGCTGCGGGTGGTGGTGGAAGAGGACTGAATTGGTGGTAAAGAGAACCATGGGTCATTTCAGTTGCCCCTGACATAGAAGACACAGCTGGACTCAAAGGAAGGGAATAGACAGATCTTTCCATGTCCGTAAAAGAAGTTACTGTACTGTTATCAAATGAAGGACTGAGGGGTCTGTTAGCAGGCGTGAGTGGACCATAGAAGGTCATGTATTGCTTATTCAATTCATGTGCCTTGTCAAACTTCTTCTTGAAAAATTGCATTTCCCGGACCGCTTTTTCGTATTTGCGCTGACTGTTTTCTTCGTTCGATCGTCTTAAACTTTCGTATTCTTGTTTGAAGATATCTGATCGCTGTTCAAGCACAGAAATTGTGTGTTCATAGTCAGATACAAGTTTTTTAATTTCAATTTGAATGGCTTGTCTCAAATCCTCGTTAGGGATACAGTGGACTAGATCCATCAAGGCTTCTTTTGTCATAGGATAAAATTGATTTTGTTCTAAAGTGTCATGAAGATGGATTCTATTCGTATTTTTGTGTAATTGATTATCTACGGAATCTGTAGAGGGTAGTGTCATGATGGTTAATGATAGTAAGTGGTTTTTAGTAAAAAAAAAAAAAAAAAAAAATTAAAAGGAAAGAAAGAGGACAATAAAAAAAAACTGTTTTCTGTTTCTTCTTGAGAAAAAAAAGGTGCAGGAACACAAAAAAAAAGCATCTTTCCCAAAGGATAAGTGTGATGCATTGCTGAGATCAAAACAACGGTTATTTTAAAAAAGAAAAAAAAAAGTGCCGTTGTGTCCACTTAATTGTGCTAAAGCTTATTTGAATTGTCAACTTAAATATTGAATGCAATGGACCTAGAAGAACGCATCCTTCCTGCAAAAAAAATAAGGGTAACAATTTCTTGCTTTAACAATTACAATCAGGTTGTTGTCGAGCATTTTTTCGCGAAGAGGCTTTATAGCAGAATCATGTGTATATTTATAGGAGAAGCTGTCTACGAAAAAATCAAAAACATATGCAGTACTAAACTATCTTTATTTAATATGCCTTCTCCTTTTGTTTCTACAAAAAAAAACCAAAAAAAAGAAGGCCAAAGCGTCTCCTTTTATAACTCAAAAGACAGTGAACAACATCTCCTTTGAAACAAGCTGTTATTTTATTTTTTATAAACAAATCACCTTATTTTATTTCTTTACCTTTTACTTCTTCTCTAACAAAGCTTACACGATGGCTTCATGAGTAAATTTGCTTAATTGGGATTTTCCAAAAAAAAAAAGCTCAAATTTAACAAAACTCTACTTTGTCGTACGAACTTTTTTTCGGTATTTGCACTACAGACCCTTGATTGAAAGAGATAATTGAGCGAGCTCTTGGCCACTTCCTTTGACTGTATAGCATAGAGTAAAAGAATAAAAAAGGGAGGAGTAAGGGACCAACATATGTTCCTTTTGAACACGCCAGATAAAATCATATTTAAAGAAAAAAAAGGGCAATGCCAAACCAATAAAAGCTGACCATGCTCGTGATAGTGAAAGCAGGTGTGGTCTGTTTATGAATATTAAAGACCATCCCAAAACAAAACATGATATGCAGCTTTTCCAAATCGAGCAATCCCAAACAATATGTACTTTTTTGTTCCATAATTTGACAGCTTAATATTTAAGAGGACAATGTTTTGCCCAAACTGTGACATGATTACAAAAATAGGCAGAGACGCATTAAGAGTTTTACGCCGTAGAGGCTGACAAATCACAATGTTTACTTTCTTCGTTTATTAACCTCTTCACAGTATAAGCAATGTCTGTGCAAAGTATTTAAGCTTTGCATTATATAAGCAGTCACTTGATTTAGAATAAGCTTTCATAAGACTGTGCTTGTGATTTTCATTTCTTACCCTTTTGTACCTATAATGGGCTTGCATAGAACTCAAAGCCACTTTTTTTTATCATTGCGTGTGTATGTGGTACCAGTCAAATATAATTGAGAAGCAATATTTAAAATTCGCTACATCTCTTCATTTATTTGCTTTGTTCATATTGGCGTGTGAATGAACCTAGGATCTTCTTAATAATACGCTATAGCGGTTTGTTTGCAAACAATCCCTCTTTTTTCCATACAAGGCAGGGGGATTATCTGTTTATGAGAATCATAGTCCATAGAATATTTGCTTCTGAGATTAGAAAGAAAAAAACCATGATAAATTTTATATACTTCAAATAGCTGTAGAAAATTCCGGGCTTGAATTTCTCAATTATAAAATTTGAACATTTTAGTCGTTCCAGCCAAGTAACAGTTATTAGTAACTAGAAGTGGTATAATATCATTCAGTGGTTCTTTGTTTGGTGGCTTCTTTATATAAAAAGCATAGCAATGATAAAGGACTTTGGTATAATATAATACCTAGTGTACATGTAGAATTTCGATCTGAGATTGGTATCTTTAATCAATCCTTCTATGTCTTTTTTAGAGAAAATTAGAATGTTTGTGTGTGAGACTAAAGCACAAACTAATTACTCTAACAAACACCAATCAAAGAAACGAAAGCAACTTCTTAAATCTGATAAACTAGAATACTGCGCTATGATGCTCGATTACTTAAAAAAAAATTATTGAGTGTATATAGTAACATACGCCGGTTGAGCTTATTTCAAATAAAGATATGAACTTAGTTTGAGGGTAAAAAAAAAAAATACAGGCACATATCTTGATACAAACTAATACTTCCACTATCTACGTAAATAACTGCCATCATCATACATGTTTGTTTCAGAGTAATATACGATCTAAGACATGTAGGGATAAAATGTTTAGCATGAATTCATTCTTTTTCCCGAAAGAGTGAAACATTCTGTTTCGTTTTTCTTTTAGACAATGACTTGTTATGTTTAGTGTTACTATTGTTTTTGTAGGCTTTACTTGTTATTTCTTTATAGTAAGGCAAATTCTAAGTTGTACAAAGTAATTTGTTTTTGTTTTACATGATGTATTCAACTCTTGTAAGTTTTTATTGATATTAAATATGTACAAAATAAAAGAAACTTGAAAATACAGATAAATTATGCTTATTTCTTTGTAAAACTAGCGACAATTTCTTCAATGGGTCTACCCTTAGTCTCAGGCAAGAAGAGGAAAGAAGTAACAGCAGAAATAGCACAAATGATGGCGAAAATCAAGAAAGACCAACCTTGAATAGCTGCGAAAATGACAGGGAAAATTTGTCCAATCAGGAAGTTCATAGCCCAGTTCATAGCAGTAGCAACAGCACCGACACTGGAGGAAGCGTAGATGGGAGTCAATTCAGAAGTAATCATCCAAGGGATAGGACCGATACCGATAGCGAAACTGGCAACATACAAGAAGACAGAAGCAACCAAAAGGTTAGGGATAGTGTAACGGTAACCAATGACAAGCAAGACTGAGAAGATAAAAGTACCAGTTTCAGCAGCAATCAGCAAGACGCGACGACCAGCACGATCAATGAAGAACATGGCAATAATAGACATACCAAAGTTGACAAGTGTTGTGTAGATAGCCATGTATTGAGCTTCTTGAGGGCTGACAGCTTGTTGGAAAATAGATGTAGAGTAGTACATGACAGCATTCATACCAGAAAGTTGTTGAATACAGTGGTGGAAAAGAACAATCAGAGTAATCTTGCGAATAACAGGGTCAGTAAAGATTTCAATGACATTCATAGGAGGACGTCTTTCATCATCATCATCGCCAGCTTCAAGGGTTGTTTTGCCTTCACCGTTAGTCATGGCAGCAGCATTAGAGTTGTGGTTTTCAAGGTGATCAGTATTATCAAAACCTTCGTCTTCTTCATGTTCGAGCTTGACAAGATGCTTGTCATGAGAGTTTTCCTTCAAGAGACGGACAGCCTTCTTCCTACCAACTTGACCAGCAACAATATCAAAGAATTCTTCAGAAACATCAGCAGAACCACGCAGTTTTTGAAGACTAATCAATGCATCTTCTACACGACCAACAGAAATCAAATAACGAGGTGATTCAACACAGGTGAACATCATAAAGACTTGAAAGATGGCAGGAATAGCAACAATAGCGTAGTTCAAACGCCATAAAGGAACATTGGCAGTGGGCAAACCAATAATAGAAGATAACAAGATACCAGTTACGACAAAGAATCTGTGATTAGGTTAATAAAACTGCTTTGCAAAAAAAAAAAATTTCTACTTACTGATTAAAGAAACCAAGAAGACCTCTGCCTTTACGTGTGGAAATTTCACCAAGATACGTGGGAATAACAAGTGAACCAAGACCACAAGACAGACCACACAGAATACGACCGATGATAAACATGGCAGTGTGAACAGAACAACCAATCAAGATACCACCTAAAATGAAACCAGCATTGTTTACGACAATTGTCATTTTACGACCCAATCTTGTTTGGATATGACCACCAACAAGACTACCAAATAAACCACCGATACAAAAAGAGGAAACTGCGAAACCCCATAAACTACAGATCGAGTTAATATAGATCAAATGCATTTTCAAATACATTACCCAGTAGACATTGGCAGACAGTCAGGGAAAGCAGGATTCTTAACGTGAGCATCACCAGTAGGACAATTGTGTGTGATATCACCGGGAACATTGGTAGAACCAATTGTCCAACCGTTTGAGAAAGCACCTATACCGGCGATTACACCACAGTATACCATATAAAATGGTAAATTTAAATCTCGGGAATCCATATTTTTATATTAGATATTATGAGGAAATATATACAATTTAGTTCAATTAGAAAATAAAAAAGAAATAAAAAGTAAAAATCAGAGACCCTTATATATAATTTGTTTTCTGTTTTGAATGAAACACCGCCGATGAAATTGGTTGGTAAAGAAAAAGCTGCTGTTGTTTATAACATGGCTTTAATTTTCATTTTTTGTCTTTATTCTCTCTCTCTCTTTCATTTTTTTTCTGTCTTTTTTCTTTTTCTTTTATTTTTTTTCTGTAAAATCTGGTAACTTCTGGGCCATATGTCAAAACGAATATTTTTGTTTTTTTCGCCTTTTTTTCAGTTGTACAGTTTCTTTTTAAATTGTAGAAATGATCTAAACCAAAATAATTTATGGAAATCAGAGCGAATGCTAATCCTTTTTTGGAAAAGAAGCTTAACTAAAAAAATAAAATTTTTATTCAGACTCAACTTAACCCACAATGATTTCTATATATGTAACCCAGAAAAATTGAAATGATGTCAACGTTTAAGAACCCTTTGACAAGCTACTCTTTTTTTATTTTCGTTTTGAAAAAGAAGTAAAGAGCAACCAATACATATATCATATGTTTTTTTTATGCATATTTACAACTGCGTATAGCACTATTTTATAGATACAATATCCGAAATGTTAAAACTCAGTAAAGTACTTGCGATATGGATCGGGTTCAGGCTGTCCATAATGCCAACCATGTTCATCATAGCTATCGAAATTACTTGCATCACCTGCCCCTTTTACATCTGGAATATAAGGTGCTTTAATTTCGCAACGTGACATTTTTTCAAAGTCGATATTCCGAAACCATGGATGTTGAATTACATCCTGACTTCCATTCTTGAGATTTCCATAGCGACTGGTTAAATCAGGCGTCAATAGGTGTCTGAGCAGATCTTTAACTTCGTCACTGAAATATTCTGGATAAATCGGGTTGCAAGCGACAATCTTTTCATACAGCTTAAATTGATTATCATCATAAAATGGTGCAACACTGGGAAGAAATTGAAAGATGTTGAATGATTTTTAGCATATTTTTTATCTATTAGATATATTTACCCAGATAGCATCTCGTATATCAAGATGCCTAGTGCCCAATAGTCCACAGTCTTGCCATATCCTTTGGATTGAATCACTTCTGGAGCTATATATTCAACATACAACATGAGATCATGGCGACTAGCTTGAGCTTCGTACGTACCTAAATAATCTGGGGTACCACACAAGGTCCAAGTGATGTCTGGTACGACCTTTGCGAATCCAAAGTCAGTAAGCTTGATGTGACCTTGAGTGTCCAGTAAAATATTCTCGGGCTTCAAATCTCGGTAAATGATGTCTTTTGAGTGGAGATAAGCAATAACCAAGAGAACTTCGGCTGCGTAGAACTTGGCTACATCTTCCTCAAGTTTCTAATTGGTATATAAATATATATAAAGTCACATCAAAACGTGACATTGCTTACAGTTGATTTACGCAAAAAAGAAAACAATTCTCCACCAGGCACATAGTCCATCACCATAAATAAATAGGAGTCATCTTGAAAGGTGTTCCATAGATTGACAGCGAATTGATACTTTATATTGGACAAAATGGCTCTTTCATTTCTTGTATGTTCCACTTGTTTCAATCGTACAACATCTGTCTTTTTCAATGCTTTGATAGCATAGTATCCTTGATTTGACTTGAGTTGTGCCAGATGAACACGGCCAAATGAGCCCGTACCTAAAGTCCGGATTAGAGTGAAATCATTCAAACTCAGTTGGACCTCTGTCGAGCGGCGCTTCGGATTTCTCTCGACACAGGTAGCGTCTGCTTGTTCAGATAGATCAACATGAGTTGACATTTCTGTCTCATCATGCTGCTCATTGGACAAAGAGCCTGAGGGTGTTTGCGGTGGTGAGTGGGGAAAGGAATCACACGTTAATTGCTCTATGTCAATCGCAGTCACTAGTCTAAACAAAACTGGTCTGATACGTTCATGCATATCAAATACATACGAAATTTAAGAGTAGTCGTTTTTGCTTCTTCATCCTCTTCTCGGCTTCGTTTTGATCTTTCTATTGCTCCATCTAATATATTCAAATACAGAAAAAAATAAAACAATAAGTAAAGTTGTAAAATAAATAGGGTAGGGTGAGACAAAATAATTTACTTTTGAGTGGATAGTCTACTCGCCACCGAAGAAGAAAAACTTTAATTTGCGTCTGAAATCATAAAGAATTATACCTTTTATAGGCGAAGTCATTTTAAATTACTGTATGAATATACATAAGAAAGAAAGAAATAAAAACAAATGAAAAATTATCTTTTTCTTTTTAAAAAAGTTAGGAAAATTCATGCTGGAGTGGTTTCACCATTTTGTAAAAAAAAAAATAAAATAAAATAAAATAAAATAAAATAAAAATTTATTGTTGGAAAATCTTCAAGGAGTTAATTTTCCAGTAAGCTTGAGAGAAGGCGCTTGGGTTGTTTTGAACATAGTCGACACAAGTAGAAGGACAACCAGAGTTGCCGTAAACAGAACCAGCCCAGTCACCACAGAAAGTCAAGTCAAAGATAACATTGTGGTTCTTAAACTTGCTAGAAGGACAGTTGCTACCGAAGGGAAAGTTGGCAATAGGTTTACCCCAAGCATCAGGGTTAGGAGCTTCTTTGGTGATATCGGAAGGAATAGAGCCACGAGGGAAGAACCAAGTTCGAATACCTTGGTTAGTCCAAAGAGTAGCATAAACACCACCGCGGATATTATTCAAGCCAGCACCATAGGTATTAGTGTTAGGAGCTTCAACACCACAACCAGCATTGGCAGCTTGTCCACCAGCATTGACGTCACAGTTGGGTGTTAAAACTTTACCAGTTTGAGAACGAGAGACGCCTTCCATGGTACAACCGGCACTGGTGTGCAAAGTAACTTGGTTATGAGCTTGGTTATGGACACCTTCAATGATCTATAACCAAAGTCAACAAACATTGTCAAAATCATTCTAAAATAGACTTACATCAATTTCACCATTGTTGGGCCAGGTACCAGTACCCAATGTCCAGAAGGCAGGCCAGGTACCACAACCAGTAGGCATGTGTTCAAGATCAAGAACAACCAGACCAGTAGTAAAAGTGTAGTGAGATGTCAAACGAATGGAAGGACGGCCATTAGGAGTGACAGTGCTATTGTCAGCCTTGATGATGACTTGACCGTTTTGAGTATAAATCAAATTCTTGGCCTTAGCAGTGGCTTTGTCAACATATTGGACGAAGCCATGAGTAGGGTCGGCACCAGTGAAGTAATCAAAGCCATTGAAGAAGTTTTCACCAGAAAGAGCTTCTTTGACAGTCCAAGCACTAGCACCACAAGTGAAGGCGACAAGAGAGGCAAGGAAGGCTGATTTTAAGACGACCATTTTAAAATATTAAAGAAGGGAACTGTTGTTTGATGGCTTGAGAGAAAAAAAGACACAAATTTCATTTGCTTTATATACATAATTACAAGTAGGACAATTCCATTTTCTGCATATATGACTGTACCCTTCAAGGTTGAACCAATTTGCATAATATAGTACAAAGTGTTACAGAACACAATAAGCTGAGCAATCGAGTACATTTCATTTTCATACATTTTATAATACAATAGAAATGTGCAATGGCTTTTTATAGAGGCATGCTACGTATAACGTCCTTGAATACATAAAGAAACATCGCAATGATTCTACAACTGAATTTCTGCAAATCCCGAGTGCATCTAAAACCTTTTATTTTTTTAAATTAACGTTGTAAAACACAGTATGCTGTATTACAGTAGACTGGGTCATCCTAATACTGGTGCCATACAACTATGACTATATACCTCCCAAACTCTTTAGGTTTCGATCGGTAAAATACCCGAATCTCAAGGTAGCGGCTGTATTTTATGGCAAATAAAGACTGACATGAATGACTATAATTATTTTAAATGTTATTAATTTTCATAAATAGCTATTTTGAACCCAGTCAAATATGTATGCTGTCTCACTGCAGTGCATAAAAGGGTTTTACCTTTTGCATGCACGATTCTTTAGAAATAGAATGCTGCGAAATATATATAGCCATATTATACAAATAAAGCTGATAGGCTGAATGAGAATCGATCATCACAATTATGAGAACACATTCTGATTGGTGATAATATATTTGCTACCCCACCTCCACCTCCTTGTTTTCTCCTTATTGCCTTCTTACTCACTCCTCCGCTCCCCTCCCCTCTTTTCCCTTCCCTCCCCCCTCATGATAATCAATTGACACACGCCAGATACGCCTGCGAAAGCATGAATGTCAATTATTGATCTGCAGCCAACAAATTTATACAAATTAAACAGTCAAGGCTATAATAATAGCTGTGGTGAGGTTATCAGCGACGCTTTTATTATGATTGTAAACGCCCACTATGGAGTTTGCATTTCATTAGCCCCTATTTTTTATATGTATATATAGGATTGTCATGTTTACATTTACTTTGGAAAAAAATCTATATAAATACGTACTTATTTCTTACCTATCTTCCTGGCTATCCCCTTCTCTCTCTCTCTCTCTATTTTTCTTTTTTTCGTGATAAAAATGAACAATTTACAAATTATTGATATTCTCGGTAAAGGTGCTTATGGTCAAGTCTATTTAGCCAGAAATGAACAAGAAAATGAACTTTATGCCATCAAGTCAATTCACACCAAGCTAGAGAAGAACGAAATTGAACTCCACCAACGATTGTCGAATCATCCCAACATTATTTCTTTAAAGAAAGTGATACGTCAATCAAACAGCACAACACAGCTTGTGCTAGAATATGGACCCGAAGGTGATTTATTCTCTGCCATCACTGAAAGAGATTTGTATGCAGGCAACCATCCTCTGATCAGAAAAGTATTTCTTCAACTTATTGATGCTGTCATACATTGTCACGAAAAGAATGTATATCATCGCGACTTGAAACCTGAAAACATTTTAGTCTTTGAGGGAGGACAAACGGTCAAATTGGCTGACTTTGGACTAGCAACCACTGACAGTGTGTCTAAAGAGTTTGGCTGTGGCTCCACATTTTATTATTCACCAGGTACGATTCTTATAAATTGCATAACCATTGAACTAACATTTTATTAGAATGTCAAGGTGACTTGCTTCAAAATAACGCACACCGCATTGGTTATGCCACTGCGCCTAATGATGTATGGGCACTTGGTGTCATCCTTGTCAACTTGACCACAGGTAGAAACCCATGGACTCAAGCTTCTCTTCGGGATGAAACATTTCGTGCATATCTCTCAGATCCCAATGAATTTCTTCTTTCCATCCTTCCTATCTCGCGCGAACTCAACCGTATTTTAAGGCGTATTTTCTGCATTGACCCTATGCGTCGCATTACTCTTGCTCAGCTCAGAGAGAAGATTTGTAATTGTAAATATTTTACACGTACAGCAGAGGTTGACCAATACGAACGTATGTGTATCCAACAAAAAATGATGGCCTTGAACAAGCGCTATCAACAAAAGCAAGAAAAGATGATGAAGCAATTTGCTGTTGTCGAACTGCCTCCTTCTCCACCTGCTACACCTTGCTCGGATCGATCGCTTTCTAAAGAACAAGACACTTTGAGTCACATGCTAACAACAGCTAGCATTGTCTAAAAAGGAAACTTATGATTTATGGCGATATGATTCTTAGTTGAAAGGTTGATCCTTTCTCTTATTTTATATATTTTTATGATCTATGTATACAACGAAAATTATGTCCTTTCTGTCTCACTCTATATATATTATGTGTAAATGACAATACTAGTTATGAATAAACGATTCATGTGTATATAAACAAAAGAACGATCATAGGCTAAGATCTCTGTGTTGTTTATAAAGGGTCATGGTAGCAAGGAGTATCGCAGTGCTATATCATGACTTTGATTTTCACCCTGAATGCATTCATATTTTTGCGGATTCTTAATACTCGGTTTGAGTCATTATTATTAAGCTTTATGCAACTTGCCCCGTCTTTTTTTGATGATCAGGTTTGTATAGAGTGAATAACAAGTTACCCATTTTCTGTCTATTCCAATAAGAAAAAAAAACGTATGATCTTTTTTGGATACATCATCATTAGCTAAAGACTAAATTCAAAGACGCACAATTTTATTCTTGATGATTACAACAACTTTCTGTAAGAAAATACCCATGGCAATCAACAAAAAAACAACGCCACATCTACTTCAAAGACATAACGGACTCTCCAGTTTGTGAAATATCAGTTGCCGAAATACGCCAATCTATTTCTTGAAAAGAGAGAGAGAGAGAGAGAGAGAGAGAAAAGTAGAACAACAGTCCCTCCTTTTTTTTCTAAAAATATTTTTAATGCTTAATTGCAGTACTTTCCGTTGCATGAATTAAGTTGGTTTGTCGCATTTTACAAAGAAGATGTTCTATGCCTACTTTTGGTAAAAAGTTTTTTCTTGATTTACAAACATGATAACAGGAGAAACAAAAACTTTTGTACGTGTAAACAAAACAAAGAAATTATTATTTTGTGCCTGCATTTTAAATCCCAAGACCGCACATTAGGAAAATTTGCAGTGCCCTCTAAACATGCACAGTGCTGAAAAAGGGATTGATTAAATGAGGTTCATATGTAATGATGCATTTTTTCAGGCCAAAAAATAAAGAAATGCACCTACATGGATCTTTGTAAACATTCTTTGCCAATTCATCTTGAGTTTAGTGATCACAATTAGAAAAAAGGGCACCGCCATCTATACCATGACGCCCAAAAAGCTCATTTGCCATTTAGAATTGATTTTTGTAGCTAATGTTACTTTTCATCTGTCTTTTTTGTGTATGCAAAGACAGAAAAAAAACTTTTTTTTTATCTTATAGCAAAAGAATGAAAATCGACGAGTTGCAAAGCTTGCATACTTATTTACGATAATTTCAATAACATTGATACCTTTGATGGCGGTTTTCTGTTGTTGTTGTTGAATACAAACATCTTTGGAACAGCTATATAGATGTAATTGCTGCCTGTAGACACATAAAACATTTTTTACATCTGTATTTAAGCAAAGAGTAGATATAAATTCTAAAATAAGTTTTATTTACAGATATCCATAATATTGAGCAAATAGAGACAGGCATAGAGAGTGTATATAAATAAGTTATAAGACGTTAAAATTAAGCCATTGAACCAGTATGGGTTTGATTCTTGGTCGCTTCATATTGAGCCTTGACTTCAGAAAGAATGTCTTCTTTTTGTTGAGCAATACGGTCAGAAAAGAAATGATTGGCATCACGATGAACAGCTTCATCAGCTCGAACAGCAAGTACAACATCACGAATAGAAGCGTTGGGATGTAAGTTGTAATAATCAATAGCAACATCAGGAGCAGGACCATTCTTGATGATACCAGCATCAATGTCATTTAGGAAATGGGTATAGGAAATAACAGCTTCTTCTTCAAGATAACCACACATTCGATGAGCAGTCTTGGGCGAGAACAAGTAGAGTAAAAAGTAAGCATTGAAAAAGACGCCTTGTGCACCCAGTACAAGCAGACGATTCCAGAGTGATGGTTGTAAGCACTTAATCCAGGTCATCAAATGCATACGTTCGTTTTCAGCTTCATGTAATAAGTGAGAGATCCAGCCATTGTCTTGCTTCATTGTACGCAAGCTCTTCATATGGCGCAGCATAGCACCCACCATACCAGGGACAGCAGCAATGGTTTCCAACATAACAGCACGCATATAATGATCTTTACCGAAATAAGTATCAGGAAGCGTACGCAAGAACTTGACAGCATAAAGAGCCATGCGATCACCAATTGTTTGAGGAACAAAGTGCTTGCCAGGGCTATACTCAATCTTTTCCAAGAGTTCAGATGTCAGTTTCTGACTACCTAGGAATTCTTCACACATGGGAGTAGGGCGGTCTTCAAGGATTTCACGGTAAATATCCCGAGGCATTCTATGGGCAAATTCAGAAAGCTTGTCTTGTTGACGTTGAGTTGTACAAGAAGCAAAGGTACGACGAGATAAGGTTAATGCAGCAGCAGGTACAACCATGCGAGACACTAAGGGCGTAGCAGTCTTCAGCAAAGTCTGCGATTGTAAAGCAATAGAAGTAGTAAACATAATTGAAGAGTGGGGTTGAATAGAATGATCTGTGTTAAATTAGAAAATGGATCCCTTTATATATGTACTTGACCTCGGAAACGAATAAATTCGGGATTCATTCCCGACCTTTTTTCGTCCCTTGCAAATTGAAGGTGAGATGGGAAATCAACAATAAGCTGACCAAAATATAATGAAGTCTAATTCTTTATCCACGCACAAACCTAATGGTATTCATTTCACTCTCTTTTTTCAATTCAAAATACACAAGTATCATTAATATCCTTTCTATAACAATAGGGATAAATCGGGTGAGTTATGACTCTTCAATTTTTTATGACTGTGTCTGAGCCAATCAAGTGAATTGAAACAGCAAGATACACTCAATGGATTTTCGATAGTTCTGATCAATAACGTTTAACCCTAAATCAATAAACGCATAGTTGTTATCTGATTACATTATAAAAGACTTCAAATAATATGTATATCACTGTTAAAAAAGGGTTGAATATCACAATACAAAGGGAAAATAAACATAAAGACATGTGCCATCAACTTGCACTGTCCATAAATATTGAGGAGTGGTATGAAACATTGCAAATGATATTTCGAGAACAATTACTAATTGAAGCAGCCTGTTGAGTATGACCTGAAAATCAAAAGGAACCAATGCCTTCTTTTGATTCGTTAATGACTTGTCCGGTTGCTTCTTCCCCGCAACAAAACTGTCCGGTGTCAAGCTCAACATTTGGGCCAAAGATGTGTACATTCTTGTTAGCCAATCAACAAAGAACAGATATTAAAAACAGTAATCGTTACACTTGAATATTCTGTCTTTTTTGTTGTTGTTCTTGATCTATCATACATCAAGATGGAAGGTAACAAGGATGAGGCCCTCAAGTGTTTGTCAATCGCAAAGTCAGCCTTGGAAACAGGCAACTTATCTAAAGCTCAAAAATTTGCTGAAAAATCAATACGCTTATTCCCAACACGCCAAGGTGAACAATTATTGTCAGCAATAAAAAACAATACAAAGAGCAGCGCTCCCCCTCACAGTGCACCAAAACAAGAAAAAAAGACCCCTGAGCCAGTACAGCAAGATCGAAAATATACAGCAGAACAATTACAGGCTGTAAAAACAATATTGGCTTGTGGAAAAAATTACTATAAAGTACTCTCTGTTGAGAGAAATGCAACAGATATTCAGATTAAAAAGGCCTATAGAAAGGTAAAAAAAAAAAAAAAAAAAAAAAAAAAAGAGAGAGAGAGAGAGAGAGAGAGAGAGAGAGAGAGAGAGAGAGAGAGAGAGAGAGAGAGAGAGAGGTTTAATTGAGTCTTATATATTCCTATAGCAAGCATTACAATTCCATCCAGATAAAAATAGTGCACCAGGAGCAGATGAAGCCTTTAAACGTGAGTTATTGAGAGAAAAAGCTTATTTCTTATACTGGTAATAGTGGTTGCAAAGGCATTTGATGTGTTATCTGATTCCAACAAAAGAGCTATTCATGATCAAGGTGGTGATGCGGACAATAATCGAGCAAGGTCAACAGCCTCCTCATTTTATCATCAACCTCAATATGCATATAGTCGACGTCATGGAGAAGAAGTATCGCCAGAGGATCTATTTAATATGTTCTTTGGAGGAGGCATGCGTAACAATTTTGGACCAGGATTCCGTCACCAGCAACAATTCAGATATAGACAGCAACAACAGCAACAGAGATATTCAAGATCACATCAAAACAACAACAGGCAACAGCGAGGTGGAGACGATCTTCTGGGAGGATTATCTCAATTCTTGCCTATCATTCTTTTGTTTCTCTTGGCTATTTTTGCTATTTTATTCTCCTTTGAAGGCGAACCTACTTATACTTTTCGACCTTCAGTACCTAATACCAATTTACGAACTACTAAATTCAATCACATCAATTATTATGTAAATCCAAAAGTATTTGATACAACAATCAAGAACAACAAGTACAAATTCCAAAGAACAGAAAGGCAGATTGAATCTGACTGGTTAAGCGAATTAAGACACGGCTGTCAACAAGAACAAAGACGTAAAGCCAATTTATTGGCTCAAGCAGAAGGTATCATGTTTGGCATTGTGGGAAGAGATGAAAAGGCCTATAAAAAGGCACAAAACATGAAAATGAAGAACTGTGATGAATTAAGGCGATTGTCTCGCAAGATACGAAGCTAATAAAATGACATTTTTTTTTGATTTGTCTCTTTTTTCTGGTTTATTTGTTTATTTATTTTAATGCCTTATACGCCATACACTCTAGAGACTATACTACAACCTTCAATAGTAGAAGAACCTATTGTACCGACTGCAACAAGTTCTACTTCTTCCTCTTTCTCGAGAAGACCTTTTTCTCCTGAAACGAGTGAGCCTACTGTTCACTATGCAACACCCACAATAACACGCATAGACTCTGTAGGCGCTTGGGGTAAAACTTGTACCTGATATACCCTCTCATCTTTAACACCATCTCCTTTGTCAGATAGTGACCTTTATTGTGGTACTCTTGATGGTGTCATATTACACTATTCACTCCAAGACAATAATGGTTTGACCAAAGTAAGAGTACATGCATAGAGCGAGTATAACTAATGTGTATACTAGACAGTCTCAGCAAGATTAGAAAACACAATCAACTTGGGATTCGGCAAGAAAAGTGTCGAACGCATCTTGCTACTCCCTCAAGTCTCAAGGGCTGTTGTACTATGCGGTAAATTTATCGATGCTCGAAACTGAATTATTCATATGTCATATAGATGCAACACTGTTCTTTTTCTCTTTGCCATCTTTTGATCCAATACCTGTTTCTTTAATTCAGCCTATTAAAGGCGTATCTTGTTTCTCGCATGACATAGCAGAGGAAGGGGGAATAGGCGAAGATGGTACTGTCGAACTGACTGTTGTCAAAAGGAGAAATATTCAAATTTACAAGATTGGAGAATCCATGCATTTGAAAAGGGCAAGGAGATCCGATATAACATGTATAAAAACTCATTGTTCTATAGGAATTACCTCTTTCTGAAGCAGCCATTACAGTAGCAAGACACAGTCATATGCTTTGTTTAGCAGATGCTGAACTTTACAAGCTCATCAATCTTGAACAGCCCGTTACGTTTCCACTATCGCCTACACCACAAGTAAAAGTGAAATCACCCACCTTAATAGGTTCAGGAACACAGTTAATACCTCGCCCTCTCGTCTCTGTTGTTCAAAAAGACAAATTCTTGATTGTCAATGGTTCAGACGATCAAGCAATTGGTATTCTTGTCAATGCCAAAGGTAATCCTATTCAAGGCACATTGCAATGGACGAGTTATCCGAAAACATTATGTGTTGAATTCCCCTATGTCATTGCTCTTCTGTGCAATAATACAATTGAAATTCACAACCTATTGAATCAAAACCTATTGCAAACAATGACATTTGATGCTTCTTTTGAGGCTCGAGGCATGACATTTAGTCACGGTATAAAAGTATCATTAGACGCCTTAGCTGAAAAACTCAAGCGTAGTCCTTGGCCAGAAAAAATAGACGATGCTGAACTCGAGAGTCAATTAAAAGGAGAAATTAGTCGATACTCAACAGCTGCTGCACGTATTTTGATTTATGGAAAAGATTCAGTGTTAGCACAAGTGACAACACCTCTGATTGTTCAAGTGGATCAGTTGTTAGAAAAGAACTTGGTTGAAGAAGCGATACAATTAGCAGAGCAAGCCAAGGACACCATTTCCAATGATAGCGATCATGTTTATGCTGAGCGATTACAATCTGAACTCAATTATAGTTATCAGAGATCTGGTTTATATTTATTGGAACAGGCATTGTTTGATGATGCCTTTAGTTTACTTTCAAAGGGCGAAATAGACCCACGCCCTATTGTTCAGTTGTTTGATGGTTTAGCATCATCATCATGGCGAGAAGAGTTTTCCCCTGTGCTATTGTTTGATGGTGTGCGTACTTTATTGGACACATTGGGATCAGTGAAAGACATTGTAGAGAGAAATCTCAAGGATTATGCATCTGATAATTTGGCTCATGTGCGACAGACTTTCTTGACAAATGCCAGTGATGCATTGGATAAATATCTTTGTATGGAGCGAGAAAAAAGAAAGCATCAATGGGGACAAAATGACTTGCTTTGTAAAGTGATTGATACTTGCCTATTGAAGATTTATATCATCAAAAACGACAACATCTCTATATATCAATTATTAAAAGCACCTAACGATTGTAGTGTAGAGGATTGTTCAGAGGCTTTATCTAAATCAAAGGTAAGTAAGCACTTTATACACTATATACTTAAATACTGTCGTCCCCCTTCAAGAAACATTATGCGCTTTCTGTTCTGTACGAATCAAAGCATATGTATGAAAAAATGTTTGAAATCTGGACAAAGTAAGCTATCATATTCCGAGAATCACAACAAGCAAGAAATTTGCTTTACTTATTTAAAAAGGATTTATGCTGGAGAACTTGATGATCCAGAATTTAAAGATGGACTTGGTAGAATCAAGCGGTGTTTATTGAGAGATACAATTGCAGAAGAATTGCCGCTCTCGGTCATGATGCATTATGCATGGTGGCTAACACATCAAAATCCAGCAGATGGTGTTGAAGTGTTTACAAAGTCACCTCGCAAACAAGATATGGATCCAGACGAAATTCTCGAGAAATTAGAACGTTACAGTAATGAATGTGTACGCACTTTTCTTGAATATCTTGTTCTCGAACAACACAGTGATAGATCAGAATACCACACCCGTCTTGCTTGTAGCTATGTCAAGGATGTCTATAAAGAGGTGAACAACAACACAAAAGAAATCAAAGATCTCGGTAAGTTTAAAGTGTGTGTATGTCTTGTGTTACTTAATGTGTCAATGTAGCCGAGAACTTTAAACAAAGTGCTGATTCTCTTAAGGCAGATGGGTCAAAAGAAGGATCTGATCGCCTTACCAAGTCAACTTTTATCGGTTATCTTGGATCTCTGCAACAACAATCACAGCTTGTGAAGGCACGTTTGATCTTGATTCGTACACTTCAAAATTCTTCCTTGTATTCACCAGAGATTTTACTTGAAGTATTGATAAAGGCAGGCCCTTTAGACATTGAGAAAGTCATTGTTTATGGAAAAGTAAGTTCATTCTACATTGTTCTTTTTTTTTTTTTGTAATTCTCATCCGTTGGTAGATGAACAAGCATAAAGAAGCGCTAGACATTCTTATTCATGACCTCTGTGATTTTATGGGCGCGGAAACGTATTGTGTGACAAACGGGCAAAGTATAGGTATGATCCCACCAATCGTCATCAATACACAGCCAACAACACAAAAGATATTACCAAGAACATCTTCTTTAGCCGCAGCAGTTGAAAGACCTGTGCCTCTGATTGCCATAGAAGATGAGTATCTCTCTCCTGAAAACTTGAAAGAAAGAAGTATCTTGTTCACTATGCTATTCAAGTCCTATCTTGCCATCAAAGACAGGTAATCTTGGGTACATGGTAACACAAATTGATATTTATTTATATAGTGAACTCATGATGGCTCGAACCATGCACTTGTTGAACACACAAGGCGTTTATCTTGATATTCTAGAAGTAATGATTTGTTTGGTGCGATAAATGAATTCACATTGATATCATAGGTCCTTGAAACAATACCAGAAGATTGGTCACTCAATATGCTTCAAGATTTTCTTGTAAGGTCTTTAAGGAGATCATTAGACGATTATAAAGAAAGTCAAATCGTACTTGGCTTAAGCAGAGGAGAGAATTTAATGGCAAGTATAACATACAGTCGTGATTTCTTATTTACATACACTAGGTTAGTAGTGAAATGATCAAGACATTTAAAGAGATTGGTCCTATTTCAATAGACAGCCAGACAACATGTTTAAGGTGTCATCGGGGAATGATAAGCAGTGATGTTGTTCGAGAAAGTGAGCATGGCCAACTGCTTCATATTCACTGTGCCAAGTTGTTAGGTCTAGTTGATGAATAAATCAAATGATATGTGGGGTTGCACGTGATGCAATCATCGTGAATAAATAAGCATATCTTTTTGCTTTTTTCTCTTTTCTTTCTTTTCTCTTAAAATATGTTGAAACCACCTGCGTACAATAAAATTCAAAAACAATTGCTACACCCACCTTCACTTATTGAATACAAAGACCTAAGATTCTTAATTACGGATACACCGAGTATTAACAACCTATCTATCTATATCCAAGTAAAGAAAATACAAGTGGCTCTTCATGAAATGACTTGTCTTCGAGTAGGAGTTTGAAAGATGGAATGTGACAGATGTAGTTCGATGCTGTAATGCAACTTATTCCCATCACAGCCTGAATGAGCATGGCATTCAAGTGCATGATTGGATGTTTTCTGATGGCGGTCCTCCTTCAAAAGAGATCATTCAAGAATGGCTAGACCTGGTGGATAGTCGATTCAAAAAAGAAAGCATGTCACTTGATACAGAAGAAAAAAACCCAATAGAAAAAAAACGACCATGTATTGCTGCTCATTGCGTAGCTGGACTAGGAAGGTAAATATTGATCATCAAAATCAATGTCTGATAAAGTAAAAGAGCACCTGTTTTGGTGGCTATTGCATTGATAGAAGAAGGAATGGATCCTATGGAATCGATTGCATTCATTCGAAGATATCGACGAGGAGCTATCAACAAACAGCAAATAAAATACCTAGAGAATTATCACAGAAGACGAAAACAAAGCACAGGTTGCTTTGTTAGTTGACAAAAGACGCTTGATGTATATTTGACTTGAATAGTTTAGATCAAGCTGATAGCTTTTGTTAATTGGACTTTGATGAACAACCCTATGGTGAAATAATTAAATAGTAGCAATATAAATATTTACTAGCTTGTTTATTTAATAAAGACAATTAGCTTATTTGTGTCAAGAAAGAACATTACAGAATGAAATGAGAGAAAAGTTGGCATGTTTTGAAGCTTGGAGTGGATGTTGGCATAGACAGGCTGTTGCCATAAAAAATATCTGGGTTTGAATTAATATTCTCTTGCTATTACAGTCGACGAAACTAGGTTAGGCCAATAAAAAAAAATTGGTCATTTCCAAATTAAATTGGGACAGACATATGAAAATGGGACAAGGATATGAAAATGGAACAAGGATATGAAATGGGACGACAATGTTAGTATTTTCTATACGAATCAAAATTATTGGTCGTTCCTTCAACAATCCTTGTTTATTGCGAATCGAACTCCAAAGTGGTATTAAGCTCTCGTCCTAGTCAACGGAGAACAAGTCTCACACGTTTTTTTCTGGAGATTTGCACTGCTAAAATGAATTTTAAGGTTTTGGCTACACAAGGTTTATGCACGGTAGGTAGAAGTTGTCGACATTTTTACTTTCTTTTTCAAAAAAGTATGCATGCGCCATTATATCCAGAAGTGGAAACCTTGATTAAACTAAAGAAACAAAGCAAGTAAAATGAACAACATGGAGTAGCAGAAAACCAAATAAGACAACCGACAATAAAGCGAGATAAAGTGTTTTGCTGATAAAAGAACTGCCAAGAAAGCTTACATTCTTTACAAGGCGTCAAGCGTAAAGATACGTTTGAAGAGAAGAAACTCAAAAAGGACGCAAAAATTGCGCGTAATGCTTTACCATCTACACAAGGTGTGATATGTAGATCATGTGGCGAGAGAGGACATGTTTCCGCAAGAAGTAAACAATGCCAGAACTACAATTTCAATTTATCAGAATTAATTCAGCAAAGTCTGGGCTCTTCGAATGAAAGATATTCAGTGTCAATTCCCTTAAGGTCATTCATACAAACGTCTGATGATAGTGCTTTTAATGTGATTCTAGAAAAAATACAAGGCCTGTCTCTGTTCCTGAGGGAAGTTATCTTTAAAGCCCAATTATTTGTGAATTATTACATTTTAAAGCACCCACAAGGCTTGAGCAATGAATTTTTTCAGCAAAACTTTTGGTATTCTGTGTGTCGTCTAATCAATGGAGATATGGAAATTGGCGAATTTGTTCAAAAATATTCTTATCATATCCCTCATTTGCACGAAACATGGGATGAGTTGAATGATTCTGATGATATAGACTTGCTAGTAAAAATTCAAGGCATAAAAAACTATGGTCAAGTTTTATCGACTGCCTGTGAAACAATCGCAACATGTTACAATAATTATTATATTGAAAACTCTGAAAATATAATATCCAACTATTTCATATATAAGCTGCGCACTTCTTTTGACGTAAGTCATGTAGGATCAAGCCCAGGCCTAACTTTTTTTTGCCAGCAGAACTAATAATACTCATTAATAGAACTTAAAGATGCCAGAAGTGAAGTACATTGTGTACAATCACGTAATGGAAACATTATTTTCCTCTGGTCCGACAACTATTACTGCTGAAAACATAGCAAGCTCGTTAAATGAGCAAATGAAAGCAAGGGTTTGTCTGTTCCTAAACCCTTTAAGGTTACAAATAAGAAACATATTATCTGCTACTCCCTTAACCAGGGATGTATTGAACAAAGCTCCCTTTGATATATTGCCGGCTTTGAGATATATACTTGAGAACTACAAGTCAACAATTGCCAAAGATCAGCAATCACAAATAGAAGTAGCCCAGCAAGAGCAACAATCCGTAGAAGCAGTAGTGCCATTAATCCAGCAAAGGAGAAGACCAAAGAAGAAGAAGCCAAAACAGCGTAATACATCAACAGAGAACAACAACAGCAAGAACGAAATGTAACCACCAAAATTTCAACCACCAAGGCTATTCAGTTTATTTCCTAATCCAGGTTTTTATAAAAGTAGATGGCCAAAACATAGCTGGTATTTTTGGAAGAAGTAGTCCAAAAAAACCTGAAGAGACGGTGTTTAACTTTGCTCAAAGATGCTTCTATGATAATTTTGATTTTAAGCTATCGTTAATCTGATTCAAGAATTTACTAAAGCCAAACTTAAAATCAACAGGTGAGTTGAAATCATTTTCAAAATAATTGATACAGGCAGTTCACTCACAATGATCTTACATATACAGCTTTGAAGATTTACAACAATTACTACAAAGAAAAGAAGAAATGTTCTTAAACAGTATCTACACGGACGGATATACATGTAGGGTCTCATTCTGCAGGAAGGTTCACTCCATATCACCCAATGATAAAGTATCCCTGAAGGTAGATGATTTCACTAGTGAAGAGGTTGATCGTTACTTTCGTCCTTGCACTGTCGATCAAAATAGGTCTGATGTCTTTGTATCCTATCATGGTAAAAACGATTTGAGGCGTTTGTCAACTGCCGAGTATTACAACATGAATGGCACTGTCAACCGACAAAAGCTAGAGCAAGTTAGAAAGAAAAGGTTGGATATAGAGCAGATTGAAACCCACTTTCCCTCATCCAAAACTGCAAAACTGCAAAGCTCCAACATTATACAGAATATGTTATGTATGCTCTTCAACATTTTCGAGCGTTAGCAAATTTTTACGGCTTTAACACTGCTAAAATCAAATGGTGCAGCTACAAAGGCTCTCAACAAGCAATTGAAAATGCAGTCAACATTCTCATTAATGGTGCAAAAAAAATATAACAAAAGGAAAAGAAAAAACACCAAAAAGAATAAGCGGAAGAGACGCAAGACATCAAGCAGTTATCAATACGGTCATCATGATAATTATCCACCAAATACAGAGGGAATGAGGTCAAGGTATAGCACATATTTCTTATATTCTTCTCCTTAAAGCAATATTCTTAATAATTTGAATGAAGAGCACATAAGGAAAATTTTGGAGGTGATCAAAGTAGGTAAATAAATCAATTTTGATTTGTATGAAAAATACTAACATTGTCGTCCCGTGTCCCATTTTCATATGTCTGTCCCAAATGACCAATTTTTTTTTATTGGCCTAACCTAGTTTCATCGACTGTAATTAGAATCTGGAAAAAAAAATTGAAGAGAAATGATAGATAAAAAGCATTCAAAAACGCAGAGATATCAGAATAGAGTGTTAACAAAATTGATAGATATTTAAGCGGAATATCTAATGATCTAAAGAACACAGTATTTATGTTGGTAAAATTTTGAGCTATTCCTCAAAAAACGGGTTTTCTGTTTTTGAGTTGTGGCGTACACTTTTTATAGTACTTTGTAGATGTGGCACTTTGAGTATGTCTTATAAATCTAGAGAAGCAATTTGTACTAAGACGTGTTATGTCTAGAATGTCTCTATCGCTCACCAATCGTAAAACAGTGAAAAATGAAGATTTCGTAAAAGGGATCATACGGCCACATTGACGATTTTGACTTTTTCAAAACTTGTTTTATTTTTGCATAAATATGTTCTTTTATGTATGCTCAACCATAGGAAGCTTAAAAAACAGGTATTGGAAGGCAGAAATGAGGGTTTTGTTTGAGAAACACTTGCGCCGGTAGCGGACGGTCAAATCCGCCTTTGGTAACACTCTGCTCATCAATTGCTTGTCAGATTTATTCAAAAAAGAACTGTGAGGAAAGCTGGTTTAAAAATCACAATCCTCTAATAAGTTTGATGCCTGAAAAAGGCGCAAATTAAGGATTTAAAGCATATTGAATATATTGATTTTGCTTATGCCAAAAGGAATCAAAAATTATTTGGTAGTCGCAACGTATGTATGTCTTTGGTACAACGATGTTTCTCAAACAACCTAATGTTTTCGAAATGCAGATCTTCCACTAAAAAAAAACTTGTAAGTGTTTACTTTTAATATTCGCCATTGAATGACAAAAAAGAAAAGAAAAACTTTTTTTTTATATATTCATTATCAATAATGAAGCACAAAAAGCGTTCTAATTGTTTTTTTTTTCTCGGAAAGGATTCATTTGAGCAAAGCGAGAAACAAGCAATGCAAATCTCAAATCATCTTGAAGCGGTTATCGAAATAACAAAGTCACTCTTAAGAAAAAAAAAAAAAAGGAACATCCTCTAAATTTTTCGAGATCTTTTCCATTTTTTTTTTGATCAATCGCCATGGGAGACACAAAGAAAAGACAACTTGCTTCAGACCGTTCAGTTTCAGCAAAGAAACAAAAACAAGAAGAAAAAGATAACCAAAAAGACATCTCCCTTAACACAGAAGAGCAACAAGTAATTGATGTTAACTATGATTTTGACTCTTTAGACTGTTGTGAACGCACCAAAAATGCAATTAAAGAACTAGGATTTCCTAAAATGACTGAAGTACAAGCCCGTACGATCCCTCCTTTGATGGCTGGCCGGGATGTACTTGGTGCTGCTAAGACAGGCTCTGGTAAAACCTTGGCCTTTTTGATTCCCGCTATTGAAATGCTCTATCGTCTCAAATTTAAGCCTAGAAATGGTACAGGTGCTATCATTGTGTCCCCCACTAGAGAATTAGCTCTTCAAATCTTTGGTGTTGCAAAGGACTTGCTCAAATACCATCAGTTGACGTATGGTATTGTTATTGGTGGTGCTAATCGAAAAGCAGAAGCTGATAAGTTGGTAAAGGGCGTCAATCTGATTATTGCTACACCTGGTCGTTTATTAGATCATTTACAAGTAAGTCTTTCTCTGCGTATGTGGGCTGGGCTAACAGACAATAATAGAATACTCGAGGCTTTGTGTTTAAAAATTTGAAGGCTTTGATTATTGATGAAGCAGATCGAATTCTGGAAATTGGTTTTGAAGATGAAATGCGACAAATTGTAAAGATCTTGCCTTCAGACAGACAGACCATGTTGTTTTCAGCTACCCAGACAACCAAAGTGACAGATTTAGCCAGAATTTCATTGAAAAAAGGACCACTTTACATTAACGTCCATGAAAACCGAGATACATCAACAGCAGATGGTTTAGAACAAGGCTATGTTGTGTGTGATTCAGATCGTCGCTTTTTGCTGCTGTTTACCTTTTTGAGAAAAAACATGAAAAAGAAGGTGATTGTATTCTTTTCTAGCTGTAATTCCGTAAAATACCATGCAGAACTCTTGAATTATATTGATGTGCCCGTCTTATCACTTCATGTAAGTATTACTTTATGTTATGGATTTTATTAACATCTAGTAGGGTAAACAAAAGCAACAAAAGCGTACAAATACTTTCTTTGAATACTGTAATGCTGAAAGAGGTATTCTATTATGTACAGATGTAGCAGCAAGAGGCTTGGATATTCCTGCTGTTGACTGGATTGTTCAATTTGATCCACCAGATGATCCCCGTGATTATATTCACCGTGTAGGCCGTACTGCCCGTGGATCCAATGCCCAAGGAAAAAGTTTATTGTTCTTGTTGCCTAGCGAACTTGGTTTCTTAAGATACTTGAAGCATGCCAAGGTGCCATTAAATGAATACCAATTCCCTGCCAATAAGATTGCCAATGTTCAAGGACAACTGGAGAAGTTGATTGATAAAAACTATTACTTGAATCAATCAGCCAAAGATGGATATCGTTCTTACATTCAAGCTTATTCTTCTTTCAGCTTGAAAAAGATCTTTGATGTAAATAATTTAGATTTAGCCAAAGTTGCTAAAGGCTTTGGTTTCTCTACACCGCCTAAAGTCAATCTCGGTACTCTCAAGCAAGCAAAGAATCAACCAGAAAAATAAGTCTTGTGATCTGTATTTCTCATTGGCCTGAATAAAAGCAAATTTTCTTACTCATCTTTTATCTTTTTGTTATAAATGTGGGGTACTTAATTTTTTTTTTCCTTTTCCTCTTTCAATATGAATAGTCCATACACTACTCAGTTGCGTTTTAGTCATGCTTTGTCTATTGTTCGCGCAATACCGCCAGATAGTATACTACAACCTACTGCAGCAGATAAACTACAATTCTATGGTCTATACAAGCAAGCAACAGAGGGTGATATCAATATACCTAGACCTTCTTCACGACAAATGGTAGATTATGCTAAGTGGTAATATCATTTCATGCACATAAAGCTTATACTAATGCATTGTACAGGAAAGCATGGAGCCGTATGAAAGGCATCAGCCCTATTGAAGCACAAAAACTATACATTGACTCTCTCATTCAACTCTTGGCAGAGGTAGCACAAAAAGATTTGCATTTTCATATTTTCTCATACATCATTCATAGCTTCTTCATCGATATCCTCGCCATGGGCAATCAGAATTCTTGAAAAAAGCTTTACAAAGCCTAGAATATGATGACAAAAACGATAAAGAAAATGGTAATATTTATTCCAATGATGCATAAACTCAATCAGTTTGTTTAGACTTTTTTCAAGATGCTTATGATCCTGCAGAATTCGAATTGCAACAGCATTTTCTCAATCAAATTGAGGCTGATCAACTGTTGAAGGAGAACATCATCAACTCACCTCCTGCTTCATGCAATTATTTTAATAATGAGTATCCAATTACACCTGTGACTTCCCCCGGACATTCCCATACTGGGCAATGGGTACTAGAACAAAAGAATCGCTTAGACGACATCACATCAGAAGCAGACACGATAGACCGTGAAGTAGCTGCTGTCACAGCTAATTTACAGTTATCTTCACCAAGAGAATCACCTTACCATACTTTACCTACACCCAGCAGTCATAACAAAAAGAAACTAGCACTGCCTCAATCTTCAAATCCGACACCAAGAAAGAAATCATTCAACTCTTCATCTTCTTCTACTTCATCCCCTAAAAAAACTGATCGAGCACTAGAAAAACTACAGACAGAAGTTACTGCTTTAACGGAGCAAATTGACAGACTTCGACAGAGTATACAACTAAGAGAAGAAGACAAATGGAGTGTATGGCGCATCATCAAGATCCTACTCAAACACTTAATGGCAAATTCGGCTATTTTTTTGATTGTATTTTATGCACTTTGGAAGAGCAAGTCACCTATAGCTTATAAACTGATTGATTATTTGCAACCTTTGATACAAGCATTAGTTCGTAATATTCTACGCAAGGTTGTATTTTGGAAGATTACAGTTTAAATAAATAAACAATCTTGTGTTTGTTATGACAGTAAATTATCATCATTTATATATGTATCTATGCATAAATCACCGCATAACAAGATTTAGCTTCCTCTTTCTTTTTCCATCATCCCTTTTTTTCTAAATGTATTTTATACCACTATTTATACACTCTTCTTTTCTCTTCTTTTCTTTTTTTTGTTTTGTCATCTTTTACATTTTACTTTTTATGTCTAATACTTCTTGTCCAGACTATTCAGAGTAAGTAAGATTGTAAATGTTCCTATAGATTTAGTTCTTTAGATATGCTCGAGTCTTTCATGGGCCAGAAAGTGGTGGTGTATTGGGGCTTCCTTTCCAAAGACCTGTAGAAGTATGCCGAAAGTTTACTAGTACAGTCATAGAATCTGTCATTTCCAATATTACGTCAAAGGTATGCATCTGTAGGTCGTACATACATCAGGAATAAATGTCATTTCATCCAGTTGTAGATTACAAATCTAGATTTGGCTCGATTGTTTACCAATACTTTTCCCAATACCCTTGATACTACCATTGCTAAGACTGCTTGCTTGAATACTCAGGATACCTGTCTTCCATTGTCCTATGTGATTACAGGTGATATTAATGCGATGTGGTTGCGTGATTCTGCAAACCAGTTATTACCTTACATTGACTATATCAAGCAAGATGGTAACTTAAAGCGGCTTTTCTTGGGTGCAATCTACATGCAAGCTCAATTTATCACACTTGATCCTTATGCCAATGCTTTTAAGCAACCAGAAGATATTGACGTGCTTTCTCAACACATTCAATCTCCTTTATCCAAGCGCGATATTGTGTTACAAGAAGGAGGCAAGGAAACGATTTTTTTCCAACATCATCGCTGATCTCCTTTTTTCTTTTAGTGTTTGAAAACAAATGGGAGATTGATTCCCTTGCTTCCTTTATGGGATTGTCTTACCAGTATTGGGCAAATACTGGTGATGATTCATTTGTTAACAATACTGTGTGGCTTGATGCTGTTGACTCTATTCTTGCTACAATCAAAATGGAACAGCAACCTACGTTTGATACTAACACAGGTAAGCAATAAAGGAGCATATACATATATTAACACTATTTTAGGTGAACCCTTGCATCCACAATATACTTTTTTTCAAAAAGCTGACAGACCTACTGAAACTCAATTCTTAAATGGTCGTGGTCAGCCTGTAAAATACACAGGTATGGTCAAGAGCTTGTTTAGACCTTCAGACGACGCTACTGTCTTTCCCTTCTTTATACCAGGAAATGCAATGTTATCTGTCGAATTAGGTCATTTATCACAGCTGTTGTCATCTTCTTTTGCGCGTAATGACAGTAAAATTCAAAACCTGGCAACCGAAACGTCACAACTCTCTAAGGACATTCGTGAAGCTGTGTACAAATATGGTCTTGTGAAACATCCTACTTATGGTCAAATATTTGCCTGTAAGTCATACAGATTCAAAATGAAATGTCTAACACAAGTGTAGATGAAGTTGATGGCTATGGTTCTGCTTTAATCATGGATGATGCCAATATACCTTCGCTTTTGTCTTTAAGCTTGATTGGATTCTTAGATCAAAATGATACGATTTATCAAAACACACGAAAGCTTGTTTTATCAAAGGACAATCCCTATTATTTCTCAGGACCTCGTGGGTCAGGCATTGGTGGACCTCACGTAAGTTCCTTTTAAATTTATGTACTTGTAACTCAAGTGTTTCAGGTTGGCTTGAATTTTGCTTGGCCAATGTCACAAATTGTCAGAGTAAGTAGACCAAACACAAGACATATCTCTCAATATGAATAGATCCTTACATCTTCAGATGACAATGAAATCAAACAAGCTTTGGAGATTATACTGAATTCAACTGATAAAACGGGGTTGATTCATGAATCTGTCAATGTTTATCATAACAACGATAATAATGGCTATACCCGTTCCTGGTTTTCATGGGCGAATGGCTTATTTGGTCAAGCTATTCTCAAGATTATGAAAGAAAGACCTCATTTGCTTATAAATAAATAAAGTGCATACTATCCAAAGAAATCACATCTGCCTATGCTATTCACTGTGGTTGGACACCTTGATGCGGAGTCCAAACGCAAATTAGCTAAAAATGGGAATTATTGGCTTGAAATGGTTTTCTTTCTTTTTTCTCCAGTGTTTTTTTGTTGTTATTAAAAATATGAGTTCTGTACCAGCAGTGCCAACTATAGATAGAAGAGATAGCGAACAAGAAGCCGAGGTTCCTATGCCAACTGAACCCTATCATGACGAAGAAGAAGAGCCCACTGTTTCGGAAGGAGAACAAGACCAAGAGAATCGTAGAATGCGTTCCTATGAAGCAAGTGTAGTTAGTGTACAAAGTAACCCACCACCTTATGAACTCTACCCACCAGCCAAAACGGCTTTTGGAAGATTTTTTAATTGGCTACGCCAGATACCTCAATGGAATACGCATCAGCCAATTTATTTACCGACCATCCATAATAGTGGCAGTAGTAGTGGTAGGTCCATTTTTAGTTTGGGAAGACGGCATAGGAGAACAGCTTCTACTACAAGTAGTGGTAGTAGCATTTCATCCACTTCTTCCGTTTCTTGTTGGTCGTATTATTATTTTGCAATTACAGATCGTTTACCCGAACGTCCTCGTTTTGTTCTTCCTTCCTTTTTAGCTAAGCATCGACTAGCCTTGATTGTGCTTTCATTCTTTTCTTTGGTCCTCTTCAGTTTCCTGTTGTTTTGCTCCATCTTTTTCTCAGCTAGCAATTATCCTGCCCCTGTGTTTCCTGACAAAACAACCAACTCTACTGCCCGATTCTTGACACTCAATATCTTTATGCGTCCCCCTCTGATTAAGAATAATTGGTCTGACTATAAAGACGATCGTCTGGCTTACATTGAAAAATACATTTTACCCGAATATGATGTCATTTGCTTTCAGGAATCCTTTGCGTTTGCTTCCAAAAGAAAAGACCGCCTTATCACATCAGCTCGTAAATTAGGGTTCAATTATCATGTTGAGTCACCACGTAAATATCCTTGGAATATTGGTGTAGACGGTGGTCTTTTGATTGTCTCTCGCTTCCCTATCAGACAAGCAGATGTGATTGAATATCCTCGTGGACAACACAGTGATTGGTACAATAGAGTAGCATACATACAAAGGTATTAACAGTCCAATAGGTTGTCTATCAAAGGTGCATTGCATGCTCATATTGAATTAAACGCAACCAGAAAAATCCATCTTTATACAACTCATACACAAGCTTCTTATGATTTGAACAATGTCATCAATGAAGATGATACTGCCATTCGTCTCTCTCAATTTGCCATTCTTCACCAATTTATTTATGATACCAGTCGTCAAGACAACAACCAAGATCCCATTATGGTTGTAGGTGATTTGAATGTGGATGCTGCTGTTCATTCTAAAGAAAGGCCCATCACTCAACCCTCAAAAGAAAGTTCACCCGAATATGTCAAAATGGTAGACGTAATCCGTGGTACAGGTGTCCTTAAAAGCAATTCGGATGGTCGCTGGTTCGAACATCCTTGGAAACTAGACAATTTGACTGACATTGTTTATGATCATTATGGCTACCATCCTGTCACATTCGGTGACTACAAAGTGAGCAATCAAGGCGAATTGGTACCTGCAGAAACTGTATTGACCAATTGGGATGTCTTGATGACTGTCCAAAGTATTGATCGTATCTTTTTGGCTCCTCGTTATGCTACTGTGGCTAAATTGCAGTCACCTCGAGTAGAGAAATTCTGGGTTGAAGAAAATGATCAAATGACTGATGAAGAAAAGAAAAACACTGGGTTTACACAAATTTCAGGTAAAGTATTCAATTGTACATATAGACTAGATACTGATGCTGTGTTTTATATTTAGATCATTACGGTTTGAGTTGTGAAATCCAACTTCTCTGATGTATATATATATTTATATTTAAAATGTTTTTTTATTGCTTTTTTTCATATTAAAATAAGGGTTCTTATTTACAACTTTTTGTATTTTTGAATATCTTCTGCGCTTGTAAAGTTCCATTCCCAAACAGGCTTTGATAATGTTGAATCACGGTTGATCTTTTTATGTAAAACACCTTCTCCTTCAAGTGACTTGAGAACTTTTTGTTTCAAATATGTCTTGCTGACAAGTTGTTCAGGATGATTTGGGATATGTGTGAATAAGGATTGTGTTGTCATAGGTCCATTTTTAGCGATCAAGTGCTTGATGAGCTTGCCAGCAGATTGAGTAGACATGGTTGATAGAGAAAAAAAAAAGAGTGTGTAAAAGCCCCCGGAGGCAAATTAAAAACAACGATTCGCTTTTTAAAATTCTTTTTTATACTTTTTAAGCAACTTTGAGATGTCAAAAATTGAATATTACCAACAACAAAACCACTAGATGACACCATTGAAGGTTTGTTTATATCTTGATATTAAAAAAAACTCCTTTCATTTTATTTGTTTGAATGCAAAAGAAGGAGGAGCGAGTGTATTTTTGCTTTTAGGATAGATGTTTCGCTTTCAAATAAATGAGTAAAAAGTATATCTTTTCACTTGAAGGTTTTTTTTTTTTTTTTTTTTTTTTTCAACTTCGAACGGAGTTTGAACCGGTTTCTATGTTTTTGGTTGCCCTGGAGATGTGCGCAACGGCATCTTGTCTTTTTTTTTTTTGTTAGAGACCATGTTTAGACCTTTAATCCGTTCAGCAGTGGTTCCTTTGATTAAACAGTCAACTCTCAGAACTACCAAGAAACTTTTGGTAACTATACCAGCCGCAATGCAATCTACTTGTCAACTCACTCTTTTTTTTTCTTTTCTAGTCTCAACCTGCTGTCATTCGTACAGCAACTGCTTCCACTGGTTACTCTATTGGAAAATATGCTTTATCAAGAGCATATAGTACTGATGTTTCTGAGGTAAAAGCAGTTGAAAAAAAAAGCAAACATACTCATGAATTATTAGCATACCATCGACTCAAACGACGAAGTTGTTACAGGACAAGAAGAAATCCATGAATTCAAAACAGAAACCAAACGATTATTAGACATTGTAGCCAATTCACTTTATTCTGAAAAGGAGATTTTTGTTCGGTAAGTTGGATGTGGTTGTCTCATCAAAAAACGTAACAATTTCTTTAGTGAACTTATTTCCAATGCTGCTGATGCACTTGAAAAACTTCGTCAAACACAAGCAACAGAAGCCGATGTAGACAGCGGAAAGCCTTTGGAAATCCGTATTGAATTAAACCAAGAAAAAAACCAATTCATTATCCAAGATTTTGGTATCGGTATGACATTGGAAGAACTCAATGCCAACTTGGGTACCATTGCTAGTTCAGGCTCAAAGAAGTTCATGGAAAAAATGGAAAAGGATAGTGCTAAAGGCGCTAAAGAAAACATCATTGGTCAATTTGGTGTTGGTTTCTATTCAACTGTAAGTATTCTTATGGGATGCAGGGTTGTTTATCAATTTGGGTTATAGTTTATGGTTGGTCAGAAGATCAAAGTATATACAAAGTCTGCTCTTCCTGGATCCAAGGGCTATTGTTGGACTACTGATGGTCAAGGATCTTATACTGTTGCTGAAGCAGAGAATGTGGCTGTTGGTACCAAGATCATAATTGAACTTCGAGAAGATTCCAAAACCTATGCTTCTGAAATTGAAATTGATTCTATCATCAAGAAATACTCCAAGTAGGTTGTAACATGTATATGAGCATACCTCTCATAATGCCTAAATAGCTTTGTTGGATTCCCCATTTACTTGAATGGCAAAGAAGTCAACACTGTAGATGCTTTGTGGACAAAAGATCGCAACAGTGTCACACCTGAAGAACACACACAATTCTATCGCTTCATTGCTAATGCCTGGGATGATCCTCAATACACATTGCACTTCAAGACAGACTCCCCTCTGTCTATTTCTTCAGTACTCTATATCCCTGAAAAGCACATGGAATTGCTGGGTGAACAAACAAAACCTGGTGTTTCTTTATATTCTCGTAAAGTATTGATTCAACCTGAATCTGCTGGCATTTTGCCTCCTTATTTGCGTTTCATTAAGGGTGTTGTTGATTCTGAAGATATTCCATTGAATGTCTCTCGTGAATTGTTGCAAGACAATATCTTATCTCGCCTTCGTATGGTCATGACATCCAAAGTACTCAAATGGCTTGATACGGAAGCGAAAAGAGATCCCAAGAAATACAATGAATTCTTTTTGGATTATGGGCAATTTATCAAGGAAGGTGCCTGTACAGATGCTATGCATAAGCGAGAAATCGGTAAATTATTGAGATTTGAAAGCAGCAAGTCAGAAAATGGTAGCATGATTAGTTTAGAAGATTATGCTAGCCGTAGCCAAAAAGGACAAAAACGTATCTATTACTTGTTGACACCTAAGCGTAAATATGCTGAAGAAAGCCCTTATACGGAAATGTTCAAGAAGAACAATGTGGAACTGTTGTACTTGTATGAAACCGTAGACGAGTTTGTTGTGAACCACTTAAAGGAATTCCAAGGTTATGAGCTTGTTTCTGCCGATTCGCCTGAAGCTGCTTCAGATCCTTTATTGCAAATTGGCCGTGAAGATTCGAGCGCTTCTTTGTCTGATACAGATGCTAAAGATCTTGCCCAATGGATCGAGAAGAGTTTGGGCCGTGATGTTGTCAAAGGTGTCAATGTCTCCCGCCGTTTGGCCACTTTCCCTGCCATTGGTGAGTTGGATGCATATGTTTCACATTACTTATCCAGTTGAATAGTGCTTGAGCATGAAAGTCCTGCTATGAGAAAAATGATGCAAATGATGCAAGGCTCAGCAAGAATGGAAGAAACACCTTCTGATCCTACTCTTCTAGAAATCAATCCTGATCATCCTGTGATGAAGGGTTTATTTAACATTCGTCAAACAAATCCAGACTTGGCCAAATTGGTGACCGAACAGATTTACGATAATGCTCTATGTGCTGCTGGTGTTTTAGATGATCCTAGATCCATGATTACTAGACTCAATAAGCTCTTAGAAGTGACAGTCAAAGCTGTTGAACAAGAAAAAAAAGTGATAGTGTAAAACAAAATAGAATAAAATTCATATATATATATATATATATATATATCAAATGGAAGAGTTCAGAAACAAGAGTCAATGGAGTATTTTGTTTAGATAATCAGCTTGGTAGTACATACCTTATTTGTGTATTAGAGACATACAAATGAATGCTTTGATAGCAAAAAAGACAACAATCGATACAAACCTTCTTCTTTTTCATAGACATATAAAGGTAGTATAAAGAATATTTATAAATGCTTTAAATACCGACAAGCTATGTTTGCTAACATCCATGGTATCTTTGGAACTCATTTGGACAAAAAAAAAAAGCAACTTGTAAAAAAACACGCAAATGGCCTTCGATCCAAAGGGGATTATTCATGAAAAAATCAAATTTGACAACTTCTAATCTTCTTTTTGACGTTACAAGACGAAAAGTAGAGCTACTGTCAAGCTTAAATACTCAAAATAAGTGCCAGACGCTCTGATTTTTGATGAATGTGTTTGCTTGCCAATTATATTGTAGAAATGATGAGATATAAGTGAGAAACCTCGTAGACATTTTCACACATTTACTCAATATTTTGGCAGTAAATTTGCTGCGCTTATTGTATCAAAACGCTCAAAAAGCAGAGATCTACAACTTTTGTTATTACACCAAAGCCAAATAGTTGCGTCTTTATGCAGTTCTCAGCAAAAGTTCGATTTTTTTTTTAGATTTTATTTGCCATACGTATTTTGTAGCGCGATAGGGCTACAAAAAAGAGGTGCTCGACAATGAGTTATTATAAAGTTAAAAGAGATAAAATAAAATTAAAAATGAGACAAGGACCATATAAAAGTTAAAAACAAGCAAAACAATGATGAAAAGAAGAAGGAGAGATGGAGGAATCAGTCGAGACAATTTGTCTCTTCAGCAGCGCGGCGGCCAACTGCCCGGAGGGTTTGACTGAATGCTATACTTGCAAGGAAGGGCTCTCTTCGATGCATATGAGTCCAATGAGCTTTCCAAAGTTCTGAGAAAGCAATGACAAGTAACATTTCGACTTCAATCGGACAAGAATTGTTGACGTTGATTTTGTTGGAATCTAAGGATTGAAGAGCTGAGGAGATATCATCAATAGAGGTACCAGGCCAAAGAAATTTACGAATAACAATATCCCAGAAGATAAATTTTTGGGGGCATCGAAAGAAAAAGTGGAAGACAGTTTCAACTTCTTGACAAAAGGAACAAAGTAGGGTAGGAGCAGTGGAAAGAGCCATGTTGAAGAGAAGGGATTTGGTAGGAACTTTCCCAGTTAGCAAACGGTAAATAGTGTTACGCTGTACTCTGGTAAAAGTCATGCACCAAAAGAGCTTCCAGGCAGAAGGAGAGACAGAAGATTGACCAACAGATCCCTGCATAGATGCCTTTACCAATGCGGCTTTAAAAGAACGTCGAGCATATTGAAAGGTATCAAATTGAGGATCTGTAACTGATAGGTGCAAGACATGGATAAAAGAGTAAAATCCAGTAGAGCGCTTGATTGCTGGTACGTAGACAGGACTGTAAAGGTCAAGGGAAGAGGGGGCAAGGCATCGTTGGAAAAAGGGCTCCAGTTGGCATCTACCATCATTCACCGCTCTAAGAAACTTTCGGTTGACAAAGAACAAATCTCGAGAGATATTAGCCTCTACAATGGGTCGGAGGAAATGTCCTTGAGGATGATAGGTATATAGAGCAGAAACAGGAAGAGACCGTAGTTTCGGAGACAAAATATGAGAGGTAAAGAGACGGACGACTACAGAGAGAGGTAGCAGAAGATAATCAATCGAGCTAGACATGTATGTGTAATTATTGCGTGGAATAAGGTCCATAGTTCGACAGATCATTGTGACGGTGTTGGTACTTTTTCGAGGAGAGCGTTTGCTTGCATCTAATATTTAATCCCAAGTGAACGGATTGATCAATGTTGATGCTTGCTCAGTAGTAATTTGCCGGCGGGTAGAACTCAATAATGATCGTACATCCCTTAACTTGATGCGGTCAGGCTTGTACAAAGTCTTGTAAAAGTCAACCATGACAGCAGTTAGGCTTGCAGTAGTGGAGACAAGAGTCTGAGTCTGAGGGTCTCAAAGTGCAAGAATTGACCTTTGAGAAGAACGAGTGGTAGCCAATCGTTTAAGATAGCCAACAGATTTTTCTCCTTTTTCACGCCAGACTTTGCCTGCTTTCAACCGATCAATTGCAGCCATCTCTTCTTGTAGTGTACTAAGTAAGGGTTCTACTGAATGTAACAAAGACGACAATATAGCTGCATTTTTATACTCTCAAAGAATTCTGTTTCGTTTCGATTGTAAACGCTTAATGGTTTTCGTTCTCCAATTGAGCCTATCTAACTGAAAACTTCGAGTGTATAACTTGACTTGTGCTTTTAGTTGATCCCAAATGTCCTCAGCGGATTTATCAGAGTTTGGATCAAGTAGGTTTTCTTGCTCAATATGTTTTGTTATGTGATCCGTAAGACCCTCTCGAAAAGCAGCCAATTTTGCCAAAAATGGATTACCCTTCCAGGATCCCTTTCCCATTGCGGCTGAAGAAAGCTGATAATGGATCGTCAGTAGAGCATGATCCGTCCAACTGTACTTAACAAAGGATTGTGACATGGATTTGATATTAGATGCATGTGGTGATGAACAAAAAATGCAATCAATATGGCTACGATTACCGGTGGTGCCAACAAAGGTTGGTAGCAGTTCATGTTCAAAACAATTATGGTATAGTGCAGACAGTAGAGTGGCCCAATCTGCGTCTATGTTTGATTGTTTGTGAATGTCATAATTGGAATCACCAACGATGATGGTTGGGACGGTGGAAGAACGTAATTGGGTCATAAGAGCTTGGTTGGCAGCTAAACTTCTAAAGAAGTGGAGTCTACCGGTTCTCTCAGCAGGGGCATAAATATTAATGATGTACATTATAGGAGAAGAAGGATCTTGAGTGCCAGAGACAGAAGCAAGGATGCATCTATTGTCTTGAGCAGTGATCTCTTCATGTTGTTGAATAGCATAGTTGGGATTGAATGATACAATGCCGCAATGTTCAGTCCATATACTGGATTTCGCCTGAAGCATTGTATCGAGTATAGATTTAGATTTTAAGGAATTGGCATGGGTCTCTTGGAAGCAAAATATGTCAGATTGAGTAGAGCGTATAAATCGAAAGAATAAGGAACGTTTTGTTGAATCATGCGCTTTGATGAGGCCACGACAGTTAAGTGTGGCTATCTGTAGCTGTTTTTGAGTCATATTTTTTAAATTAGTGTTGGGTGTAAGTTTCATCTCCTGGAGAATTACTAGGAGGATTGCCTAAACCCATTTTGTCCTTTTGTACCGGCTGATTGCTTCGCTTAGTCTTAAGAGTTTGATCGGGTCTCATTAGGGAATTGCCGATCATTGCAGCTATAGTTTCCTCAACTTCACGTTTGTTGGGTGGAAGCCCATTGCCATGACTTCTACGAGGACAATCCCTGCTTATATGGCTACGTTCGTTGCAATTGAAACATTGGCGGCTGTTGGTCAATTCAACGCAATCAGCTCGGCAGTAGTCATACTTTTGACAGAAACGACAGAAGGGGGCATTTCGTCCCAAGTAAGAAGAATATCTCTCTCTTTATCAACCCAGTCAATAACTCTGCTAAGAGTTTGAGGGTCAGTAGGATGGGGCTTGTTCAGGTTAAGGACTACATAGCCTTGTCCGAAAAAGACACTACCATCCATGTGAAGCCCAGCATCCAAGACTTCACCGAAATGGGAAAAACGTTCTACCATTTGTTCACGCAAACGTAGGGGATGAACAAAGGAAGGCGCTCAACCTTTACTCTGACAATCTTTGTGTTTGCTGGAAGACTGCAATAACCTTTGATTACTGTTTTATCATCAAGAGTTAATCCTTCATTCAACAATGCCTGACATATGGGTGACTCAAGGTCCCAGCAAGTTTCGATGAATCTGTGTTGCAAGTACTTTCGCTCTACAAGCAGGGTGCCGAAAAAATGATAGGTGTTTGCGGTTAACATCTCGGATGTTGGTGATGTCGATCAAGATACTGTCTTGTTCGAGCCCAACAATAAAAGGTGTGATAGTGCTGGTAAAAGTAACATCTAAGGCTGATGCTCATCGAGAGTTAGATAAGGAGGTTGTGTAGTTAGTGGCTGATGGAGTGTTCGTGCTAGGCGAAGGGCTACGCCAGGACACAGTGTTTCGAGCAGCAACTTGTGACCAGGTCTTTGTAGTGTTGATGCAGCGGCAAGAAGAATTGAAGTTGCCAGCTATTTTGTATGTCCTATGTACATTAACCCACATTTGCATGATAAATCGACCATGTTTCTATTTCTATAGATTCTTTGATGCTCTGTATAGCACATGCTATCTTCCAAGGTCTTATAGTTACCAAGTTTTATATGACCCTTAGAGCAAAAACACTTGAGGATGGTCGAAACACAGCTTAAGCATACCAATATTTGATGCGCCATTGCTCGACAACCAGACTATCAAAGCAACCTATTTTTCTGTTTAAAACATGTTCTTTTGATCCCAGAAATCGAATGGTACCATTTGTTTGGCACTTGAGTGAAATTCATTTTTTGACCTATGGGGGATCCACGGAGGTTCGTATTTAAATTGTTTTTAATGATAATATTTATAAATAGTCCTTTTGAGCGCACGACCTAATTTGGCCTTTACATGGAGGTTCGTGATGAAAAAAACAAAACTCGATCAGAAATTTTTGGAATGAGCCATTGTAGGCCTGATCCAACCGAAATCCGATAAGACTATCTCTAAATACTTCTAAAGAAAAGAAAGCGAGTTCACTGAGCTAAGAAAGTCGATTTGATTTGAGTATTGCCTTCAAATATGCATTCAAAGTTCGTGATACACTGTAATTAATATAAAAGAAACTCTTTTCAGTAGATAGTATTCAGGGAACTAGCACTTATTCTTATGCCATTCAATGCATAAAATATAGAAGAGTAAGATTTATTATAACACTTGGCACTTCTGAGACCAAAAAGAGCTGCTTTGGACAGATAAGCACAAAGAAAACTTCAGTCTATAAATGCATGTAAACCAAAGATAAAAAAGCAAGATATGTATTATCCAATAAACTGTAAAGAGTCTATATTCTCTAAGTTTGCTTTAGAGTGGACCGAATGCTCTCATAAAGGTTTCCTTTTGACATGGACATTACTTTCCACTTTTTTCGCTTTTTTCCTAGAGATCTCCTGCAACTTGATTGATAAAATTAATATCATGCAAGCAACTGACCTTGTTTGTACCTTGATTCTTTGGCTGGCTATCGAAAAGGTATTTAGACTTATTTTCAAAACAAGACATTCAGATGTAGACAAAAAGACACATCTGACAAAAGACTTTATCATCTCTTGATGAGTATCGTCATCCAATTGCGCAAGTGATGAATGAACTGTGGGTTACTACCAATGTTGTTTTTGTACACACATGCATCGTCAAATCATCAAATAGACTTTTTTTTAAAAAAAAAGGAACAGTCTTCCCTTTATCCAAGTAGCACCATCTGAAGCACTGACCACATACATAGCTTTTCGTTTCAATAAGCAATGTTTTCAACGTATTGTTTAGAGAAACCCGTATATCTTTAATGCAAATGTATTGAATAGCTAATGTGTGCTAACATACAGACGAAGAGCATTCATTGGAGAAGGGCAGAAATCTGATTTTCAATTCATAAGGTTCGACACGGATTTCTTCCCGCACATAGTCAGGTGTGTGTGAAGAGATAGAGAGAGGAGGGGGGAGGCAGAGAGAAATAAGGAAAAGATTGGCTTGCGGAAAATATCTTTTTCTTTCTCTTATTTTTTTTTCTGTTTGTACAGGACAAGAAAGAGAATATTAATTTAACAGTATAGAACAATATGTCGATGAAAAAATTGCAAGGTAAACAAAACTGAGACATCCATGTATTCACACTTGTTTATTGCGATCTAGCCGAGATCGACCGGGTCTTAAAGAAAGTGAGTGAAGGTGTCGAAACCTTTGACAATATTTTCGACAAGATACAGTCCACCAGCAATTCAAATCAAAAAGAAAAATATGAGCAAGATTTAAAGAAAGAAATTAAGAAACTGCAGCGTCTACGTGATCAAATCAAAACATGGTTGTCTTCAAATGATATCAAGGACAAAACTGCCTTGATGGACAATAGAAAACTTATTGAGACAGAAATGGAAAGATTCAAGAATGTTGAGCGCGAAATGAAGACAAAAGCTTTCTCAAAAGAAGGTCTACTGCAACGAGAGAGAATGGATCCAAAAGAGAAAGAAAAAGCAGACGCGTGCGATTGGATTTCAAATACTGTGGACGAATTATCACGCCAAATTGAAATGGCTGAAGCTGAAGTTGAAACACTGCAAGGCACATCGAGAAAAGGAAAGAAAGACCATTCAAAAGTTGAGAGAACAAATGAATTAGAGCACTTTATTGAGCGTGATCGATGGCATATCAATCGCTTAGAACTTATTCTGAGATTACTGGAAAACGATCAGCTATCGCCTGACAGAGTAAGGCAACCATGTTTATGTGTATGTCTATGCTCATGCAATTGTATAGGTCACTGCTATTCAGGATGATGTGCAATACTATCTTGAGTGTAATCAGGTACATGTGCAGTAAGCGTCATTAGCATACTGATTGTGTACTATAGGAGCCTGATTTTGAAGAAGATGAACTTGTCTATGATGACTTGAACTTGGAAGAAGAAGAGGAAATGTACAATGTAGGCACTGAAGATCACTTTGTAGCTGAAGGTATATATAACTATTTGATATGACATATATAGTCTAACCATGAGCAGAAGTGGAAGAAAAACCAACAGCGAAAAAGACAAAAGAAAAAGACAATGAAGATGATACATCTTCACTTGCTTCTTCTACTCGAAAAACGCTGACATCCAATAGTCCAATAAGCTGTAAATATACATTCGTTTTTATATTTTATTTATTTGTTCCGTATTAGCGAAATCAACTACAGTAAATAGTCCGGTCAAAGCACCAACAAGTGTGCCACCGCTTAAATCACCCGAAAACAACAATAACAATGCTCCATCCAATCTGAAATACGCTCAAGTAGCTAGCTCAGAGAAGGAGAAAGGTAACCACATATAAACAAACAAACAACTCATTCCTTTAAAGCGCAATCACCTCGTGTTGTTGTTCCATCTGCCTGGGCAGAACCTATCAAAATCGCAGATCAAATCAAATCCACAAATGAAAAATCGACAGCAGAGAAACAGAAAACTGTTCCTGAACTACCAACTACTAACTTACCTAATGGCAATCAGATAGTAAGCCAATTCATAGAGCATGATCATAAGCTTACATTTTGACTAGCTGCCATCACCATTGGATAATCCAATGTCTCAGCATCCTGGTGCTGAAGTTGAATCCCGTCTGCCAAACTCTTTGGCCGATCTTGCTTCTTCTTTTGAAGCAATTAAACTAAAAGCATCCAAGAATGAAGACTCTCAATATGCCAATCGTATGTTGGATGCCAGTCTTCAGTTTGTTCCTGATCTCATAGACTCTGAAAGGTAAACATGTCTAACTTGGCTCTATACTGAATTGTTGATTAGACCTAAAGTGTATCAAGCACAAACACCACAATTGACACCTGCTTATTATCCCCAACAGCCACTGGCTATTTTTGACAATCCAAGTCTTTTTGAAAAGTTTGATATGGATGCACTGTTTTTTATATTTTATTATCAACAGGGCACTTACCAACAATACTTGGCTGCAAAAGAACTCAAGAAGCAATCATGGCGCTTCCATAAGAAATACTTGACTTGGTTCCAACGCCATGAAGAACCAAAGACTATTACAGATGAATATGAACAAGGAACTTATATCTATTTTGATTATGAAGGCGCTTGGTGTCAGCGCAAGAAGACCGAATTTCGATTTGAATATCGTTATTTAGAAGATGCGTGATCATAAAAAAGTATTATATACATATTTTTTTATTAAAATAGGGGTTGGTGGTGATAATGAGAATAAGTTTTTCTAAGGCGATCTAAAGTTTATTTGTTTTGAGCAGACTGTGATGCTGGTGTACGACGCTTAAGATCAAAGTTGGCATTTTGTGTAGGCTTGGTTGTTTTATCAGCTTTGTCATCATCAGCATTTACTTTGACACCAGGAACAGATTCAGTCTTTGCAGCGCTGTTTAAACGTCTTTCTTCAGCTTCCATTGCACGACGGTACTGGCCATCAATAAGAGGCTTGAATGACTTGGAACGAGTCAAACCAAAATTGGTGGCACGGGGCTTACGAATATCAATATCCATTTCGGGCAACCACCAAGGCAATAAAGGCATACGCTCACGGAAGAAGTAACAGGCACCATGAAGGTATTTAGAGAAACGAGGCACTTCATGGACCAAATGGGAATCAACCAACTTGGTTAACCATTCTGGGGGTTCTTGACCCAAGTGAGTCTGAAGCTTGGTTTCCAAAACAGCATAAGGGAAGCGGCAAATCTCAGTTTCGTCCAATGAGGGGAAGGGATAGTCAATACCCACATCAGGACGACGCCATTCACCTTCACCTCTGCGTACCTTATCCAAATTGTCTTCACGTATGAAAGACAAGTCAGTATCAAGACTTACTCTAACACGTTGATCGCCAGGCAATTGAAAAGCTGTACGGTTATAAAAGGCACGAAGAACAGGCTTGATATTCTTTTCCTTGAGTGACTTTTGAACACCAGTAGCAATAAAGTGGGTATCTTTACAGATTTGTTCATCAACATTCTTGCTACGTAAACGATCCGTAATCTCTTCAGGGGTTAATTCATATTCTACAAACTTCTTGACATCATCAACATCGAGTCTAAAACGATCTTTGACAGAAGCACCGTCTAACCAAGAAGCATGGTGTGTCTTACGTTCGATAAATACACTCTTGGATTCCATAGGACCATACCAACGAAAACGAATAGCTTCAGCACCTTCATCACGTTGAAGACGACCAGTATACAAATCAAAGTCTTCGTTATCATAATAAATACTAGAGATAGCAGAGTCAGAAGCTTCAAACTTTTTGTCCTTGTTAAAGATCAAGACAGGAAGGTGTAACATGATAATAGACTTGACTTCGGTCACGTTATCAGGGTGAATCCAGTACTTGGCTGTGGCACGTTCAAAAGCATTTTGATCACCACCGGCAGCAGCATTACCTGTACGGGGTCTTCCTTGGAGACGGCAGAGATCATGGAGAGCAGAGATATAGACAATAGCAACATCAAAACGTTGCTTATCAAGTGGTTTAGCACGCAGTTGAGGAATAAAGCTTTGTTGAAGACGAAGACCAGTCCACTTGTCGTGCTTTTTAAGGATCTTTTGGAAGCCAATGTAATTGAGACGAGTAAACTTAGCCAAATCATTCACATCAAATAACACTTCAGTAAGTGCATCGTCCATGATATTCCAGTTTTGTTCAGAAGACCAAGAAGGATTGTTCATAAAGGTTTGCAAAGTTCTTTCACAGTAGCTGATTCTAGCTTCAACTTCCCCCAATTTGGCAGAAATAAAATCATATACCTTGTCTAATTCGTTTTCCAAAAGGTGGACAAAATCCTTTTCATCCTGTTCAGTCCAACCATGATCAAGTTGTCTTGCTTTGAGTTCAGTTTTCAAGACATCGTAATTGATATAAGATAAGCGCCATGGAGCAAAGATACCCTGCTTAAGTTGATCAGCAAACTTCATTTTTTATCTAGAAAAGGGAGAAAGAAAAGGAGGGAATTCAAAAAAAAAAAAAGGAAAAAGAAAGAATAAATAGGTATTTTAAAAAAACTATGTAACCTATTTTTAAACCAAATCAACCACGGCTGGTTTATTTCTGAGACACCTGAGTTTTATTTACCATCTAATTCCAAGTGCAAAAAGTGTAACCCATCGTGACCTCTCGTTAGCAATAATAATAATGATAATAAAAGGCGTATTCAAATTCCGTTAGCATCGCGACTTTAGTATTGCCCGTTACAATTGTGGACTATAAAAAATACAATTGGCGGTTGTAAAAAGACGAAATTCAGCTTTGTCTGTTAATACAGAAATATAATAAGAGAAAAAGTTCCTGCTAGGTCTAATTCATAGAAATTAGCCATAATTCAATTGATAGAAAAATGAGTTTGCCTTTTGAGAAGTTGATATCGTCCAAAGATCTTGGTGTCCAACAATGATGTCACTTGGACCAGAAATGAGATCGCATTCATATGTCAATTATCTTTGACATTTTTGTCTCCTTTTTATGATTACAGTTTGTTTTACAGATGTTCAAAACAAGCGTGCAATTTCTTTGCTAAAAAGGTCTAGGACATGTCATTGATAGGCGCAAAATTGAGCCTATGGATTTTGCTGTTGACGAGGAACTGTTTGCTATTAACATTGAGTTCTTGCACTTAACTTTTACAGAACAAACGTTCAAAAAAAAAACTAAGTCCTGTTGTGCGTTAAACTTCAGACGAAAGAAATAATGGAGATGGCAACATGGAATTACACAATAAGCGACGCTATGCGTTTCGCCCTGATTATGAGAGAACTAGATTCTTCCACTTTTTTTTTTTGGTAAATGTCTGAAAGCTTCTGCTGCTGTCAAACAATTAGATACTGATGTTTTTACACCTAAAGTATGGGTCAAACGTTATCATGAAGATTTCTAAAGCATTTTTGAGAAAGATTAAAAGAAAAAGACCGGCTGACATCGTAGTTTCTTATTGATCAAGTAAACAACCTATGGAAAGAAGCAGTGACGAAAAAATACAACAAAGGTACGATTGGGTTTAAAAGTGGTAGCATGCTGGCCTATACTTTGCAATAACCACCACATACCTACACAGATCTGCAATGGTAAACAACATCATCATTTCGTACTTTATCAAACGGTTCGATCGATATCATAATGTTTGACAAGAGGATTACTCTAGCTGTAGCATTAATCGGTGTTACCTTATTTAGATTTCAATAGATCAGGAAATGCTTTTAATTTCTCAACAGTTCTATCAGCTTGGCCATTAAATCAAGCGCTTGAAACTTCTATTATTGCTCTTTCTTTATTGTATATATCATCGCTTCAAGGAAATAATCTTATATCTATTGATTTTCCTTCATGTGGAATGACACTTTTCGTGTTCTACATGACAATCATGTAATGTTGCCGTATTTTAGACAACTTATGTTCTACTCCTTCCTGCCGCAAAGCTACAGCTAATGTGTAACGTCTGAATAAATGAAAAAGAGATATAGTTTATTAAAATTGAGCTTCAATAATATTTTAACTCAATAGTGCAACGTACTTGACCAATAATCTGTTTTTGCATTAACCCACTAGCAGGACTATACAGTGCCATTATTAGGCTGCTTCCGTGTTTGATTGTTGACTCCAAGATAAGTGTCCGAAGAAGGTGGATTTCGATATACGAGAACGAAATTAAGCTATACTTATTAAATATATGCAATCAAATAAAATAAATAGTACTTACTACCATAGCTCCTACAAACAAAGTGCAGAGTCCGATAGGTCCATAGAGATCATCATATCTTATATGCGGACGAGTACTGATTTGATATGCACGATAACGATTTCTTACATAGGCGTAGATGGCAATAATCATTGAAATACCAAAAAAAGTGACACCTGCAATTGTACTCGTATAATTGCCAAAGTTCAAGAGTGTTAAAGCAGCTGTCAAAATGAGAGCTGAGAATTGTAACCAATGAATAAAGGTACGTTCATTTGCGAGATGTTGTTTAGGCTCAATAGTATACCCCCGTGGCTTGTCCTTTTTCTTTTTCTTCTTTTCCTGCTTCTTTTCTTCGTCTTCCATTTCAATGACTGTGGCCCTAGCTTCGTCGTTTTCTTTAACGGTATCAGCATCATATACCATATAAGCATTCGATGAATCGTCGCGACCACCATAATAGAAGTCAATAAAAGATTGAACACTGCCTCTATGACGGGATCTCAATCCTCCCTTCATACTAAAGCTGGATGTTAATACGCACTCTGATGAAATTTGATCACTAAAGTTTTCTTTTTGTAAAGAATGACGATGACATTCTATCTCTACATAATCAAGAAACGAACCGAGGCATTGTGATTTCACCATATCCATTCCTTGCATCAATTTTTTTGCTTGTGTTATAGAGCGGATATCAATATCAAGTTGCGAAAGCCACCATGGTAAAAGGGGTAATTGTGAACCCCAAACTTGTGCTACACCATGCAAAAAAATTGAAAAGCGAGGCACTTCAAACACGAGTTTTGAATCAATTAACTGGGATAGCCATTGAGGCATTTGGTTTATGTTTGCTTCTAGAACAGCATGCGGGAAACCGTTCTTTTCTTCGTTCTCGCCTTCTTTTGAAAAGCAAATTTCAGTATCGAGAGAAACAAATGCCTTGTCCTGAGATGATTTGAAAAGAAAGCGTTTGGAATTGACGCATAATCTAGGCACAAGCGTTTTACTGAATATGGCAGTTTGTATTGTATGGAAAAGTGTGTAACAATTATCGACGTAATGCTGATCGAACTTGCAGGATCTGAGAAATTGTATGTAATCCGTCGATGAATAGGTTTGCGATAAGAAACTCTGTATTTTGTCTTTTTCGATTATCATATATTCTTGTGAGATATTCGTATTGCTGCGAGCAGTGCTACCATATTGATCTATCTTGAAGAACATTTGGTTTCGTGCGGCCAAGCTCTCAGTCCGATAATGACTGATAGCTCTTGCTTCGTCATCATGCTCTAAGCATGAAGAGTAAATATCAAAATTATCATTGTCAAGATAGGTTGTAGTTGTTGGATGATCCTCCATTTCAAAGTTGAACATCAGCAATGACTTCACCTGACCTAAGTTGTGTGGATGTATCCAATATTGAACTCGGCGATCATTTTGGTTTAGTATGTTGGACACCTTTTCATTTATCTTTGTGCAACTATGCATTAAAATATGTGCTTTTATCAGAATAGGATCAAGTCGTTGAACATCCAGAAAACGGGTCCTGCATATTTGTACCAAAAGCTGCTTTTGCTTCTTGTCTGTCAGTTTATCATGCTCTTTTATCAAACTATCCAATGCTTTATAGTTGGTACGGATATAATGGCAAAGCTGCTTTATTTCAGCTATAATTTCATAAAGACCATCGCTTGTTGAGTCCAGAAGGCTTTCTGATGAAGATGCTTGCTGTAGGAGAATGTTTTGGCATCTGCTCAGCCTAGTTTCTATCTCTCGACATTTTTTGTTGATAAACAAATCTACTTTAGCTGCTTCTATTCGAAGAGCAGACTCAAATTCTTTTTCATCTTTCAAATTCCATTCTCCCTTATGGCATTTTTCAATAAGCCCTTCATACATTGGTTCATAAGCGACATACTCTGCTTGCCATGGTTGATATATGTGATTACGAAACTCTATTGAATATGACATGTTTATTTAAAAGAAAAAAACCGAGTAGACACTCTCTGTCACTTTGACATGATGAAAAACTGAAATCTCGCCAACCAAATTGAAGGCGTTTCAGATAGTTAGAGTTTTTGAAATACAAGGTAAACAGCATGCACTATAGGAACATGGCCATGATCAATTGTCTCAATATCAATCTCCTCTTCTTCCTCGTCTTTCTCTCCGTCTCTGTTTTTATCTTCTTGCTTTCTGTCTTTAGAGTAGCCTTCTGGAACTGTCACAACCATTTCTTTCAATCGAATTAGGTCTCTTCCAACATGTTTCCCTATATCTTCTTGAATGAGCATTGACATTGGCCATAGTTTTCCCGTTATTGGGTCACGAATATCTTGAGTACCGACAATCAACATGCCCTTGGGGGCAAGCTTTGTTGTAGCTTCCTTAGCTAGAGAGAGAACAGTTTTTCGGTATTTGTCAATATGTTTCGGCAAAACATTTTCTAGATGGCCCGAGACTATCAATGTTAAGTCGCCAAATGTATAGGGCTTCTTTTTCATCATGGTGTCATAATGTACTACATCTTCAGACTCCTCACTCAATTCAGAAATCAATCCCTAAATAAATGTGTTACTCGAGAGATGCGGGGAGGAAAAATATAAATATCTCAAGTACCAATTTCAGTAAGGTCTTGTTGTTTTCTTGTATCCTTTTCAATCTCTGCTGTTCGTATTCGGATAGCGGGTTTTCTTCATCTACTTCAGTTCTTATTTGATCTTTTTGTACTACTTTGTTGTTAGATTCATTTCTTTAGCAATGGCATATATTTTACCTGTTTTATTTGTGCTGCTTGCTAAATTTACTGATTCCTAAGGAATAAATTAATACTGTTTGTGTATCAGATGTTTCTTCTTACACCTAGATCTATTTCAATATGCTCCCAGTTGCCATCATCTTTTCCGAACCTTTCAACCATACGTGAAATACATAATTGATCAAAAGAGTAAGCCTCTGTAGGTTTAAATATCCATACAGTTCCCATCACGACACTCTTTCTCATAATAGCAGAGGAAGGCACACCACGTACAGTACGCTTTACGTTGACTTCGTCTTGAATATCTATAATAAGAAACATAAGCTTATTTATGCTTGGTCATCATCAAATGTACGAACCAGTGTCCTGATAATCAATGAGCATCTTATCTGTATCCTGTTTCGGTATCTTTTTGAAAGTTGCAATGAACTCATGAGTGAACACCAAAAAGTCATATTGAACACACAATACAGAGCCCAATCCAAAAGCAGAACAATAGCGCTGTCTTTTGACAATCTATTGACATATGAGATCGTTGTTGGATTTTGTAAGCTTACCAATTCCTCAAGCTCAAATCCATTATCAATGTAAAGTCGCATCAAACTGAATCCAACAGGTATGTAAAAGCAGTGTTCTCGGTTATCACCAATACCTAAAGTCACTCTTCTGCTCATTTTAAGTAGTCTAGAAAAAATGCATTAAATCAACGTCCTATGCTTATCAAAGTACCTCCAGCTTTCTTGAACAACTTTGGTATATTCAGTTTTGAAATCTTCTATGTTTGTAAATCTACAAGTCGAGTTAGACGGATACAGTTTCTCTTATAGAGCTATACCTAGACAAATCACCATCCAGATGCGTAGAGTAAGCAACACAATCTTTATAAGGTGGGTGTGAAAGGATATGATGGAACGATTCATCATTAAACAAAGTACCAGATAGATTTCGAGAATCTGCTTGGGCAATGATGGGTCGATATTCTGCTGAAGTCAAACCAGGAGGTATTTCAAAGCAACAGTTGCGTTGTGATAATGTAACAGCAGCCTAAAAAAAGTTATTTGTCAAAAAACACTTGAGTAACATTAAAAAAAGTTACCGGATTGATATCAATACCGCAACATCTATTAAAAAATGTCATTATCTCCTATTCTTTCTTTGTCAAAATACTGCTTACCTTCTTTGTAATAGAAAACATTCGATAGCATCTGTACCTGTCCTTCAGTGTTAAATCTATGAAGGATCCAACTGAACTTACCTCTACCAAGGAAATTTGACAAGACTCTTTCATCTTTGCTTGTATACTTTAATATGGCCCTGAAATACAGAGTTAGTGCAAAATAGTTCTTAATTCTTGATCAGGACATACCTACGAACCGTTTGAGGTAGCCAAGTACCTAATTTGGAATATTGTTTGTTAGAATAATATCGAGCCAAAAAAAAGTCTTACCATGATAATCTGTTCCTGAATGAGATGCCCAACGTGGTGCTCTTCCTGGTATATCAAAATAAGTCGAGTCAAAAGTAAGTGAAAACATTTGATGCGGCTGCGGTTCGTATGTAGACAGTCGTGGCCCATTTACAGCCTGACTGAATTTGGTTGAAGACAAGGTATCTCGTGTAAAATAAGGCTTGTGAGAATAATCATCAATAGGCCCAACATAATGATCTTGCTCTGAATCAAAGCTATCTGATGTGCATGGCTTTCCATCGTTGTCTATCAGCAAAGCAAGTTCAAAGCATGCATTACACATAATGACTCCTCCATCGTATCCCTTTCGCCAATGATCAGCATCATAAGTACCACAATAGCAACAAGATACAGGCATTGTTCCATCTGCAAGCCTTCTGCGTCTACGTGGAAACAAAGGCTTTTTCTTCTTTTTGGCAGCATCTTAAAAAAAAAGTCAATTAGTTCATCAGTAAATAGTTTACTTACTAGCTGCTCTTGTTTCTTCTTTGATTCGGGCTGCCTCTCTAGCTTTTTGAGCTTCCATCTCTTTAAGAATGGCGAATGCTAAAATGAGGGTTAGTGCTTTCAAAGAGAGAAATATGCTTGTGATGCTTACATGTTTCTTCAAACTCGTCTTCGTTATGTTCATGATCTTCAGGAAATTTCTCATAGCACTAAATATTTGTTAGTCGTGATTCCTTAATTTTTTAGGGGAAAGAAGTACCTCTGTACATAAATCAAACGATTGGAAATAGCTTTTTGAAGCACAAGAAACACATGTAAACCAAGACTCATCGCTCAGCTTCTTTTCACACCCATCACAATTGAATATGTTCACATAAGTATCTATGCCAATATTAGACATTATTCAGAATATATCTGGCCTACCCTTTTTGTTATAGTAAGCTTCATGGACACTGCACCAAAATATAACACCACTCTTAAAATAGCTCACAGGTTTTTGAGCGCAAGGTAAATGATAGCTTTTGCCACATTTGGACTCAAAGCATCCAATCGTCGCACCCTTTTCTTTACAACCATGGCATCTCTATTGTAGAGTATCAAAATCAAATGTTCACAATGTAGTTGCTTACCATTCCTCTTCCACGTCGCAAAGCAAGGGTTACATTATACCATTTACCTTCAGGCGTACAAAAGACTTCAGGCGAATATCTAGCGCATGCATCATGAGCCCAAAACGATCGCTTTTTCTCAACACCATTTTTGTTGAATGTTGAAATGATGAAAGGACCAATAAACTGACCGAGTTCTTCTGAATTGTCATCATCATCATTACAGAATGCACAAACTTTTCTCCTTCTCCACATCTTTAGAAGTTTATAGCCTTGATCTGGCTTGACAGGAGTATCGCCTTTGAACACTTGACTAGCGTCAACAGCTATATCTTTTCCCGCCGTAGTTGTCTGAATTGTCAAATCAACATTATCTTTTTGTGGTTTCTCAGCAGCTATAGGATTTTCTCCTTCAATTGGAGCTTCACCTGTCGCTGGATTAGATTCACTGTTAGTCGGCATTTCATCCAAAATATCTTCTTCCCATATTGTGACAAGTTCGCCTTTAATTGGCCTTGGCCCTATGGCTGCATCAATTACTGACTGAACTGCAAAACTAGAGCGCGGATGATGATGCCAGAAGGGAAAATTTTGATCGAAACATCTGTAATCAATTAGAACTGATAAAAGAAAAAAAAAAGAGCACATTACCTAAGGCAAAGTTCAAAGCTCTGCATTCCATTTTCAGATGGAGATGTCTCGCAATAAGTACAATAGTATCTGAATTGCTTAATCACCACGCTACACTGATTACAATTCACATGATTTTTGCATATATCAATAACTAAAAAAAATAATATCAATAAGGTATTCATTAATTACACAAATACACTTACTTCCTTCTGACTCTTCTTTGCTAGATTCTTGGTCTGCACGAGATGCTTCTTCATCCGAGTTCACATCAGCTAAAGTAATTCTCTTTCTACTATATCTGTTGATAAGTGTTTTTTGCGGCTGCAATTGCTGATCAGTAAGGTGAGTCCTACAGTCCTCTTCTGTGTTCTCTGTTTGCATCTTTTCATAACGCTCATGATATGTGGGTTCAATGCATAGCACCTCATGGTCATTATCAATTGGTTGAATTCGTCTACTGCCTAAAGTAATGTATTCATCAAAAGCATCAAGCCAGCCGCAATAATGAACCTTGACTTTGTTTTTATGCATTGACACAAGTCTTCCTTCATAGAGTTTTTTGTCAAGATGTAGCACAGTAACGTGTTGCATATAGCTATAACCATAAACGTTAGCCACAAACTTGTGGTCTTTCGGTGCTTTGGCCTGAGCCAAACGAAGTGAAATGATATGTGGTTCATTTGTAGTTTCCTCAGAAGACATGCAACAGCTAGATGCTGAATTTTGCTTCTTTCTTTGACTGGCTGATGTATTTCTTTTCTCTTTGTAGATTTTCCAGACTTCTTGAGTACATATTTTTTTGAACCAGAGTCATCCTCATTATCCTCATCATCCTCATCATCCTCATCATCTTCTTCATCATCGGTAAAGTCAGTATTGTTTTCGTTATCACTTGTGTCGTTTTTGAGTGATTTGTTTCTAGTCTTGCTTTTTGCTGAATGTTTTGTTTTCAATTCTTTTCTTCGCTGCTCTTTCTTTGCTTTTTTAGCAGCTATGTCATCTAAACTTTCAAGCATTCCTAGTTCAAGATAGTCTTGTGGACGAATAATCGTATGATTCTTTTTCTTTTTGATATTGTCTGTTATTTCAGGATTTGATTCAGGCATCAAGAGGTCATAGACTTTCTTTTTGTTATTCATTGGTGCCTCAAAGTTCAAGTTGAGTGCAGACTTGCTATTAGCGTCTGCTGAATGATTCCCATCGTCTTCTTTTGGCGTTTCTGATGCAGCACGAATTCTGCGACTTCCAACCATGATCCACTCATCGTAGATATCTGCCCATCCGTCATAATGAACTTTGACTTTTCCTGGCTTCATTGCGACCAGTGTCCCACGTTCCCAAAACATTGTTTTTCCAGATCTTGTGTTAAGGATTTCAACTGCTTGATTATATACGTAGCCATAAGGATTAGGTACAAATCCGTTTTCGTCTTTTAGTTGTCGCATTGCTCTTCGTGTAGCAAATGCACCAGTGGTCAAAAATTCGTTTGGCCCAGCATCTTGCACAGTTTGACTTCTACCTGTAACACTCAAAGTTGAATTTTTAGGAGCTTCTTTGTTCACAAATTCTGGATCTGAAGGCTTTGATATTGGTGCTGTTGTTGACTTCTTGCTTTTTGATGCCTTTTGCTTTGTCTGAGATTTTTGTTTCAGTATGGCATTAGTGCTCTCTTCTGAATTTTTTTTAGATGAAACAACTGTTTCTGTCAAGTCTGTAGAGTTTGTCTTGTCTAGGGAAGATGCTTGACACTTTGATTTCTTTTCTTTCTTCGGCTCACTAGATTGAGTATTACTTGAGTCTTCTTGAATATCAAGATCAACCTTGTTTTCAAGCTTTATGGCTTCTTCTTCTTCATCGGTCATTACTCGCAAGCGTCTACTACCACTGGGAAGCCATTCTGATAAACTGAGACTAGGGTACCAGACTCGTACTTGATCATTGCGCAATTCCCTTAAATATCCCACGCATTCATCTTTTGCTTTTCTCTCGCCTTTCTTTTTGGTAAAAAATGTAACAGAAACAGCGCGGTTACGACGATATCCAAAGGAATTAGGTCTGAATCCATATTCATCAACTAGTTCACGAGCTAATCTCCGCGTCATGAAAATCTCATTGTTGTTGAAGATCTGTGTCTGATCTTTATCCAAGGTCTGACTCACATAGTCATCACTTGTCTTTTTGTGAGTAATTTTTGGAGGACGAATAATCTTTGCTTCAGTCTCAAGTGGCTCAGATGGCATTACTGTACAAGAAGTACCTTTGTTAAAGTTAGCTAATGTACCTTGAGTTATTTTACAATAAAATACCTTCAACATCAAAACTGTCGATACTATTTGAGTCTTTTTGACAAGAATTAGTGGCATCAATGTCTTGATGAGTTTCTACGCCACTATGTTCTTCTTCCGAAAGCACCCTTAGACGTCTGCTTCCCATGATAATCCATTCTTCTTGGTCATCCCAACCATCGTACTTAATTTTCACTTTTCCTTTTTCCATCATTTCCAAAGTACCTCTGTACCAATGCCCGTTGATGTTCAAAACTTCAACAACTTGTTTATGGACAAGTCCATGAGGGTTTGGGTAGAATCCAAATTTGGGATCAGCGAGTGTCTTAGCAGTCCTTCTAGTCATAAATGCACCAGTCGTATAGTGCTTAGTATCCTTATCGTTATTCAAACCTTTGTTTTGTGGCGGTTCATTAGATACAGTGATAGCTTTCTTCTTTGTAGCCATTATTTTGAGATTATTTTTGACAGAATAAGCAGATTTTGTAGGAGGAATAGCGTCTTGTTTTCTGCTGATACTTGTTTTATTTTGTGCTGTCTTTTTCGCATCACTCTTTGAGACTATAATTTCTTTTGCATCGTTGCTAATAGTGTCTTTTTTCGTGTGACCAGTTTTAGTCTTTTTGAATACTTTTTCTTTTGGCGTTTGTAGTTTCGTGCTTTCGTTGTTATTGTTATGGCATTTCTCAATAAAACTAGCAAAAATTTCATCATATTGAGATTGACAACTAACGCATGATTTGACAAGTTCAAATGGACCACGATCTTCAATCTTGAAACTGCTTTGAGTTTCACAGTCTTTGCAAGTTTCGTCCAGTTTTGAAGCTGCTGATTTTCTTTCCTCTTTGTTTGGATGATCAATCATTCCCAATTCAATCCATGGGCCTAACACATCATCGTCGGACTGTAAAGAAACAATAGATTGTATATCGTCATCATCATTGTTTGCCTCTTCATTGCTATCTTTACTGGTAATTTCGGCTGAACATAAACTTTTTTCTAACGAAACAGGTAATTTATCTGTTGTCTTATTAGCGTCAACGGATCCCTTGACATCCCATCTGGTCTTTCTTCCATTCTCTGTTCGGTATTTGTGCATAATGTTATCAGTGATAATATTAGCCTCATGTTTATCTTGTTGTTGTATATCATTTTGCGGTATTTGGTGAGCAAACTTTAAACTAAACTTTATTCCAACACTGGCACTTATCGGATGGTATTGCGTTTCTGATGTCTTGTGTTCATCTCGGTGTTTTCTCATCCGGAATAGTCCAACAAAAGGCTCCTCTGTCAAATATTGTTGTCTTAAAGATTTCTCTTTCACTGTTTTTGATATTGACTTTTCGATAGGGCCCTTATTTCTGCCTTTCAGCAATAGCTTTCCCATGAAGCTGCCAAACTTTTTACTCTTTTGTTGACTATCAGCATTTTCATTGTTTGGCACACTCTGCTTGTAGTATTAAACATCGTAATACCGTGTGGGATACTTACTTTTATTTCGTTGACCACACGACGTGTCAGTTGCTCAGTTTTGTTGTTAGGTATGCAACTACCTTTTCATTTTCTTTTAGGTACTTTTTGATATAAATATTTAATGCTACTTACTGTCAGCTGCTTCTTTACAGGACTTCCAACTACTCGGAAAGCTCTTGTCGCTCATTTTTGGCGTAAAATGCACTTCTTCAGGATTTGATAAGATGAAAAAAATTGACTTGAATAAAAGGAAAAAGGGAAGGGCCTGTTTGTTCTCAGCCTTTTATTTATATACCAAAGTAGAATTATTTGTATCAATACTTTTTCTGTACAACATTCACATTCGAAAACTTGACTCGAACAAGTTACTGCTGCCACTATGCAGATGAGGGTTCTGTCTGATTTCTAAACCCAGGAGGTTGTTGTATTTTTCACCAAAGTTGAAAAAGGCTCAATGATAAAATGAGAAGAATTAAAACCCAGCCTTTTCCATTTTTTTGAGAACCATCAGCGCAAAACTGTTTGTCTGAAATAGTGAAGCGGCAGGTGAGGAAAAAATGTATCAGAGACGACAAGCGAATTTATAAGATGCAGCTTTAATAATGAGGAGGATATATATTGGCTCCAAATGAGCCATTCCAAGATTGTCTTCTTCTTTTATGAGCTTCAGGATGATTGGGTTTACCAAATCACTCAAATTAGCCCCAGGCCTGTCCAAGTACCGATGGCCAGCTTTAGTTTTAGCATGCTGGTCTTTAAGTACGACGATATTTTCGATGCAATTTTTGATCTGATTTTATCTCATACATAATCTTAAGCGTTGGTCTATATTCTAGCTTATTTGAAAGGGAGTACAGTACCTTTGATTCAAGACAGAACTGGACCAGTGCAGGTATATAATCCTGTCTGTCTTCAAATTCCTGCCGTATCAGCAAAGAAGACTCCAGAGAAAAATCAAACAACCCTTCTTGTTTGTACGATAGATTCCAAAGATACAGATGAACTCCTTCAGATTTTCAAAAGTTAGTATTACCGCATTCTCTTTTAGAACATTATCTGCTGCATTTTGAAAAAGCTTTTTGAAACTTTCTTAACTACTGGTGTTTTATAGTTTTTTCTCTTCATCTGTCAAGTTCATCTGCTAAAAAGGAAAACCTTAAATGCAAACTAGCAGCCACGAAATAGGTTGGCGCTTTCTCGTAAGAAGTCCTTTTTATCCAGATAAAAGAACATCAACTTCATTTTGAGGAGTTCTCTCAACTAGATACATCATTCTACGAGCTTCTTTCTATTGCCAAACATTCCTTTAAGTTAGTCAATCTATTTTGTATCCCCTTAATTATTCTCTACAGTGTTCTATATTTAATTCAAGAGCTTTCTCATTCTATATCTCTTTAAAAAATGGCTGATAGCATATGCTCCCACAGCATAGGGCATGAAATTGACTAGTAGGAATAACTCAAAGTCAGTGAGGATATAGCAGTCATGGCCTCTTTAGTTAGTAATATGGGTATATATTGAAGTGCATCGTGCTGCAACTAACTTTTCAGCGACAAATAGCATTGTGTTTTATTGTACAAAATCTGATTGTTTACTGGGATTGATTACAAAAAGGCTTCAAAGTGACAAATCTGAATTCGAGGATCATTTGTGTTCTTTTCTGATATGACCTGTTCAGCCATATGTATTTTTGACTAGATTATTGCTCATTATCTAATAGCGAGAACCAAGAGGGCGCCAAACACAAGATCATGATAGAGCATCGGCTGCTTAAACTAGGAAAACAGTATGTAGGACCTTCTACAAGCTTGAGCAAATGACATCAAGGCAAAACAGTCTCGATAGACATCTTGCTGGCTATCCAGGCAAGTCGACTCTCTTTTTCATTTGGCCGCGTCGTAGCTTCGGTTAGGTGCCAAATCTACGGAGACCGTCTACCGCAATGTCACCCCCTTGTCTTACTAAGTCCTGCGACATAGTCTTAGGGCACATAGGGGCCGTAATCAGTATAGATTACAAGTCTGTATGGTACTGCATTTGCTCATGAAGGAAAAGGTGCTTATAGAAGTAAAAAGGGAAAAGAGAATAAAGACATAAGCTTATGTTAGTGTCTAGTCTTTCAGCAAATAATAAGATAGAATAGCCTGTCCAATTTATTCTACACAAGGAGATTTAGTCGGACTTTTTTGATTTATTGCCATAAAACGGAATGCCTCTAGGCGATATACTGTACTCTCTAAACACGTAAGTGGTATTCTTAAACCCTTTTTTTATTTTCTTGAGAAATATCCTTTATGGGCATAAACAAAATCATTATATACAAAAAGAAACATATATAGTCATACATACAACTGTACAAAAGAAAAATCAATAATTAAAAGTCAGGGAACCTGTCTTTGTATGGATCTGCTTGTGTGACACCGTAAGGATAGAATTCTTCAGGATATTTGTCAAAATTACTTGCATCACCTTCACCTTTCAAATGAGGAATATGTGGAGGTCTAATCTTTCTTTGAAGCAACTTTTCAAAATCAAGAGGACTAAACCATTTATGTTCACGAATATCTAGCCATCCTCGCTTCAGATTACCAAAACGCTGTGATAAATCTGTAGTAAGCAAATGTTGGAGTAGGTCCTTCGCGGTAGAGTCAATAGAAGATGGATATGAAGGTGGTGTTGTTAAGATCTTTTCATATAGTCTAAACTGATTTTCATCGTAATAAGGTGGATGACTAAACAAACTAATAAGTAAAAAGAAAAAAATATTGTATACCATTCCAACTTACCCTGCAAGCATTTCAAAAATAAGAACACCAAATGCCCAGTAATCAGCAGCTTTACCATAACCTTTTGTCTGAATAATTTCAGGAGCAAGGTAATCAGGTGTGCCGCACAATGTCCAAGTAATATCAGGTACTTTTTTGGCAAATCCAAAATCAGTAATCTTGATATGTCCATGCATATCCAAAAGAAGATTTTCAGGCTTTAGATCACGATAGACAATATCTTTGCTATGTAGATAAGAAAGTGCCAGCAATACTTCACCAGCATAAAATCGAGCTACTTCGTTTGAGAATTTCTAATTCAAAATGATGCATAAACAAATGTTACTATAACTCCATACTACTCTACCTTTTGTTTTCTGAGAACAGTAAAAAGCTCTCCGCCTGGTACGAAATCCATGACCATGTATAAGTTTGCAGAATCTTGAAAACTTCCCCAAAGATTAACAATAAAAGGATGCTGAATACTACTTAAAATAGCACGCTCGTTATTTGTATGCTCCACTTGTTTCAACTTAACAATCTCTGCTTTTTTGAGCACTTTGAGCGCATAGTAATGATTATTGATTTTAGATCGAATCAAATGAACACGACCGAAGGAGCCTGTGCCCAAAGTTCTTTGGATATCAAAATTCTGTAATTTCAAATGACAGCGCGGACGTGTGACATCTGAGTCAGTAATCTGTTGATCTGTTGAATTTCTATTTGCATGGTCTTCTGAGTTGGCACTATGATTGTCTTGTATGAATGAACCACCTGGTGTTGCTGGTGGTGTTGAGGGTAATTGCTCAGGATAAAATGGTGCTACAGGTATTTAAGTTTCAAGATAAGCATATTGAGTAACCTACTTACTATAGTTTGTACCTGATTTTGTGGCATGTTCTTCAGATGGTCTCGGATTAGTATGATTAGATGAGTTTGTGGTAATAGAAACCACACTGGCATTCTCTCTAATGGGTTGTGTCTCTGTAGGGGGGACTATAGATAAATGCATCAACATATACCCTCACATGATAATATCAGCTTACCTGGAGGAGGTTCTACATAGTTATCATTTTTATCATCTTTATAGCCAAAAATGTGAGTAGCAAGATTGTGGGTTGGTAGTGCGTTAGTAATTGCGTGGAATTTTCCATGATGGCTTTCATTGCTACTAGTGCTGCCAGACTTTGACTTACGGCCGTCGTGATGAAAAGAGAATCTTGGTTTAGCTTTATCAACTAATTTATTAATTATAGTGGGCATATGTGTTTGTGACAAAAAGAAAGTGAGAGAAAGGAAAAGTAAAATATCGAATTTATAGGAAAATACCTGAGTGAAACAGTGGATATGCTGTGTGTGAATAAGTAGGTGACTTTAAATTAATGAGCTAAACAAGTTTGCATTGATAAAGGGTTTTATATATTGCTTGATTTCTTGAGAAGGGCTTCTTTTCCCTTTTTTTTCTTCTTCTTCTTTTTTGATGAGTAAGCTTGATCTCATTTGTTTTTCTTTATCAATTAAAGCGGAACAAAGCAAAAGTGATTGTATTATTAATACGGATATTCTCTTTCTCTTTTTTTTTGAGCAATGAAAGAATTATGTCATCGCATAAACTCAGAAAAAAAATAAACCAATTGGTTTTTTGATTTATGACATATTGAAATACAGGTGAAAATCGACGATAGATATCAACTAAATCAGCATTCTTTTTTTCAATAAAGTATATGTGGCAGTAAAGAAGAGCATTATTCTGATTTTTTTTATCATTGACAAAAACTATTACACGAGAATATCGTAAGATTTACAAGATACTTGGCGGTTTGGTTTCTTGTTCTAGAGCAAGCATTTTCCCTCTTTGTTAGTCAAAAAAGATAGAGTTTTGTGTTACAAAAAAGCCATGTTATTGATTAGTTGTTTTTCGTATTTATTATGTTAAAATTTTCAAACCCATGCTTTGCTGAATCTTGAGGGATCTACAATTGAAATAAAAATGTTTGATTTAATGATAGCATATCCATTAGGTTGGAGAATACATCTAAAAGAAGAGAAAAAGGGAGTAAATAGAATCAATCTACGTCATTAGTAGTAAATCTTATTTCTTCTATTTAAGCTAGTTTTTACTTTTTCTGATATAAATATTTTGTTTATTCATTGTTTTCTTTTTTAGCCTGTTATATGTTGTCAATGAAAACGCTCAAAGTTCTCTTTGTAATTCAATACAGCAATTGGATCAGAATGACATTTGAATATTGCTAAAAAAGCAATCGCAAACTAAAGTTATGCGCTAAGATGGATTGTAGCGTGTTTACGTAGATGCAATTCCGAGTTTCTGGATTTGTTTAAGCTTTTTCCGGCGATTGCAAATGAGATACTTGAAGCGATTGAACTTCTTATTGGTTGAATTGTCGTAGAAATTGATTTCATTTGATATGTCTTAAAACAAGGTTGTATTATAATTCACAGGCAATTTATTGTACATTCTAAAAAAAAAATATTACTGATACACACGAAGATAGTTTATATCCCAGTAGGCTTCATCAAAAGCACCAGGTGTGTTCTTGACATGATCAACACAAGTAGAAGGACAACCGGAACTAATGTAAGCATTGCCTGCCCAATCACCACAAAACGTCAAGTTGATAATGATCTTCATGTCTTTGAAAGAAGTAGCCTTACATTGAGTACAAAAAGGGAAATGAGCGACGGGTGTACCCCATTTGGCGGGATTAAGTGCTTTCCCGGAACGAATGTCTTTAGGAATAGAAGCACGAGGGAAAAACCAGACTTGAAAGCCTTTTTTTATATCCCAGAGCATGGCATAGACACCACCTTTGTTCTTATTGAAACCAGCACCGTACGAACTTGTGCTTGTATCACTTATGCTGCAGCCATTGTTCGGAGGTTGCTCAGGATCATAAGCATAACAGTTGGGATATTGTGATTTGAGGCCTTTCATGATCTGTTTAGCGCCTGCCATAGTACACGTATTACCAGTGTGAAGGGCAAGTGCATTCACCTTTTGCTTGTTGACGCCTTCCAAAATCTATCAATGAATCGTTCATGATCAGCATATATACCTAATCAAACTTACATCAATCTCACCATCAAAAGGCCAGGAAGAACCCATCATCCAATAAGCTGGCCAAGTACCGCAACCGCTAGGCATGTGATTTAAATCGAAAATGAAAAGACCTTTGTGGTATGTTTCCTTGGACTCAAGGCGAATAGAAGGACGTCCATTAGCAGCCACTGTTTTATTGTCAGCCTTGATAATAACACGATTGTTTTTCACAAAAGTTAAGCCCAATGATTTGGCGTTAACAGCATTTTGATATTGAACAAAACCATGAGTAGGATCAGAGCCAGAAAAATAATTGAACTTGGAAAAGAAACTAGAACCACTGTATTCCGTTTTTAGAGAGTAGCAAAAGACAATATGAACAAATGCAGTAAGGCAAAAAAGAACAGTAAGCTTCATGATAGCTAAAGGAAAGAAAATACAATTGACAACGGCTTGGTTTATTTTTATAAAATATCTGGATCCAGCGGTTAATAAATCAATTTTATAAATCAGACTTCATCTTTTTTTTAGGTACGGAACTTCCATGAAATTGTTGTGATCCGAGAGGCTGTTAAATGATAAACGCTTTGACAGCAATCAAACCGAAAATCTGGAGCCTTTTTAGTATGTGGGGAATGGCAATACCTGATACGTTATTCGATACATGAACTGCTGCTCCTTTCTATTCAAATTAGACTGCAATTGCTTATTTATATTTATGTGCGCATACTGAATTTTGAGCGCGACCTTGAAAGTTTTTTTTCTGTTTACCTCGCGTAAAGAACCTGTCCAATGGTTCTTTTCAATTGCAAAATCAGGGGCATGCAGCGGATAATAAATTCGGGTAAATTATCCCATTTGAATTTTTTTTCTCTTCAACATGCAGAAGTTTATTTTAAATATCAAGGTGTAAGCTCAGAGGAACAACCTCTCAAGGTTGACAATAAGAAGCCAGTGTGACCATGTTAACGACGATAAAAGTGTTGTTTACTGGCCACTCCTATTTTTTGAGCGAAAAAAAACAGAATCTCTGTAAGTTTAGAGAGATTAAAATTCAAGGTTAAAATCACGCTATCCTTATACAAAAACAGTAGCAATTGTAGCACATAGCACATTTTCATAGAGGAAATACACAGTTTGACAGGGAAAATTCAAACTGTTGATACGTGGTATAAATAAATATTGTGCAGCAATAATAAACACAAAACAAATAAGTTTTTCTCCCTCTTTTTTATTTCTTTCCTTCTCTTTCCTTTGTCTATCAAGTAACCCTAAAACAGGGACAAGCATTATCTCCCCTTTCTTGTATATCTTATAGCTACTTGCGGTATCTATTTATATATATATATATATTTCTTTATCGTACATATGGAAACAGTCAAACCCAAACGCTTTTCATTTTCTGGCTTTGGAAGTAGTCTTACCAGAAGCCTATCATTTAACAAACCTAAAGAAGAAGAAATTGTTGTGCTTCCACCGCAAGAAAGTGACGATGAACAGCGTAGAAATAAGAGAGCTCAGAAATCCAAGAGTCTATACATTAAATCGTTTAGAAAAATTGGAACCAGCAGTGATGAAACAACACCTAAAAAGACGGAATTCGATGCCGCTGAAGCAACACAGACAAACAGTAAGGAAATAAAAAGTTCTATCCGACGATCTCTATCAGCTGTCTTGTACGCAACTCCACATGCAACATCAGGAAAAGACGGTAACAAGCTTGTTCCTATCTTAGTTACACCTGGTCTTTCAGAGTCTGTAGGTGGTATATTAATCAGCGATGCTGGAAAGAGTCAAGAAAAGGAAGAAGGAGGAGGAGGAGGTGAAAATAAAAAGAAAAAGAAACCTGTTGAATATGATAATACATTAGAGGTCTTTCCAAACAAAAAGAATGATGCAGTGACAATCTTATGGCAAGGATACGGATATACTGTTTTATACAGTGGCGAGGAAGAAGAAGTAGCATCTGAAATACTGGAGATTCAAGAAAATGTGACTGAAACGCCTCAATACTTGAAATCACGCTTTGAAAAAGAGACTTGGACATCTTATCGTGGTCTTATTCACCCACTTCATTTGTTTCAAGATAAGGACGAAGTCACAAACCGAGGTCGCTGGGCAGGATTAAGTGTTTCTGAATTAAGACGCTATTATGATAACTATGGCTCCATGATGCTAAAAATCCGAGAAGCTAGAATGCTTCAACAACAAAAACAATACCATTGTATTTCTGATGCAAAAAAGGAATGGATTATCATACCAGCTACAGAAGTAGAGCAGAAAGAAGACAAATCACCTTAAATATAGATACCCCTTTAATATATTCTTCAAATAAAAAAGTCTGTTTATTTAAATATCAAACGTTGTCATAATATTAAGGAAACCAGCATGCATTTGGTTTGTTAGATGTGAAGCAATAGCATGGCGACTTGCAGGAACACTTTGTAGAATACAGAGATTCAATGAATCAATGCTCTTATACAACTTTTGAACGTCAGCAGCAATCAAAGGCTTCAACAAAGGCAGTTCATCCAATTGTGTTCGTTTTCCAGCAACAGAAGATAAGGTAGAGATAATTTCAGGCGCAAGTTGACCCAGTCCACTGAGAATGCCATCAATTTCATCACCAGCCATACCATTAACACTAGCAGTACCAGGATGACTAGCAGTACAGCATGTCTTTGCCACTTTGTCCATACTTGTTTCTAGAGCTTCAATTTTAGTACCAATGAGACGAGCACCTTGATAGCCTTGTTCACTTGTAAATCCATCTACCTTTTGTATGTGTGCTTAGTTATTGATTGTATATACATTTAGACTTACATCAATTCTTACAGCCCGAAGTTGGGATACAGCAACACTCATATTATTGGTGCACACTTCAACAGCTTTAGAGACACCCGCATTTGCTAGAAAAGCATGAACAATGAGCTTGTCATGTTGACTACGTACCTGAAATAGCAAATGAAGCAGCAATGACAAACAATGTAGATAGAACACGCATACTCTTTTTTGTCAACAAGAGAAAGAAAGAGAAGTCTGTCTTCATGAATTGAGGAATTGCATTCAAGAGTAATATAGAGAGCATATCTTTGAACTGTAATATTATTCTAGATTGTAAAATTCCTGGCCAATGTAGCACACATTTAATCAATAGAAACACCAGCCATTTTTGTTTATTGATAAATAAATTGTAGTACAAGGCTGATATCTTTTTTACATTCCATCTCAGTTTATAAGGAAAATCGATCAAACAACCATTCTATCCACTTAAAATAACCATAAACTTATTTATAGATCTTGGCCATGTTTTTTTTTCTTAAATGTGTCTCTGAAAATACACATGCTTGAAAACTAAATTCTAGAGATTAAGCAGAGCATGAGATACATGAATGATATTTATAGTGTTACTTACATTAGTCTACAAGAAAGAGCAGAGAATAGAAGGGAAATAAAAGAGAGAAATAAATTAGTAACAGATATGAACCAATGTAAAGTATTGACATGGATACAAAGAGGTAGTTGAATACCACTATCTTGTCAATTGCATTCATAGCACTACACAACATGACCAACCGATACCAAGCTGTGATTGATGCCAAAGGTTGCACCACCAAGTACTAATTTTTTTCTATTTTTATTATCTTTAAATAAACATCTCAACAAATGATCCACAAAAAACTGAGCGCGTTTATGCATCATCTTGGCATATTAAAGGGCTCTTGGATCATGATACCTTTGTTACTGAGTTCGAATGACAATAAACTTGACTAATTTTTATTTCTGGTCAGTGTATAACTGCAGCCAGTGTTATAAAACATCACTTTAGAGAAAGAACAATACAATATAATTCATAAGATACGCATGGCATTGGCTAAATAGATATGTCTTTTGTCAATGAAAAATGTGCTACGATTTGACGTCATTAGTAGCACTTTATCTTTATATTGAAGCAATAATCTACATGCTAAAATGAAATGATGGGGGGAGTACAAACAATTTAATCATTGTTCTTTATTTTCCTAAAAGGAAAGAAGCAGAAATTGCACACGCGAGAAAGTGTCCATCATGATTACCAGCAATACCATTTTTGTAAGTAATAAGAGAGCGATTTATGCTATCCGTATATTCAAAATTAAAATTATCTCAATCTTGGTTTGATTTATTATCACAAGTTTTTTTTTAAAAAAAATGTCAGGAGAGTAAATGCATTTGGATGAATCAATTGAATGCATGTAAGCCATTTTATTACAAGAAAATAGAATCTCTAACCAAAAAGAGTCCTTAGGGGGACCTTTGCCTCGATGCTCAAAAGGCTTCTTCTTGGAATATATATATATATATATATTCAGACTAATGATCTCACTATAGTCGATGAAATTAGAATAGGAAATGAGGAGCCATGTTTAGATTCAAATTTCGAGAATATTCAAATCACGTTTTTGGACTGTCTAGACCCTGTTCATTTACAGTGCGGCTGGTACATCCACGAATAATAATAATAATAAACCTTAAACTTCATCTCTTTGAGAAATAAATGCAGTTGGATTGCTCTTTTTCTATACCGCTTTTATCTAATATTCAATTATCACACAATCGCGCACAAATATATATTACAAATCCATTTTCCCATTTTTGACTCAACTTGACGTCTAAAGACCCCAATGTAGGCGCTCAGACACCAAGTAATACAAAGAACTACTTGTTACATTACGTCCATATTGTAGCAATGCGCCAAGCGTGCACCTATATTGGATCAATGCTCCAAAAGTTTAGCGGTAGTATGTAAACTAAAATTCATCAAGCACTAGCAAATAAGGGTATTACCCTCCTGGAGAAAGATCGTTTCTGTTCAGAACTTGTCAAATATATTGATGCTGAATTTCTCCTCGACGATATTCAATCAGACGCAATCAACAAAGATAAAGTTGACTTGAAACTAGTCACATTGCTTCGTGATATAGATGACAGAACTGACAGACGAGCTTTAAAGATCGAATGAAGAAAAAAAAACAACCAAAGAAGGTGACATAATCATTGAGATGTTTGCCAAGCAAAGTTGCTCAGTATTGTGGAGATGAACGTCTTCTTTTCCAGTCCATCATCTCATTTCCATTTTCGTCGATAATATCTTAACCATTGGTGAACACAATATTTCCAATGTTTAAATACATAGTAAAAGTTTATTTAGAAAGACTACTTATTTTAAAAAACATTCGTTCATATCTCTAAATTGAATTCTCTTAAAGGACAATCATTTTTTAGTTAGCGTCATTTATTTTTGAAAAATTGACATTTGTACCAGCCGTACTGTAATAAAACTGTGTTACCAAAGTGATACAAAAAGTTGGATCCACTTAACGTAGCACTTTTTCGAAAAAAAAAGGAGAAGCAAACTAGTTTATTTACATATAGAAAAAGGGGCATCTCCTCACTGACCACACATAGTAACTCCTGATATAACGTCATAATATAATACAAATATGTAATGAGCCTATACGCGCATTAGTGTGTACATCAAGCGAGTTTTTCTGTATCAGTAAACCCAATGGAAATGACATCGTGGCTTGAGTTTTGATGTGCGTGTTCAGTGTGATCATGACGATGTGTTTTTGTTGTCATTTTCAACAAAAGAGGGGTGGCAATTAATGTAATAGAGGTTGTGGCCAACAAGAGATAATATACCTCACGCGAAATAATCGATAGCTGTTTACCTCGAGAAGCAAGCACAAACCCAAATTCAGAGATTTGTGCCAATGCAATAGCCATAATTGAAGATTTGTGGATATCAAATTTGAATAAATACAAAATAATGCATGTCGCAATATACTTGAATCCAATAACGCCACCTGCAAGTGTCAATAGCAACATGGCTTCTGAAGCAAGAAATTGGGGATAGATGTGAAGTCCAATGGCCGCAAAGAACAAAGAGGCAAACATGTCTCGTACAGGTTCAATGACCGTGAGGGATGTTTCAAACATGCCCTTTCGAGAGCGAACAATCACACCAGCAGCAAAGCAGCCAAGTTCCATGCCTAAACCTAAATGCTCGGAAATGACAAGCATCGTCATGCAGACAGCAATGGTGCCCAAAAGCATGAGCTCATGGTTTTTTTGAATCGCAGGGATCGTACGTCGTAGTACACGGGGAACAAAAGGTATGAGTTGAACAATGGCAAAGCAAACCAAGCCAAAAATAACGAATGAGATAGCTATTCTCATGACTGCAAACACTACTTGGATCCCTGATTTAGAGAGGGCTGGGATGATCGCCTATATTTACTGATTTATCTATAGAACAAATAATGACTCACTTACCAGCATAAAGCCCAACAAGACATCTTGCATGACAAGTAAACCATATAAATGATCGAATTGATCGAGTCGAATACATTTCACAACAACAGCCGTGGAACTCAAACTGACACAAGCACCTACAAACACAGCTTCTTTTGTGTCTGCACCAACTATCCATCCCATCAGCACAAAGAACAAGACAGTAACAAACAAAATAGTCATTGCTCCACCAAGTGCTAATTGCCACATTTTTTTTATCTTTTCTAAAGAAAACTCAAGGCCAAGGACAAAGATGATAAACACAACACCTAATTGAGCAAGTGTTTCGATTTGAATAATTTCCTAAACAGCATGAGTTGATAGTATAAACATACCCAATGCATACCTGTACAAGATTATAGCCTGAGGGTCCCACCAAAACACCAGCCAAAATATAACCGAAAAATGCTTTTTACCCAATTCGAGTGAGTATGATACATGTATTATCTTTAGCATTTTTACCTGGTAATCCAATCCATGTAAACATCCAACCCAACACAAAGCAACTGACAAGTAAGAGAATAAAGTCATAAATGAGTCGAGTATCTAGACTATGTCAGTATTTCTTTGTGTATGTTTCTTTTACCTTCCACAATGACAGTAGCATCAAAAGGTTTTGTCATGACATATTCATTATTGTCTTGGTCGACTAAATTGTCTTGTAACTTGAGTACAGTTTCAATTCTTGCATCATCAAGTGAAAACATGGTGCTCTGTTTCATGTCTTTTTCCAATTGATCCGCATTATCGCTTACTTCTTTCAGCATATCACTAATCACTTGCATCATCAACTCCTTTTGTTCATCGCCTGTTGCATGAAATTGATGGACCGTGTTTGCGACTGATTTATATTTCTGGTGCGATGTTTTGACTGCTCTTTGGAAATCGAATGCCAAAGTAAGGGCTGGACTTCGAAAATCATACGAGGATTTGAAAGGAAGCTGGCTGACTGTTTGGTCGTAGACCTGAAGTATACCGAGAACAAACGACTCAAACGCCTCAAAGTCGTCTAGTTTGACGCCTGCCAATGCAAACAATTCTTCTCTCTTAGTTCCATGCACTGCTTCTATACTCTGGTACAACTGGTTCTTTTTGATCTCGAGTTCTCTTTTATGCTCAGCACCCTTTTGGAGCATAGTGAACACTTTGTCGGCGTTTGTGGGCACCAAGGCCTATTTTTGTGAGTTAGAGGATAAGAATAGAACACAAGCAGACTTACCGGCAAAGAAGACGGCTCTGCACGTGTAAAGAAACCGAAACCGAGGAGTAATAAAAATAATAGTGGACGCATGTATAAATGTGGCAAAATTAAAAAAAGACGAGAAAAGACTATTAATTAGGATCTTCACCAATCATAAGCCCCCCACTGATCCCCCCCTATTATTAAAGTGACGCAAGAATGCTTTGATAAAAAAAAAATGGCGGATGCTATTTAAGGAAACTACTGCTTGTCAGTCAATGGACTCACTTTGCTATATTACTCCTTATTGTAAAAAGCACGTTTTGTATTCAATTGATATAAAAAGGCATTTATTTTCTTCTTGTTCTTCTTCTTTCTCTCTTCCTCTTTACTTTTACTTTCTTCAGTATCAATGCAACCCCAACTTTCTATTGGCACATTGATTGACGACCTTGAAATCACTCGAGTGCTTAACATTGGCGCCTATGGACAAGTGTATCTTACACGCAATATCTATACATTCAAGCGATATGTTATCAAATCTTTACCTCACATTGGTCTTGACTCTCGCCAACTTGCTTTCCAGAGAAACGAAATCACGTTGCACTCGCATCTTTCCGACCATCCGCACATCATCCGACTTGAAAAAGTAGTACAGACACCAGAATACACACACGCCATTCTTGAATATGGATCTGAAGGCGATTTATTCTCAGCCATTACAGAAAAGGGTCTTTATTACGGCCAGCATGATCTGATTCGAAATGTCTTTTTACAATTAATTGATGCTGTCCGATACAGTCACCAACACCACATTTTTCACCGAGACTTAAAGCCTGAAAACGTCTTGGTCTTTGACGGTGGCAAGACTGTCAAATTAGCTGATTTTGGGTTGGCAACCACAGACGCTGTTTCTATGGATTTTGGATGTGGATCTACTTTTTATTTCTCACCTGAATGTCAAGGCGGTTTAGATGGCGCCAAACGAGTTGGATATGCAACTGCTCCTAATGATGTGTGGGCACTTGGCATTATCCTCATTAACTTGTCAGCAGGACGCAACCCCTGGCGCCTTGCTTCTTTAGAAGACGAGACCTTTTGTGGATTTCTTCATAATCCCAACTTGCTCTTAAAGATTCTGCCTGTCTCTATGGAACTCAACAAGATTCTAAAGCGTATTTTCTGTCTAGATCCTCACCGCAGAATCACACTTGATGAACTTTATCTACGCATTCAACGTTGTACTCATTTCACCCGTACACCTGAAGTAGCTCGCCAAGAAGCCATGATGTTGATCAAGAAGAAACAAAAGATGATGATGAAAATTCAATTGCCCAGTGCATTGGTTCCTCAGCATGACTTACCTTCCCCTCCCGATACACCCAATACAGACAACAGATCTCTCTGTAGCTCACCTTCAACTCACTCAGCATTGACAGATTCAGATAGTACAATTCCATTCGTTGACAAAAAAGGAGGTACTCATCTAGACCCTTATATTCAGGTAGTCTAGATTATCATTTTTATCATTCTCTTTATTCTCTCCTTTTATGCCCTTTTTTTTTATGTATATACATCTTTATATATATATATATATATATCCCCCTTTTTCTCTCTCTCTCTCTCTCTCTCTCTCTCTTTTTTTTTTTTTTTTCTCTCTTGCTTATACATAGTATTGTTCATAGTCCTCATTTTTTTTTTATATATGCTTTTTATCCTCATTTGTTATGTATATACTCTATGTTTCTCCCTCTCTCACACTATCATTATGCAACCTTCAAGTAGCAAATTATGTACATTTCTTTTATTATTATCATTCTTGTTGTAAATCTCAATAAATAGCGTCATTTGATATTGATCTTGACTGTAATTTAAGCAATTTCCATAAACAGTAACTCCTTTATTGAATGACCGCACTCAAGCATGATATCATGGTCAGTCTGTGCCCTTTGCCACAATTCAAAACAAAGTAGTACAAAATATGAGGAGAAGTTAAAATCAAATTTGACATAATATCTTCTCTCCTCTTTTATGATTTTAATAAATCAGATATGTGAAAAGTAAAGAGATCATCCTTTCTTTTTATTTTATTTTATTTCATGACAAAAAAGAGACCCAACACATGGACTGGTTATACTCATCAACCAAGCATAGAACAGGGTTATTCAGTCAGACAGACAATAGCCACTATTTCTACATTCACCTCAACAGCCAATACGTATCTTGTCTATACTTCACCACTCTCAGATCCTGTGTTTCATTCTCAGTCTTTACTGTTCTTATTTGGTTTCTTGTTCTTTCCATGTTGGTGGATAGGTGGCTTTTATCTCAAGATGGAACCCATACCCTGTGTGGATATGGAGCAGTCTGTGATTGTTCACCCATCTCTGATAGCCAATGGCAAGACATCATCACATGTCTTGCAGAGTGTAGTGATTGTCCATGCTAACAAAACTGACTCAATACGCTTCTTTTATCGATGGAATCGACATATGAGCTTTGTTTCTATTGGACTCTTGATGATCATGCTAGGATTATTGATTTGGTATTTTGTACAATAATAATAATAATAAACACACACTTTATTATCACATTTAGGTATGAGCATACATGGTAGTCCATTGACGAGCTAATGGCTAGGAGTCAATCGATACGCTTCAAATCTAAAATAATAGAGCTTACCTTGTTCAATAGCTCCCTTTTCATCTTCTTTCCAATGAGAAGCAACATCATTGGCTAATGGATCATCAGGGTTAGGGGCAGACAATAGTGCCTGTATAGAAAGTAATACAGTACGAATCTGAAGAGCTGGAGACCATTTATCTATTTGACTCAGTCAGGTTCTCTTATCAGATCCTGCTTTACCTTTAAGAATATCAAGACAGATACGACCCAACTTATCGATGTTAGGATGATAAATCTTAGTCAAGAAACGAACTTTAGGGGGACCCATAGGATAATCCTCGGGTAAAAACAATTCAAGATGAAATACACCACCTAGAGTCATCAGTAACAACATAATCTACTCTAGCTACCTTCAAAGGGAGATTGACTAGGACCAGCAATAATCACATCAAAATATCTCAAGTTATCTTCATGAGGAGTGGCACTGATGCCAGGTGCAGGGTCAGCCAATAAACGCTCTGTTTCCTAAACATAGTTCAGTTATTTGTGTAGAGATAGTCATTGGTCTACCTTGACGATTCGCTTAGGAAGTGCCATCATAAACCAAATATACAGAAAAAAGAAAAAAAAAAAAAAAAGAAAGGTTGCGTGTCTATGCAGATGTGACTTCTTTTTTTATTTTATTTACATGACAAGACAACCACTATCTTTTCCATCAGAAGGTGGATTATTGACTTTTTCAATATGAGCAATAATGGAATCAAAGATCTTGGCTATATATATATATATATATATATAAAACTAAGTTATGTATAATAGACAGATATATCCTACTTACAAACATTCTCATCTAATTTAGCAGATGTTTCAACAAAGGGACAATTCCATTGTTGTGCTAGTTCTTGTCCTTCCTGTGTAGATACTTGTCTCTGCATATTCAAATCTGATTTATTACCTACAATCACACAAGGAACAGTCTCTAAACCAGTGAAATCTAAAATCTTGTCTCTGATAATCTTGATCATATCAAAACTAGATTTTGAAGAAATAGAATACACCAATACATACCCATTCATACTAGAGGCATGATGGGAAGAAAGGATAGAATATTCATCCTAATGATAGGGTTAAGAAACTAGTTTGATGTGTACATATTTACTTGACCAGCTGTGTCCATAATCTCCACATTATACTCTGTTTTATTTTAGTTTCTTCATGGATTATATGTATGTTTACCTATGCCACGGTATTTGATTGTCTTGGTAAACGTGTTCTCAATTGTAGGATAATAGCTGTCAACAAAATGATTTTCACAAAATTGGATAACAAGCGAAGACTTGCCTTTGTTTGTGTTATTATGATGACCATTCTATCTATAGCTTACCAACTGCTCTTGTTCCTAATACTGCAATGCGACGTGCTCTTGCTTGATTTGACATGACGAATACAAAGACAAAAAGAAAAAGAAAAAGAAATGAAAAAAAAAAACCAATTTCTTTACTTCTGTTATTCATTCTCCGATTTTATTTTATTTTTATATATATAAAAAAGATAGGTCACTTTATTCAAAAATGCTGAGAGTCTTTTTTTCTTTTTTTTTTTTTCTTTTATATATATATATATATACATATATATATTTTAACGCGTAGTCTCTCCATGGATCACGAACAGCAACTTGCTCAGTTGCGTGAATTTGAGCATTCGCAACCAGAAGACGCTCAATCTTATGCTACTAAAAGTTTTTTAGAGACACTCGATAGTCTAATAAAGCATGGATTAGAAGCACAAGACGATGGTTCTGATGGTTATAAAGAAGAACTCAAAGTTATCAAGGATGCTATCAGAGCATTCTCTATTGTGCTTCCTTTTGTGTTTAAAACTGTGTAAGCATATGCATTCATCACGGATACATACTTATCTATGATAGTTGTCAAAATGAAGCAGAGTCTCATTTATGGGAACTGGCTCGATCACTATTGACCCTTGTAGAAACTCGACTTATAGAACATAAGAATACAGGTGTTCGTATCAGTGCACTTAAATGTCTACAAGTGATTTTCTTGTTATTGACCAAGTCTGCTCATCAAGTAAAGTATAGCTATAACATCATGTGACTTATGTATTATAGAAGGAGATATCCATTCATATGTTAAGAGCAGGTCATCGACTATTGAACTTACAAGCACTAGAGAAAGAAGGACAGGCAGTGTTTGATAAGATAGCAGATCTATTAAAGAGTGATATAGAGTAAGGCATTTATATACACATACAAACTAATGTGTTCTTATTAGATCTGTCTTGACAGCCACTATCAGTTGCCTTGTGGTGATGGTCAAGAAAAGAACACACTATTTACAGCCTGTGATGAGTCTATTTACTGGTTGGAGTAAGACCAGATCAAAAGAAGATTCACCTGTCATGATGCGTAATGTAGAAAAGGCTTTGAAATTAGCACTTGTTACTTTTATTCGGTAAAGTTATGATTATTGTATGTGTTTTATTTATATATGATGTCATAGTACGGATGCTTTCAATCCATATCGTACTGATATGATAGCAGCATTTGGTGCTATGGGAGGTAATGTAGGCATGTTCTCCAGTCGTCGTTCAGAAGACTCCAGAAGACTCAAACGACAACAACAACAACAACAATATCATGATCAAGAAAGAGAGAAGCGTATCAAGACAGACTATATGCCTACCATACCCACAGGCCAGAATAGATTGGCCAATTATGATATTACGGCTATTCCATTGGACAAGATTGTCTCACTCTGTATGACTGTATTACAAATGGTGCCATTGGAAGTCATGTCTGAACGTGCTGCCATGTTGCCTCCTGAAGGAGTGACCTTGGCTGTCACTCGAAAGGGATTCAAACGATCCACCACACCACCTTATCCACCCCCACCAGAACAACCTGAACATATTCACCATACGCGTATCAAACGAGAACAAGACATGACAGAAGCCAAACCTGTCTTGGCAAGTGCACAAGAGAGAGCCAGCCAGGCACTCAAGATGCAACCCTATGCATTAGCCACACCGCAGACACTCGATGCATCAGACAAGAAAACATTACTCAAAATGACGATAGAGCGGTTATTAGAAGCAGAAGCGGCATTTCGTGTGGAAAATCCTTCTAAAAACGTATGGCTTTTGTTGGTGGCAAAATTAATGACGCGTGGCACAACAGCTAAGCCAACAACGGATGATTTGATAATCCTAAATAAAGATGAACCATTAGAAGAAACAAAGCCTTTTGTTACTGAACTCGAAACATCATCAGATTTAAAGCAGTTGTTATTAGACTTTGTTGTCCAGCATCTCTCTTCCAGGTAAAAAAAAAAAAAAAAAAAAAAAAAAAATTCTATGTTGGATGGTTATTGATATGTTGATCTAGACTTGACTTGGCTCTGGAATGGTTACATGAAGAATATCTGATGGACAAACGCAATGCAAGAATAGACCCTGATTATCAACCCAATTATTTCTATTGGCTACATACACTACTAGAAAAGAGCATTCCTACTTTGGATGCAAAAGACAGAGTATTGACCAAACTGTTGTTAGATGCACCTGAATTGGACCAGAAAGTGATTGACCTTGTCCAACAGAACCTGAATGTGCCTGAACGATTTGTCTCATGCGTATCTACGCTCCGCAGCCTTGTCACGAATCGACCTCCTATTCGTTTAGCAGCCTTACAAGTCTTGTTGGATTTATGTACCAACCCCAATGATAAAATGCGTCGAACAAGCATAGTCGCTGTCAAGAAATGGAATACAAATCAAGAGGAAATGAATGGTCGAGTAGAGTCATTTGCGATTAAGTCATTACATGCACTCAAATCAACCGAGTGGACAGAAAAGGATGTAGTCAGGCATGCTGAACTTTATTTTGTGTTGTGTACCAAGAAACCAAGTCTATTACAAGAGTAATGTTCCTTACAACAAATATGACATCATCGACTCATCCTGACATTAGGTTATTCACTGTCTATAAGGAAGCAACAGAGACAGTACAAGACGCTATTCGTATTCATATGAGCAACATGATTAAATCGATTGGTATGCGATCACATGATATGATTCGACTGATGAAGACATTTCCACTTGGTACTGAGACATTGGTCATTCGCATGTTGAGTATTTTATGCGAATCAAGTAAGATATACATGTATACATTTCTTTTGACTTATCAACAATAGAACCACCCACAAAGGATATTTTGGCTGTTGTTCAGACCATTACTCCATTAGCTAAAGAACGATCGATGGATACAACACAGTTGTCGCCTATTTTAGCCGGACAAAGTCTGTCATCATCCTCCACCTAGTTCAAGAGGAGTTTCTATGAGACAACAAAAATTTATACAGCATGATACAAACAATAAAACTACTCTTTTTGGTTGTTTTTCTTTTCCAAATATATACTCTATTTATTATTTATTCCTTCTTTTTTTTTTTTTTTGTTTTTTATTCTTCTTTTTATAAATATATATATATATATATACATAACTTTAGACTTATATATATATATATATTATACATACACATACAAACACATACAAACACATATATATATATATTAAAATGACTCGAGGTGTAAGTGTACATATCAATATCGACATGTACCTAACACAATGTAGGTTGCACGAAAGAAGTTGGTGGTTGTGGGTGATGGTGGTTGTGGTAAAACCAGTTTATTGGTTGTGTATCAAAAGAAAGCATTTCCTCAGGTACATATATACATATATAAAAACAGGGATGATTACTGATGTCAATAGCGTTATGTACCTACGGTTTTTGAAAATTATATTGCCAACGTACCTTTAGATACAGGAAAGATTGTCGAGTTGGCATTATGGGATACAGCAGGACAAGAAGATTATGATCGATTACGACCACTGTCTTATCCAGAAACAGACGTTGTTCTTATTTGCTTTGCTATCAATCTTCGTACATCATTCACGAATGTCCAGGATAGAGTAAGAGTGATATTCAGAGAGTAAAGTTTTATAACACACTTTTTTTTTTTTTTTAGTGGCTTCCAGAAGTCACTCATTTCTGTGAAAATGTACCCAAATTATTAGTAGGCACAAAACTTGATTTCAGACAAAACCAAGAAGAAATTCGAAGATTGAGTCTAGCGGGTCAACGTCTGATCACAGTGGAAGAAGTAAGCACTTTTTTTTTTTTTTTTTTTTTTTGCTTGACTCTTATTTTTTTTTTATCTAGGGCGAACAATTAGCCAAGGAAATCGGAGCTAGATATTATGAATGTAGTGCTATGCAAAAAATCAATGTGGATGAAGTCATTGAAGCTGCAACAAGAGCTGCCGTAGCTGGTAATATGAAGCGTCTTCATAAAAGGCTTTGTAAAATTCTTTAAATTTTTGTATAATACACTCTATATCAACCTGTCTCTTTCTTTTTGTTTATCTATGATTGAAGAGCATGTCTGTTCTTACAAAAAAAAAAAGGAAAAGCAAAATAGATTGTATAATTCAGGGGCAATTGGGTTGAATGATTGTTCAGACCCAGAAATCTTGAACAACGTGAATACAAATGGATAGTAAACAAAAAAAAAAAAAGAAAAAGAGAGAGAGAGAGAGAGACAATATCTATCATTCAACATTTCTTTTAGATCTGTCCTTAATAGCCATCTGTTGCGAATAGTCAAAAGGCTTCATTTTCCATAAAAAAAAAACATTAGAGAGAATGAAATCTACATAATTTGTCACTACTAAATAACTTTTGATTCTCATTTAGTGCACTTCATATGCTATTGTATGCCTTTTTCGAGCATCAAACTTACGACACGATCTCAAATCATAGCCTGTATTTTCTTAAATAAACCTCCAACATAAACTACCTTTCCTTTTTTTTTTTGGATATATCTGGCAAACAATCTATTCGCATAATAACATCACCAACGGATTGGTAGCCCGTTATAAGCGCGAGTGTTTTTCAAAATAAACCATCTAATTCTCCTTTTTTAAGCTTTCTCTGTTTGAACATACATCAAAGAACATATTCATGTAAAAATATCGCAAGTTTTGAAAAAGTCAATTTGGCCTTATGATCCCTTTTACGAAATCTTCAATTTTCACTGTTGTACGATTGGTGAGCGATAGAGCCATTGTAAACATACCATGTTCTAGTAAGAATTGCTTCCCTATGTCTATAAAACACACTCAAAGTGTTAGATTTGCAAAAGTACTATGAAAGTTGTACGTTACAGCTCAAAAACAGAAAACGCGTTTTTGAGGAATAGCTCACTATCTTGATATTGACTATCTTGCTTTCTTTATGCCATTTGATGCGTGGTATTTTTATCTACCAACTTTATGAATGAAATTTTCTGATATCTCTTCGTTTTTAGACACTTTCAGTCCATCATTTCTTTTGAGTTAAATCTCTTGATATTAATTTTTGAGATGAGAATAATGATTTAAACTCAGAATTTAAAACTCGTATACAGTCACAGTGAAAACTTTATAATTTTTTTCTTTTTGTTTTCTCCATGTCAGAAGCCAAAGTATTTACTTCAGTACAAAATGTGCGAAGTACAACTGCGAATCAAACCAAAAAAACCGTATTCAAACATGTCCTTGCTTCTCCTTTTATCCTCAAGTGGCCAACCATTCACACAGACTTGGGACAAACTATCTTGAGTCAACTACTCAAGTAAGTAATGCCTTTCTTGATTGTTTTCAATAACAACACTTCACCATCAATAGAACACTTGAACCTATCGGTGCGTATCGAAACCAATGCCGTCAAATCAAGAAAGAAAAGAAACCAGACCAAATCATTGCACCTGAATTAAATCAACGGCTCTATGTCGGCATCAATCAAGTGACTCGCTATATGGAAAAATACATTCAAGATAACCCAGTTGAGTCTGACAAGACACCGGTCATTTATATCTGCAAACGAGAAATTAAGCCATTGCAATTGTGTCAGCATGTGTTGTATATGGCAGCTGTGGCAAAGATCAAATTAGTGCCTATGCCTGCTCAAGCAGAAGCGCGTATAGGAAAAGCATTGGGTATGCATCGAGCCAGTGTTGTCTTGATAGAGGTAAATGACTATACATTCAGAGTCTGTATGTGTGAGATTGAACCTGTAATAGATTATGGAAAATAAAGAAGAATCACTCCGACTCAGTGCAAAAGAAATACCTCTGGTGGATGCTCCTTGGTTAGAGAACGCATTAAACAGACCTGTCAATTATATAGGAGATACAACCAAGACACTCAAGACAACAGCACCTGACAAAAAGCAACAACAACAGTTGAAACGTAAAGCAGATACAGAGAATGGTAGTACGAATCAATTGAAAAAGGTCAAGCAGAATTAAAATACCGTTGTAAATAAATCTTTTTTTTTTTCTTTTTTTTTGTTTTTTATGACTTGTACACGTTGTTATGACCCTTTAACTAACGATAACTTTCGTTCACTCGACCTTTATCTTGCACCCAAAAGTTCAAAAGATTCTCCTCTTGTTGTCTTTATTCATGGTGGTGCCTGGAGAACAGAAGATAAGGCTGACTATAAAGACCTTTGTCTTGGTTTTAACAAACGAGGGATCTCGGTTGCTTCTGTCAATTATAGGTAAAAAAAAAAAAAAAAAAAAAAAAAAAAATCAGTCCATTCTCCTCCTTATACAGTTTAGATTGAGTTTGAAAGAACATCCTGACGCTATTCCTCAGGTACAACATCCTGATCATATCATGGATGTAGGTAAAGCTATTGAATACTTGTACAACACAAGTGAAGGTCATTACAACCCCCACCAAATCTATATTGTGGGCCATTCTGCAGGCGCTCATATTGCACTGATGCTCTTGTTAGACACAGTCTACCACCAATACATTGCAGGTGTGATTGGTGTCTCTGGTATTTATGATATCCCTTTGTTGCTTAAGACATTCCCTTCCTATACAGATTTTATTGTACAGGCCTTTGGTGCTGATCAAAGCAGGTTTCTTGATGCATCGCCTATCAGTAAAACATCGACTCAATTGGGTCATAAGCCTATTATTATTGCACACAGTCCACAAGATACGTTGATTGATCACCAACAACCAGAGTGCATGGTGGCTCATTTACAACAATTTCATCCCAATGTAGTTTTAGACATGACATTAAAAGGAGATCATTATGAGATCATGAAGACAGAGACGTTAGAACAAGTGGTGAAGCAAATCATACAGAAATAAATAGACGGTTTATTCTAAAGAATATGACTCATGTACGCCCAGTCTAACAATATAAAGATGAAAGAGTACAAGCCATCTTATGGAGTACACAAGAACAATCTACCTCTGTTTGGCTGAGTAGAATAACTATACCATACACTATTTTGAAATACACGCTTTTTTAATTGAACAAATTAGGTTTAGAGACACTATGACAACGTGTACCTGAAGATACCAATACTAATAATACACCAAGGCTATTTCTATGATATGCTTCTGAATAGCCTCAAGAGATAGACTCATAAAGAAATGCTTATTACTTGTTATATTCAACGATCTTATTGTTATTAAATCTATCCTGTCCATATACACACACTCACGGAGATCAAGACATAACTCCTCTCTATGGATTGAATTTCCGCCATGCTGTTAAGATGAAATGAAATCAAATTTTTTAATTTTCTTTTTTTTTTTTTTTGTTATTATAAACATGGTTGCTATCAAATTACAAAAAGAAGAAAACAGACAAGCTTTTCTCAAGGTATTCCCTACACTTGCTGATGAAATCCTTGCAGAAGTTCGCAAGTATAATATGCCTGAAGATGCTTATGAATGGACCAAGAAGGTATAACAAAACACGACTCCCTTTTTTTTTACAATCAACTAAAGAAAGTAACTCTATTAGATGCTTTACTATAATGTACCTGGTGGTAAGTCGTGTTTTTTCATTAAAAAAAAAGGGGGAGATCATTATAACATCTATTTGGGATGACAGGTAAATTAAACCGTGGTATTTCTGTGGTTGATACTGTCCGTATCCTTAAGGGCGAATCAGTCACTGAAGACGATATCTTCAAGGCCACTGTCTTGGGTTGGTTGGTTGAATTCGTAAGTCAATCTGATCCCAGGAGAATGAATTAACCATGAATAGCTTCAAGCTTTCTTTTTGGTTTCTGATGACATCATGGATGCTTCTATCACCCGTCGTGGTCAACCTTGTTGGTATAAGACAGATGGTGTTGGTATGGTTGCCATCAACGATGCCTTCATCCTTGAAGCATGTATCTATATCTTTTTAAAGAAATACTTTAAAAAGACAGATTACTATATTGAGCTTGTTGAATTATTCCACGAAGTCACTTTCCAAACTGAGCTTGGCCAACTCTGTGATCTCATCACTGCTCCTGAAGACAATGTGGATTTAAGCAAGTTTTCTGTTAAAAAGTAAGTAAAAAAAAAAATGGGGGATGATGTATTAAAGAAAAAGAGGATAGACATCAATTCATTGTTATCTACAAGACTGCTTATTACTCCTTTTATCTTCCTGTTGCATTGGCCATGCATATGGTAAAGTATGGCTCATGATGATACATTCTCTCTAATGATATACCATAGGTTGGTGTGAAAAATGAAGAAGCCTTCAAACAAGCTCATGATATTTTGATTCCCTTGGGTGAATATTTCCAAGTTCAAGATGATTACCTTGATTGTTATGGTGCCCCTGAAGTGATTGGTAAGATTGGTACTGATATCATGGACAACAAGTGCTCTTGGTTAATCAACCAAGCCTTGGCTAAGGCTAATCCTGAACAACGCAAGGTGCTTGATGAAAACTATGGTAAGAAGAATGCTGAGTCTGAAGCCAAGGTCAAGCAAATCTACCTTGATCTCGACATTGAAGGCATTTACAAGGCTTATGAAGAAAAGTCTTTCAATGATTTAAATGCCCTTATTGAAAAATTGGATGAATCAGTTGGTCTCAAAAAGATGGTCTTTACTGAATTCATGGATAAGATCTATAAGCGTACTAAATAAGCTAACTTTAATTTACTTTACTAAATAAAAAAAAAATAGATATGTTTAATCTCCGATAATAAGAGTACGTCATCAAGTCCATCGATTCGTCTGTCCCCAGCCCAGCGTGGGGGGATGCTAAAAAAAATTCAAGAGTAAAAAAAAAGAGAGAGTGGCAGAGAAATTGCCTCTTTTCCTGTATATTCTATAAATCAGTTTAAAATGGCTTCTAGATTCACCCGTTTGACTACTGCTGTCCCTAAGGTAAATCACACTTATTGTTGACTTGATTCTCACTCCTTTTTTTATATTTATAGTTGGCTCGCGGTTACGCTGCTGCTCCTACTTCTGTTAAGGTACATGAGCGCGATAAAAAAAAACACGCAAAGGCTAATGATTATGTGTGTATAGGCTCCCATTACTCTTTTCGGTCTTGATGGTCGTTACGCCACTGCCCTCTACACTGCTGCTGCTCGTCAAAACGTTCTTGAAGCCGTCGAAAAGGATCTTAAGACCCTCAACCAAGCTGTTGAAAAGGATGAAAGCCTCAAGGCTTTCTTGGAAAACCCCACCATCAACCGTGGCGAAAAGATGCAAGGTATCAACAGTGTCTTGAAGAAGGCTGGTAAGCCTAGTGAAATTACCCAAAACTTTTTTGAAGCTTTGGCCGAAAACGGTCGTTTGAACCAAACTTCCAAGGTTATTGATGCTTTCTCTGAATTGATGAGCGCTCACCGTAACGAATTGCCTCTTGTTGTTACATCTGCCAAGGTAAGAAAACTCCATGATATATAGATAAGAGAGATTAACTATTGTGTATGATAGGCTTTGGATAAGTCTGCCTTGAACAAGATTGCTGAATCCCTTCAAAAGTCCAACCTTGCTGAAGGTAAGAAGCTCCTTGTCTCCAACAAGGTTAAGCCCGATATTCTTGGTGGTCTTTTGGTCGAAGTTGGTGACAAGAGCATTGATTTGACTGTTTCTTCCAAGCTCGCCAAGTTGAACAAGTTGATCACTGGTAAGTGAATTGTCTGTATATTCATGAAAACTTATCTGCTTTCTTATAGACTCTGTTTAAATGTGTTTGTGCTCTCTCTTTCTTTTTTTCCTCTTTAAATACAATTCATTTCCACATATAATGTACTTATAAAAAACTTAAAAAAGACACTTTATTCTTTTTTGTCTCATCAAGTAACATGGCCCGAGTTTATTTTATTTTCTTATTGTTGCGGAGAGTTATCTCATGTGCAACCAAGAGGGTTATTAAGTTGTCTCTCTCTTTTTTTTCTTTTTCAACTAATTTGTATGTCTGTACTTTCCACTAAAGTGACTGAGCCTGCCCCCATCTTGCATGCCAACAGTTACCCAACAGCACCCACTATTGTTGCTTCTACCAACGCATCTCCATGCTTACAACTCATTCTCGAAAAGAGCGAAACAGAACCACTTGTGGCACTCGTAAATAACAAGAAAGTCTTGTATTATTATCAAGAACCACTATCAGATAATGAATCGCCTGCGGTATTGTACGATACCTCAAAAAGTCCATTATGGCGAATATCTGACCGAGATTGGCATCGTTTATCCCTTGTGTCTGGAGACCAATGCATTGTGATATCATTAACACCACCTCTGTTCCGGTTCATGATCGACAATCACATCTATCACTGGCAAACAATACAGACAGAAGCAGGCTACAGTCTAAAATGTTATCATACAGAATCCAAAGCATTACTGGCAGAGTTAGATGACACAACACTCTCACTTTATCATCATAACCCATTTAGAACTCAATTAGACCATACAGGTGTCATTCTCTCTGGTTTATTAGTGCATCATTACATGAGTAACTTGCTCGCATCAGATCCTTCCGGTCTAGACGAATCAGACACGCTTTCTTTTACACAGCATTATCCTGGGCATCAAAGTCTGGTCGGGGATACAAGATGGTCAGCACAGTCATTTAAGAGCATTGAATTAGACCCAGGCATATGGCGTTGTTGGTGGGGATATAAGTTTTGGTGGTCATGGCTTCCTTGCTGTATGCCTGGTGGATGTTGTGATAGAGTCTGTATACGAATGAAGGGGAAAAAAGCGCGTAAGAGAACACTGTCTAAACAAGGTTGGCAACAACAGCACTACTAATTTATTTATTTTTGTACATATACCTTTTCTTGTAAGAATAAAAGTCTGTATTTTTCTTTTTCTTTTTTTTTGGGTCATACAATGGTTATTTATTTGACACACACACAAGTAAGGTTTAACTATTCTAATAGATATTGAGAAGTTCTTTAATAGTCCGCTTCGCCTTGGAGAAGAAAAGAGTAACAATAGTTTATGAAAAGCCAGTATGTCATACAGTATTACATTGGTTCAACCATTAAAATAAATAAAAAACAAAGAGGATATTTATTTTTGTCGCTTGCTTTTAGCGGCAAGGATAGGGTATTCTAAATAGGGTCGAAGCCACTCGCGAGGTGTCAAGGAAAGAGAGAGAGAGAGAGAGGCCCAAGGAGGCTATCTTTCATCACTGTGGTTCTTATTATTTCCTTCATATATAAAACAATATTCTGCTAATTAATCGAAATTTTCAATCATAAAAGGAAGAGACATTAGATCAGTAGCAACACCAACGCCTCGAAAGATAGACAGTTGGATCGGGTCATAGCGACCTTCTTCAACCAACACTATCTTGCAAGTCCTGATAGATTCGCCATCGTCAATAAAATCACAGACAATTGGTGAAGGGACATTAAAGAGAGCCAAGTTGGTCAAGCATCAACTTCAACAAGTTGTGAAGGTCTTGTCTTTGGTTTCTTGATTTCAGCAGCAAAGAGGCTAAACTTCACGTTATCAAAGGTCACTTCCAACAGATAGCCAGGACACAGAGAAGATAAGGAGCAAGCTGAAGGACCCAAAGATGCATAAGATCTTTTTCTTGAGCTTGTTTTTGTGGGTGTTGCTGGTGCTGTATTGGTGAAAGGCAAGAGAACATCCAACTCAGAGAGTTTTTCAAGCTGGCCTATGGCAGTAGAGTGGACAGTTTGGCCTATATTGTCGAAGATATGCTCAAAAAATGGAGGCAAGGTAGAATCAATGTAATTTTGTTCAGTTTCAATGCTTATTGACTTGATCTTCAAAAAGGAGGACACAAAAAGAGTAATCAACAGCAGCTTCTTTTGATTCTTGTTCTTTCTCGCCTTAATTTTTCTTCTGCAAAGGCAATACAAATATCATCTTCGTCTTCGTCTTCGTCTTCATCTTCAGCAACAATGGCATTTGCTTCCTTCGTTTCTGTCTATGCCGTTTATTCCAATATAAATAAGCAAATGAAATGAAATAAAGAAAATACCTTACAAAGAAAACGGCACAATAGTAGAATATCATCACTTGCTTCTTCTTGAAATCTTCTTCGACATAATTGCTTCAGCATAAACTTTTTCTTGTTCTCAAGGCCTAATTGTTCTAAGATTGACGATTTGTGGTCAAAGACCACGGTGGCAAAAAAGAATTAGCCTAAATTGACAGCCTTTCTTCACAAAGTACCAATAATATTGGCCTATACAGCCAAGATTGGGAGGTAAAAGATTGATTAATTTCTGGATGTAAGAGAAGCAACCAATACAGAAGACAATCTTGTCCATTTAGGCCAAGTTGGATTTCTTGACCTTGCTGTTTCCGTTAATCTTGAGAGCAAAGCAGACAGCTGTAGTCACTTACTAAAATAAAGTATATTTTCTTCAGGCTTCTTATGCACTAACCCTCTTTTCTTGGGGACCACCATCTCTCAGACATGTTCGCAGAGTACCAGGTAGAGAGGAGGTGGCTAGAGAACACTCCCATCCATTCCAAAAGCAACCACTTTTGTATGATTATGTAGTTTCTTAAAGAAGAGAAAGTAATTGTAGCTATTTTATGAAATATGTTTTATCAATTGACTATATTTCACACAATAAACAAGTTTTTTTTATTATTTATCGTATGAAGAAATCAAAGACAAATGATTTATTTGTGTGAAAAAAAAAAAAGAACATTGTATAATAAAAACAATAGAGACACTATAAAGCTAATAGCAGCTATATTCTAAAACACTTTTCTTTGGAATGGACGGAGTGTTCGCCATTAATACATTTATGCATTTTGTGTTTCTTTTTTTAGGAGTACCCCTTCTCTAGTCACGGTTATATGAGCCATCCCCCTCTCGATTCGGTATTCTACAAACATGTTTGATAGGGAGTGGTGCACAAGAAACTTGATTTTATTGTGTACCTATTAATCCTTTCTTTATTCCATACAAGTCATTTTTGCTTTGGCGAGCAACTCAGTGACCAAGTCTTTCCTTTATTTCACCGTCAATTCAATTAGCCCTCAGATAAAAAAGAATACTAAGCTGAATGATTCATTTGCACATCACCCAGCCTGCCTAAGCACTTATTGAACAGAATGAATTCAGCAATGAAACTGTAATTTATTATTTACATTCGACTTTACCTCTTTTTTCTTTTAATGGCTGCAAGTTTTTCGTATATACTAGATTAATTGACGCCTTCTTCTGTTGTCTCTCCTTCTCCTTTTCTCGCTGGCAATGTCAGTTATACTTCTCGTCTCCATTACGGCAATATTTCGATTGAGTGCACTTTTAACTTCAAATTCAGAACAGATAAAAAAATATTTTGGCACAGACCATTGGGCACAAGAGTAATACTAAGGGCACACGAATACTCCAAACTAGGCCATTACCCCCCCCTAATAAATCCTACCTAGCCAAGTGCGCCCCACACCCGAAATTTCCAAAGGAGGTTGGATACAAATGTTGTAATAAAGGAATATTGTAAAATACGTAGGCCACCAAACACTGAAAAAAAATACTTGGGTTTTTTGACCATTATATATGACTGATAATAGTTTTAAAATATATATTTCATACAACAAAAAGGCTTATTTATCAGTCAATTCTTTGCAAATCGTAATATTGTAGTAAAAAAAAAAGAGGACTTTTGATCATCTCGAAATCTAGTATTTTTTGACTCAGAGATAATCGCTTATGTATATGTAAACGTAAAGAACTTGAAAGTCATGGAGGTCATTCTCTTATGAAAAAAAGAGAGAGAGAGATGGTGACAGAGTAACTATTATTATTTTACTGAAGATTTTGGAAATGGTATAAACGAGTCCAACTCATAGACTATGCTTCTTCAATGCAACAATAGTCTACCATAAACATTGCTGTCTATGATGTACTTGTTGCAAGAGATCGAATCATAGACATATCCGTTCTTGACTCACAATGAATTAAAGCCATATTATTGTTGCCTTAAGGCATCAAATACACAAGCTATTATTTTGTCAATGTAAAATGAGAGTGAATGTTAAAGAGCTTCTGACAGGCAGAAGGGGGGTTTTTTTTATTGAAGATACTTAATTTATTGAAAAAAATATTATTTTTTCTTGTTCCCTCTCATTGTTTATATGACAATAACACATCGACAAAAGCCTTCTGGAAGTACACTGAGTGTAGTAACTAATGCAGATGGAGGATCTGCAGTAGACGACAAGGAACCTCCTAAATACCATTGCGATGCTTGTTCTAATGATGTCACTAACACGGTCCGTATTCGTTGTGCAGATAAGGATTGTCCAGACTTTGATCTCTGCGTCACTTGCTTTTGTGGTGGAGCTGAACCCGTCAAGCACAAGACTTGGCACGACTACCGTATCGTCAAACCACACAGTTTTCCTATTTTCAGTGAGGATTGGGATGCAGACGAAGAACTCTTGTTGATTGAAGCAGCAGAAAAGATGGGCATCGGTAATTGGCAAGCCATTGCTGACTATGTAGGCACCAAGGGTAAAACAGAGTGTGAACAGCATTATTTGGATGTCTATGTCTCGAGTCCTAACTGGCCTTTGCCTCGTATGAACCTCAAGTTTGAAGCAAGTGAAGATGAGTGCCGTGAACGCAAACGACAACGGCTACAACAGTCGCGTGGCCTAGTGCCTCGCAAACCAGCTTCTTCTCAACCCAACAATGCAAAGCCTATCACCAGTGGGCCATCGTTTCATGAGATTCAAGGTTATATGCCTCGTCGATTTGAATTTGAAACAGAGCATGAAAATGATGCAGAGCAGTTTGTCAAGGATATGGTGTTCAATGACGATGACACACCGGAAGAGGTAGATTTGAAAGTGATGGTATTGGATATCTATAATTCTCGACTGGATCGACGTATGGAGCGAAAGAATTTGATATTTGAGAGAAGATGGCTTGATTTTAAGCGTATGCAGGCTACAGAAAGAAAACGACAAAAGGAAGAACGTGAGATTTATAACAAGACGCGTGTCTTTTGTCGATTACAGACAGAAGCAGACTATGACTTGTTCGTCAAGGGCTTGATTAAAGAGCAACAATTACGGGACAGAATAGCAACACTACAAGAATGGAGACAGGCAGGCCTTACGACTATCAAACAAGGAGAACAATACGAAAGGGAGAAACAGAATAGACTAGCTCAGTTAAAGACACTAGCTCAATTATCCAATGATAGACTAGGCTCAGCTAGCACAGTTCAACGGAATATGTATCGCTCTCAAATGGCTGCTTTAACTACATCCAATGGAGCCAATTATTATCGAGATAGACTACTTCAACCTACACCCAGTACACCTCCTACTACCATCACGTCAGCAGCAGCTTCTGGTGGCAGAAAACCAGCCAATCCTTTGAATATTCAGGATGCAGATGGTGTTCATTTACTGACAGAAGAAGAGCAAGTGTTATGTTCAACATTGCGTATCATGCCTCGTCCTTATCTTGTTATTAAGGACACAATACTTAAAGAATACGCTAAACATGGATTTATGAAACGAAGACAAGCACGCTCATTGATCAAGATTGATGTGAATAAAACCAGCCGAATTTATGACTTTTTTGTTGAAAGCGGTTGGATCAAAGCATTCAGAGACCCTTCCACTTTACCGCAACCATCACCACAACCATCGCCTGCAAATAACCCACCACTAACCGAAGCAAGCTAAATATCTCTCTATACATTATACACCGAGGACTATTATTATTATTATTATTTTTTCTTTTTCCACTATTTAAGCAGATTGTTTTTTCCGCATCTATTTAATAAACGATATGACTCTTTTAGAAGATCCTTGTCAAAATTCAGTGATTGCAAGAGCAATTACTCAAAATAGCTATGAAATAGAGAACAATGCACTTTTCTATGTCTTATTGAGCTTGTTTAACATAGGGAGTAACGTATTGGTTTGGTTTGTGTATCATATCTAACTATGAATATAGTGAATGAACATCAACTGGAAAAAGTGTATCAATGTATGACAAAGAAAAAGAAGCCATTGGTCATGCCTAAACTATCTAAACTCCAGAGTCCAATGCACTCACATATGTGGCAAGACTATCTTGGTGATACAGAGTAAACTACACAAAGTAACAAACAAGCAAGGCTAATGAACAATAGCATGTATTTTACATACCTTGAATTCTTTTGTCATCAAATACACTGTTATGGGATTAAGTCAGTGATGGACCAATACTATTATTATGGTCCTCTCTCTCAATCCATTGGCTCTCCTTTGATTCATTTGGCTATGGGTATACAGCATCATCAAAGCCAAGTAGTAGCACAGGGATTAGCTCATTTAGCCTCTACTTTTCAAAATGCTAGTTTTATTGTAAACTCGTCTTCAGGCTGCTTTACTGCACATCAAATCCTTGTTGATCAAATCCGAGTAGATCCGAGATTTAGTTTACAATCCAAGCAACTGCTTAAAAATGCTCAAGAGCTGCTTAAAGACTATGTTAGTCTATGGAAAATGCCTCCTGATGGACTGAATGAATTGCGTCTGCTTACAGTTCAGATGATGGTGGCCCTTGAAGAGATGTCCTTGTTACTCAACACAATCAATGCACTAAACATTCTTTATCCAAACAATTCTTGCCCTGAACATATGGTGCGTATTCAACTCTTGAATTTGATGTGTTACTATATTCACCAAGGACGCCCTTTGATTCCAATGTATAATACTCAACATGCCTTGGGAGATCCTTATAAGCTACTTAAATCAAAACTTCAGAATGGAACGATAGACACACACACTATTTCCACATTGACTGCTCTACAAGAAGCGTATAATCAAACCCCACTTGTCCTCTACAAACAAGCTATGATGTTTTATTTACAATAACGATCTGCTTTTGCTTTTTCTCTTCTGTCTAATAAAGCTTCTGCTAATCTGCCTTCTGTTTTAGCTCTTTTTAGCGCTTGTTTATCCTCATATGTCTGACTGATCTGTCCACCCCATGAATGATATTTTTTACTATAATACATGAGTTATATACATCACACGCACTGTATGCTGCTTACACTGTATCCAGTTCTGATGCTGCTGATTCGCCCTTCTTCTTTTTCGTCTTAGGCTTATATTTAAATCGAGCTTGACAATAAACACGAAATGATTCACAAAACCCAACGTCTTCAGCATCTGCTCGAATACGAACACCACTACCTGCCACTTGATCAATCATCAAGTATTTACCGTGCACATTTTGAAACCCAATGCCTGCCTCTGCAATCACAGGCTTCCATTCCTCTTGTCCACCAATGGCTTCACTTGAACAAGAAACAAGACCAAATTTATCGCTACTAAGGTATTTCCCATTGGCTGATTTGAGCGTAAATGCATCTGTTGAGCCTACAATACGCGAACCCACAAATACTTGTTGCATGATCGTTGGTTCTGGTGTAGTCTCATACAAGTCTGGTAAAGGGTAAGCAAGGAATCGATCATCTTCGTCTACTGTGAGACAGATAGGAGGATCACTAGGATGTGTAATAAACAAAGGACCCACTAGGTCTTCTATACTGTCTGCACGTACCCAAACTATATCATGATGAATAACATAATAACACACTATGTATGCTTTACCTTGGTCTGTAGACTCTGCTCCTTCGCGTTCATGTCCTTCAGACGAATGATGTTTTCTTTTCTTTTTTCTATTGTGGTCATGAATAACAATTTTTTATTGATAGAAAAAACAACTTACTTTTGTGACTTATCACCTTTAAATACAAGCTTATTCTTCTTTGGTACAATACCAGACATGATAAAAAAAAAGAGAAAAAGAAAGAGCTAATTCGAGTTCAGCTATCTATTTTTTAAAAAAAAAAAAAACTTTATGTGTAACCAGGGAAACTGCGCGCGATTATCATGTAAACACAGTGTCATTTATTCTCACCAAAAAACTGGGATACACAGAGGGCGTCATGCAAAATAAATATAGTTTCTTTTTTTTCTTCTTTTTTTTCTTCTTTCTCTTTTTATCATTAAGAATGCAATCCAATTATTACCAAGCTGTATTTCAACAGAATCAACCGTATTTAATGCCAAATGAGATTGTTCAAGAAGAAGATTCAGACGAAAGTCCTATACCTGATAAAAGATCTGGCAGAAGAAAGATCAAGATTGAATACATCAACGACAAATCAAGAAGACATATTACATTCTCGAAAAGAAAAGCGGGTATTATGAAAAAGGTAATATATATATATATATATATATATATATATGAACAAATTCTTATTGTTATAGGCTTATGAACTCAGTACATTGACAGGCACACAAGTCTTGTTGTTGGTTGTATCTGAAACAGGATTGGTCTATACGTTTACAACGCCCAAGCTGCAGCCACTTGTAACAAAACCTGAAGGGAAAAGTCTGATTCAGTCATGCTTAAATGCGCCTGATCCAATAGAAGCCTCTTCTATGGACTCTTCTGTTACTTCTCCACCTATGGTAGTATCCTCTTTCTTTTCTTTATATAGCTAATAGGATGATAGACACACAACACAGGTTATTATCCAGCAGAACCGTCTTTTACAGAAGATAAAAAGGTATAATCATTTAAAAAGAGGGAAAAGGCTTATACTTTTGTGTTAGGAATACATGGTAGGAACACAACAAATTGCGTCAAACTATAATCCAATGACATACCCGGGTTATGCAGACAATACAGCACCTTACACTTATGAAAATAACGATAGATATTGGACAAACACCAGCAACATGAATTCTTTAAAAAGATAATAAAAAAAAAGGGTGATTTTAAACCATTGGGACACTATACGCACGGGTAGTTACTTTTTTGTCTCTCTTGTGATTTTGTACAACATAGTCTATTTCTCACTCTTTTTTTCTCTCTGATATAAAAGGTATGTTTTATTATGATTACACTAGAATTCGATGATCAAATTAAGAATAGTTTAATGCTTCTTCAATACAGTAATTAATATAGTCTTTCTTGTAGGACATATTGATACCAAAATGTCGGCTTAGCTGCTCTCTGACTTGCTTTTTCGTCACTGTCATGAGATCCGCTGTTGATGTAATACGTTGTACTTGCCGTTTGATTTCTTCGTCTGTAGGATAATAATCCATATTCAAGTGTTCACTATAGACAGAAGCAAGAGATCCATGATTGAACACAGAAGTTGGAAGAGGAGGAGGAGTAGCACCAAGAGTCAAATTTTGATGAGAGTAACGAACACTTGTATTATCATAATTATACAAAGTGTTTATCATGGGCAATGGTGTCATAGGTATTGTACGTCTAGTGCTGGATGAAGTAATTGTAGTACCTTTTGTTTCTGCTGATCCAGTCTCCCACAATTCGTTTTCGTGGTCGTTCCATTTCTTGAGTGGAATAGTACTAGCATCAAATTTGCCTTCATCCACGGGTAAAGCCTTCTTTTGTCCATCTTCTCCTAGAACAAGACGCGTGTTTCCCCAAGAGAAATCATCAAAATGCCAAAAGGCATAAATGGGTATAAAGAATGAGAAGAGAGGAATAGCGAGGATATAGACAATCATCCAACCAATGTGTTCCCACTACAAGAGAGCAATATAAATAACAAGTCTATTTGAAAATTCAACCTTACCTTTCTTCGAACAATGAAAATAATGGCCTGTAGACCATATACACCACATAATGTAATAATCGAAATAAAAGGCACTTGACCTGCATTCGTAGCCAACTTGTAGATAAGGAACCCTAGATAGCAAACAACAGCAGGCATAACCAATGTACTCAGCAGATCTAAAATCACTACAAACCGCATTGAGAAACAACAGAACCCACATAGCTGAGGTAAAAAAACTAATTCACCCAAGTTGTGAATGGTTGAATTGATCCATCGACGTCTCTGAGAAAGCAAAACACTCCAACTGTCAGGCGCATTGGTCAAACAACAAGCATCAGCAGTAAACTTGGTTTTATAAGTCGGGAAATGTTTGAGAATCAAGGTAGTCAAGTATCTATCTTCACCCAAATGCAACAAGTTCTTTTGATGTAAAGTATCAACTCTATTTTCTGCATAATCGTCAATAACTTGATTGCTCACCAACAAGGGTTGGTTTTTGCCACCCGGTGAACGAATACGATACATACAGAAACAACCAGGTAAACAAGTAACAGATCCAAACAAAGATTCAAAGGCTTTGGATAGAAAATGGGAAATGTAGTACTCGTATACTTGGATCATAGTCACCCAGCTATCTTTTTCGTTTGCTAGCTTCGTTTCTCCACATAGACCAATAACCTTAGAATCATGAACAAAGCAAGAAACCATACGATTTAATGAGTCAGGCAACACTTCTGTGTCTGCATCCACCATCAACACAAACTCATAAAAATCAGGACTTACACCAATGACGTTCTTGATTTGATGATATATTTCGAGTTCCATAGGTGTCATGGGCGATTGAAAATGAACCTTATTGATGAAGCGCATCAAGACCATTTGCGAATCACGTTTGCCCCGATTACCAGGCTTTTGGTGTTCATGAGGAGCACCTACTTTGACCACAACGACATACGGAACAACATGGCCACAGCATTCGTATAGGCCAGAATAAATCTTTGCCATGTTATGTTGTTTAAGGCCCTCACCCAACGACAGAAACGAGAGCGGTTCAGGATCTACATTGGCATTGACGCCGAGAATATCAAGTACAATACGAGGTGTAGATCGATCATTGCCGCTACCGGTAATCATGCCATCACATACCAAAAACAGCAGTTTTCTTTTATCGTCATAGCGCAAGACAGCGATTGAATCAATTGTCTTTCTTAAGGATTCTTCACTTTCAGTATAACAAGGGACTTGACATACAATGAACTTGTCATATTCTTCTGGTTCTCTAAATGAACTCATTTGTAAAGCAGCCAAGAACTTGAAGAAGATAACAGCACACAAGAAGCCTATTGAGTGATGAGTCCACACTGATATCTATAGATGTATGGCTTACCAGTGATGATCAATAAAAAGTATTCAGAGAATTGACACTGAGCTGATTTTCTTGTGTCTACTTTGCCTACAAAAAACAAATTTCGCAAACAGACAAGTTGACGTGTCCTAAGTTCTTCAGAGATGGGCAAGACATCAAAATGCTTGGAAATGTCTGTTCCAGCCAATTGCCGAAACAGCTGTACAATACTATTGTCCATAAAGTTCAAGTCAATATTTGTAGGTGTCGCCATGCCTTCAGGGACACGAGGAGCTCTTCCACCCATCAGATAGTTCGTCAGGTCATATACGTCACCATGTAAAATAGCCCAGTTTCGATGTGCCGTACTTGAACTGGAGGCATCGCCCGGATTTCGTTCGTTAGTTGCTTGTCTCAGTATGTCAGAAGGTTCATAGCCCATAAACCCTAAACGGTAATTTTTGCGCAGGTATACCATTTGTTCAAAATACCAATCAGGTCTATAATCATTGGTGAAGAATCGAAAATCATGATAAGCAGCATTGGGATCTGTCAAGTTCACTTGGAAATCGAGCACAACTTCTTCAGGTACTCGGCCTGTGATACCGTCACAAAGGGCAGAGACTTGGACTGGAAATAAATTGGTAGCATCTTTACCTCCATATTGATAAACTACGCTATCAGGTATAACTTCAGTCGCCCAATGATGAGGAGCAAATCGAGTCAGATCAAAGACTTCGCCTCGGATAGCTACATAAGCGCTGTCCTTGTCGGACTTACTCTGTAGTTCAGAAAGAGAATAGACGTCTTGGTGAGGACAAATCAAAGGACCAAAAAAGATGATGAATACAACCATGGCTGCTGAAAGTAAAAAGATCAGTAGACAAAGCGTCACTTTTTCTCTCCAGGCAAGTCGAACATCAGCACGTTTCATGCCTCCACAATGACTTAGAGCAGGAGATGGCATCCACCAAGTCAAGAACCAGACAAACATGATCCATTTACGACGTACACTACTGAGAGGTTGTTTTTCTTCTTCCTCTTCTTCCTGATGTTTGATCTCATTTGAAGCTGGATCTTGTGCTTGCATTTGATTTGATATGAACAACGTACTTGATTTTCTGTTTTCGAGTGTTGTTTGAGAAAAAACATCAGACCCTGTATAGTCATGTAGTCCAGAATCATTCATATAATCATCTTCTGACATTGCATACGATAAGCCGTCTTCGTTTAGAGAATAGCCATCAACTGACTTTGTGTTCATTTTTATCTTTTTGGATTCGGTTTTTTCTAAGCTTCTCAAGTCATCTTCTAAAATTCTAAAAGCATGATTTGATAGATAGATCTATAAAAATTAGGCGCTGTTGATATCTCACTCTTTTCTTACCTTGCTTGTCCCAACATGAATCCAAGTTTCGTCCCAGTCCATCAAAGTTGCTATTGAAAGGCATCTTGCTCGTACAGGTAAACTTAAATCAATGGCCGCATTGACTGTGATAGGAAGTGAGATATGATATCGGTTCCAGAACTCTTCGAGATCAAAGCTAGTCGTATAATAACACTTCATTCGCTTGGTCAAGTCCGATAGATGGAAGCCAGCTACCTGTGAAGCTAGTTTTTTGACATCGCATGAATTAGGTAGTGATAGATCATTAGGACGGATACAAAGAACAGACCAGACAAGTGTGCTTGAAAGGGCCTGTGTCAAATCAGTCATACCAGTCACCAAAAGATCAGCCATAGTAGTAACATTAGATTGCAGCGAGTGGGAGAGGATAGATTTGATATCAGCAGCCTTGTTGTCTCCAGATCTTGTGGGTGAGCTTAACGGTCGAATACCTTGTTGCTGAGAAGAAACTCGGTTTCGAGTACCATCATCGTGTCCTAAGATTTGATTATCAAACAAGCAAACTACAAGCCCATTGCTGCTAGGAGAAGTATATGCACTGCCTCGAAACAGATTGATAAAGTCATTGCAGAGATAATCTTGATTTCTTTCTGTAAAATGGTGTGGGTTATAAGTGACAGGACCCCAAAAATGCTGAATCGTGAATAGCTTTGAATCAATTTCGCTTTTTTTGAAAGACAATGTTTGGCTATTAATTGCACTCTTGTTTGCACTAGCGTAGTTATCTATCAATGTGTTGTCATCTTCATTGTATCTTTGCTGACGAGAAGCTTGTGTGTTCATGATAGACCAGAGGCCTTTTGAAGGATGCACAAATAAATCGTGGACTGTGCTGTACAATATAGACTCAACTGGAACGCCTTGTTCTTCATGCTCTTGTCTGTCACGATCGAATAGATTAGCAGAATGAAATTTGTACCATGTCTCTTGAATATAGTTAAATGTAAGTTGATCAAATCCGCCAATCGTTGGTCTTGACGTCGTCCAGCCTGGGATATCCAATAAGCCAATAAAACTATGCGCATTTCGAGGAGCCAGTCGTTCATTGATTTGTTCTACAAGCCAAGTAAACAAGAGACAATAAAGGGACTGTGCCAAATCATCTCTCTGCCTATCTGCTTGCTCAGGGTTTAAAAATAATGTTGTAATATCTCTTTTCACAAGTTTGCTTTTAAAAGTAAGTGCACTTGAGAGCGCATATGGATCAACTCCAAGCAATTCAGCGGCTGTAGCCAATACATCTGTGTTTCTTACAATGGCTGCATCTTGAGCATTGTTGGGATCTTCTGCAAATTGAATGTTACCTAGATGTAGAATGGCTGCTAATACTTGATATACTTGACCCACTCGATGCTTTTCGAACAAGATGGATTTAAGTGCTGTACGAAGCTGCATATCTGAAGTCAAGTCATCCAATGAAGTTGCTCTAGATGTTGATGTCCTTGACAGATACCGAAAAGTAGACCAATCAGATAGTCTTAGATGATTTTTTTCTTCTTGCGAAGCACCTGCCAACATGTTGTAAAAGACATGGAAGTTGCGTTCATCTTGGCCTGCCATTGTCACCCTTGATTTTTCAAGGGCATAAGGTAGAAACTTAGCACCCACCAATCGACCTCGTTCTGAGAAATGAAGTTCGGTGAAAAGCGCAACTCTAGAAGCATTATCGTGTGTGGTTTTTGCATGACTGAATGCATCAATTACGTTTTGAGCATGCAGGACATTGGTTTGCGTACGCGTTGATTTTTTATGTGCACCAAGGACAACCAAATAATCTATAGATAACTTATACTGCTCTGATTTTCCACTTGCACTCTCTCCACTGATAGGAGATGACAACAACAACAAAAAAGAGGGAGAAGGTTAGGGGGAAGGTTACAACATAGAAAGGAGAATTACCTAAATAGAATCGACTGGTTGATACTTGTTCTTCTCATATGAAGGTATGCATGATTTAAGAGTTGGTACAAGTGAGGATTTCTCCATTGATTTGCTTTTGCACTTGACGTGTCTTTATATTCTGCAATAAAGTCTGATTTATTGTGCTGTTTGTCGTGATATGGATTAAGTGCTACCAGCACTACAGGACTGATGTTGGTATACACGAGATCACTTAAATACCGCTGTCTCAAAGTATCAATGATATCCTCTGCACTAAGGTTTCCATTGAACTGAACAAGATCATTCGTTTCAAGCTGTGCCATTCAATTTATTCGGATTTGTATGCAGTAGACTGACTCAACTTGTCAATCTATACGCTAAAAAAAGAAGAAGAAATAAAGAAAGGCAGTTATAAAAGTTATCTCTCCCTCTCCTTTTAAGTAAGGGCCCCCCTCTTTCTTACTCTCTTGCTCTGCCTATCCCCTTCCTCCTTGCTTATAATAAGAAAAACCAATTCGTTTATATGTACTCCTAAAAATAAAAAATAAAAAAAGCTGTCGAATACGGTTTGCAAAGCATATGTAGAACGTATGCAGCCATGTCTCGAACAACAAAGCTATTTGTTTATATCTTATAAATTTCTATTTTAACCATTATATACGACGTATAGTCAATAAAAAGGTACGGCAAATGTCATTTATTTTCCCCTTTTTTTCTTGAAAATGGGTAAAGTATCTGTACTTCAGCTATCCTCGAAAAGTACAAACTTTCGGGTGAATATAAAAGTAAAGACGGGAAGATCTTCATTTCATTGAGAGTATTTTTTATACTCCTTTTTTTTATCTTCTTCAAGCCATTTGGTGTGAGTCTATAAAGGCCTGTTTTTTGGGTCTTTAGTGTTCCCGTAAATAACTTTTGTCATTTGCTTTATTTCGGAAAACAAAAAAAAACATGCATCACATTTACAGCAGTAAAATCAACAAATCAAGTTATGAAGAAGTTTTAGAAATCTACTTCAGGCTGTTTGAATAATACGTTCTCTACCAAAATATTCATAGCAAAATTGTGGTAATATGTGAAACATATTGCCCATATTATAGAAGACCATTGTTGTACTTTCTGATACAAGTATTGGAGCGCATAGAACTTAATTTCAAAGTCAAAAAGTTGCAAGCCCTAAGAAGAAAGATATCACAAAAAGAATAGGATTGTGCATTCCGTATATTTGAAAGGGCTTGTTGTTCTCAAATGCGACTAGAACATTGGATGAACAAAAGAAGAAACAACTTTATCAGAGGCTTTGTATGCGAAAGGCTTGTCTTTCACTACAAACAGGCTGTTTAGCAATTCATACATACTGTTTTCTAAAAGAGATACTCACATACTTTTTACTTTTGTTCTTCACTTGGATTTCTTATTCAGATGCCACGGGGTCTCTCCTGCTACTGAACGTGTATATAACCATCATTATATGCTCTGTATAGGTGCATACGTCCATATGTTGATTTTATTCATTATAGCTTTTGTTATGTCAACAAAGATCTTCAAAGGGAAATTTTAAAAGTCGTTCAAATTTTTTTTGGCATTGTATACAAACAAACAAAGAAAGAGCTGTCAAAAGAAAAGGACAGAGCAGTATCAAACAAGCTAAAGGATATGCTAGACGTGTGTTTCTTTAAATAAAATACTCCACGTCCTACTCGTAAAAATCAGAGATAGTATTCTATTTTATGCTTTCAATGTTTCCTGAAGTTATCCAAAAACAGACAAAAAATCATGTGCCTTTTCTGATCCGCTAGAATAAAAGAAAAAAGGAAGAAATGCATAACTGTGTTTATTTCTGTAGAATGATAGACTCTAAGTGATAAGATTAGACTTTTGAAATTGCAGCTTTTTTAATCAATATATAGACTTTATATAAGTTTATTTTTACTTTGTCTTCTAAAACAATTTTCAGTAATACAAGAAGATTTCTGTGGAGATTAAAAAAGATGTGTGTCACATTTTATTCCGTGGAGTGATTTACGTGAAACGGTGGTCAGGACCCATTTAAACTGTTTGTATCACGCACTTTATGTATGAATAAGCTTAAAATATATGCAGAGTACCATTTGTTATTTTACCCTACATAATTGAAACTAAAGGCCTGAATGCCTAGTCAAAGAAGTTGTTGTTTGTAATACTTGTGAGAAAAGAAGGGGTCCTTGAGAACACAGATCGAGAATTCTATCTTTTGTGTGCAAGTATTACTTAATAGTCATCTTTTTACTATATCAGTATATTCCTTGGATGACTTTTGATTGGGTCGCTGATTACACACTTATTCACACGCGAACTGAAATATAAATATAAAAGTATGTCTCATTTCATTTCTCTTCTTTCCTTTTTCCCCACTTTCCCTTCAAGATGATGAACTTTACGGAAAAGGCAAATCAGTCTCATTTATTGAGCAATTCAATCATTTCAACCTCAACTATCACTAATGCTTCTACCATTACAAGCACATCAAGCATCAGTGGTACCAGTTCCATCATCAGTGCTGAATCAACAGTTAGTATTCACTCGCAATCCGATCCTTACAGCTTGTCTTTTATTACGGATAATCAAAATTACTATCACCAATTGCTTGATGATTTATCAATTGTAGATGATTTGGCAGACACATTTAGACAAGAACCTGACTCTGTTGTGTTTGGTAAGCTTTACTTTCAAATGACACTTGTTTTTAACAATAATCAAAGAGAAGCAAGTGCTTGATGTTGCCCGCTATGTAGCCTCTAAAGAAAATGTATTGGAATGCGTTATGCGAACAGAAGTCGACTATGTCAACGAGCTCTTGGCATTCCATGAAGTATATGCACTTCGAGTTCAGCCATGGTTAGAGAATTCTGTTGATAAAGATATCATAGCTAAATTCAAAGAAACACCCTTAAAGCAAGTATTTGATGCCATGTTTGAGAATATTCATGACATAGCCCAAGCACACAGCTCTTTTTTGAGTGAGTTGAAAGAAAGGTAATGAATCGCTTCTTGTTATCTTTCTCTAAGCATTTTCTATATAGAATTCGTCTATGGGGTCCCACTCAGTTAGTATCTGATGTGTTCTATAACCTTGTATGTACCCAAAACAATGAGAACAAACGGACTGATGGTTTTATAGCATGAGAGCTTCGCTGTGTATAAGCCATTTATGAAACAACACAACAGTTATGTGATGGTTGTAGATACACTTTATAAAATACCTGCCTTTACAAAACTCTTAGAAGTAAGTCCGTCTATACATCCATGTGCAATATTCTAATCTGATCAAGACTATTATGGCTGAAAACAAACAACAAAATCTCGCAGTAAAGATCAACGATTTTGCTCATTATATACAAACGCCTCTTTTGCGCTTTACAGCCTATAGTAAAGCACTCAAACAATTAAACCATTATACAAATCAAGCACATCCTGATTTCAACAGCTTAACAAACGTCCTAAAAAAGTTCAAAGCCCTAGAATCTGAATGGATAAAAAAGTATGTTTAAATGGCACCATGTCATGAGCGGTGTAACATGTCTTACTAACTTGACTAAAATAATAGAGTCCACGACTGCCAATCGCATCTCATGGTCTTTGAAGCATATCGTTCGATTCAAAACTGTCCCATCAATGTCAACCCACAGCGACGTTTGCTATTGTTTGCTCATCTTATTCGAGTGGATCTGGATGATATTACTTCAACGTCAGATATTCGCATGTATTTCCTCTACAACGACAACTTGATCTACTGTAAAAAGAAACAAAAGGAGAGTAAAAAAGATCCTGCAGATAAAAAGCTAGTTTATAAAGGTACGCTTAGTCTACGTGGAGCTGAAATTCGTCAACTTGCACCTGCATTTTGTGCAAAGATGTGTGAGGAAAAAAAATCCCTGTTTCGACTTGGGAAAAAGAACCACTCCGACTCGAATTCATTGCCTGGTACAGAAGCCTTTGGTTTTGAATTAGTGGCTACAGAACTTAACTTGGATGCCATGTCTCCCTTACATCAGAACTATATGTCTGCTTCTGCTAGTAGCGGTGCTCCCATTAAACGAAGACATGTCATGAGAACTCGGTCTAAAGAAGAACAAGCAACATGGTATGATACTATTCGAAAGGCTATTGCATATACAAATGCACAACCTGCTTAATATATATACGCCTTATTTCTCCCTCCCTCTCCCTCTTCTCTAACATTTACACTTCCTTTCATTTCTGATTTCTTTGTATTTTATGTCCTCTATGAATAAAACTGTATTTTATGCATTTCACCATGAACAGAAACAAGTCACGCAACTCTACGGCTTAAAAAAATAAGCCTCTCTCTCTCTTTCTCTTGCTTCTTATTGTTCAAGCTGCGGTTCTATTTATTATGGCCGAGTCATTATCAATTGAAGAAACAAAGTAGGTATACAACTTACAATAATAGTCAAATACTTATTCTTTTCTCTAGTGCTCTTCGTGAAAAATTGGGACTTCCACCTTTAGCTGTTGGAGGTAGTTCAGACGACGAAGCCGTCGACCCAGAAAGAGATGCTTACGAGAACTTCCAGAAATTACAAAAAGAGAAAGAAAAAGTTAAAAAAGAAGAAGAATTAAAGCAAAAGATTGAAAAGTAAGCTGCGCATGTGTATTATAGATACTTATATTATCTAGATCCCAAAACCGCAAAAGAAACCTTGCTAAACTTCAAGGCAAAGGTCTTGGTGAAGCAAGTGATGATGAAGATGATAGCGCTCTGAATTGGATTAAAAAGAGTCGAAAGCGAGAAAGAGATTTAGCAGCACGTAGAGCACGCGAATTGGAAGAAATGGACAAGGCATATCAAAACTATGACGCTAATGACCTTTCTGGTCTTAAAGTGAGCCACGCTTTGTCTGAATTCGAAGAAGGAGGTGAGACTATTTTGACACTCAAGGACCGTAGCATTCTTGGCGAAGACGATGATGATGCAGATGAATTGAGCAACGTTAACCTTGAAGATCGCGAACGACTGAAAAAGAATTTGGAAGCCAAGAAACAAAAACCAGGTTATAATCCTTATGACGATGATCAATTCAGTGGTAAGAAGCAAAGTATTCTTCCACAATACGAAGATGAACAAGAAGAATCTGGTTTTGTTATTGGCAAGGCTGGTATAATTAAACCCAAGGTGGAGCAAGAAGACGAAAAGAGTGTGTCTCAAAAAGTAAAAGAACAGACACTTTCTTATGAGAAGATGCAAGAAATCAAAGACTATTATACCCGAGAGGAAGCTGATGCTATATTTAAAAAACCCAAATCAAAGAAGAAGAAGATGAGAAGAAAGAACGAAGATGAAGATGATATTCAGCCAATTATACAGCCTCAAGAAACAGCTCCTAGACAACGTACATTGGATCCTGATGCTAATTTTGTAGATGATGACGATCTTCAAGAAGCCCTCGCTCGCGCAAGAAGAGTTGCTAACAAGCAAAAGAATAAATTGCTCAAGAAAATGACACCTGAAGAAATTGCCAAGCAATTGAGAGAAGAAGAAGATCAGATCAAAAAAGAAGAAGAGGATGAAGGTGGTCTTGTATTGTCTGAGACAACTGAATTTGTCAATTCGCTTGGTAACATAATTCCTACTTTTACTGCTAGAGAACCACCAGCAGCCAAGTCAAAATCTACGCCTGTTCCTGAACAAGAAGAAGAAGAAGAAGTCAAGGTCAAGATTGAACCTGAATATGAAGTACATGATTTAGAAAACTCGCCCGAAAAACATGTTAAATTTGAATATGCTGATACAGAAATGGAAGAAGCACCTGTCAAAGAAGAGCCTAAAGAAGAAGTTATTGTTGAAGAGCCTTTAGTGAGTCGTGGTCTTGCAGCCACACTGTCATTACTTAGTCAAAAAGGTGTGATTGCTAAACCCACTGAAGAACAAATTCGACGAGACAAAATTGCTGCTGAACAAATCAGATGGCAAAATGAACAGCGTAAAAAGGAGCACTTGCGTGCCTTGGAGGAACAGCGTGAAAAAGAACGTCGTCGTCGTGGTAGAGGCAGAGATCAAAACAGTGACCGCATGAAAGAATTGGAACGTGAAAGAGAGCGTGAAAAGGAGCGCGAAGAAGAGAGACGTATGCGTGAATACATTCAAGCCATGGAGAATTATAAGCCAGAAGTACATTTAGAATACACTGATGACACTGGCCGTGTAATGAAGACAGCAGAAGCGTTTAGATACATGTCTCACAAGTTCCATGGTAAGACTTCAGGAAAATCAAAGACTGAGAAGCGTATGCAAAAGGTAGAAGAAGAACGTCGCTTGAATATGATGAGTAGTACAGATACACCTCATAACTTGGCTCATGCTTTGTTGGAAAGACAACAACGTACGGGTAATGCCCATGTTGTTCTCAGTGTTGGTAACAGAGGTGTTGTTCCTTCTTCAGCACCTTTAGCAGGTGCTTCCTCATCTAAATCCTCTAATAAGAAATAAATATAAATCTTTTTTATTTGAATAACTATTTACTTCTAGAGAATGTACATTTGTATACCAGCACATCTTTTTTCCTTGTAATATAATTTGAGTTCATTATAATTGTGATTGATGTATGTAATACATTGAAATTCTTTGACATTTCTAGGGCTGCTTCGTTGAAAGGGAGAAAGGGCTCTCAATAAAAACCAGTTTTATTTTATCGACATCTACTCAAAGGTGATACAAAATTGTATAATGAAGCTCGCATAAATACAGTAACTATAGATTTTTAGTGTAAAGTCTTTGATTCACATACTCAGGTATGCTATTTGGTTTGCAGAATAAGCGCCTGTATAACCTATCATCAAACATTATGGCCGTGCTGGTTAATACATTAAGATCACGTAAATATCAATTAAATACATAGTCACGTAAATATCAATTAAATACATAGTCACGTAAATTAATGTAAGGGTATATAATTCACAGTAAATTTTCAACGTCACCAAGTAAGTATCATGGCCGAGTGGTTAAGGCGGCAGACTTAAGATCTGCTGGACGTGAGTCCGCGTGGGTTCAAACCCCACTGATACTAGTATCTTTTCTTTTTTTATCATGATGTAGTGTATGTAGCAATCATGTTAAGATGTTACAAGATTTTAAGTCGTCTGATTGATGTATTGTATTTTTCAGCAATTAAGAGACAGTCTCAGAGAAAATAAGAGAAAATTATTGGATAAAATAAGAGAAAATTTTAGATCAATTAAGAGAAAACTGACCAATAAAATAAGAGAAAAACACAGGAAAAATTAAGAGAGAGAAAAAGGGGCAATTAGTAGAAAGCACTTTTCTCACTATTATTAACAAAAAATGGATATTGACTATGATATGAACGAGATCTCTCTACGCGACGAAGATATTGAAGCTGTACCCGAGATTATTGTCAGTGTAATGTCGATGATGAGAAAGAAGTGGGAGTATAACATCACTGCATCAGCCATGGAGTTAGATGAAGATGTGACGATGGAACTGAAGGAAGGGCACGAGGGTGATGAGCCCAGTAATAGCTCGGACGAGGAGGAAAATGAAGCTGATGTGCAGAGTAGTGAGAGCGATTTGAAAGAAGAGAAGCCTCTCAGAGACCTGACTGAAAAAAAAGACGACGCTAGCAATGCTAGACGTATATACACTCAGCAGGATATCAACAAGCTTATTGCTCTGTTAGTTGAACAGGTACCTATAAAGGATGCAGCTTTAAAGACAGGAATAAATGAAAAATCAGCCTACCGTTTCAAATCGCAGTGGCAGAAAACTGGGGAGGTACCTCAACAGAAGAAAAGAGGACGCAGAATGGGAACTGTCTCTGAGCTTACTGAGAAGCACTCGAAGTTTATTATCGACCTTGTTGATGAGCGTTCAACTACAACTGTAGCTGGAATACACGAGTCATTGATCATAGAGTTTCCAAGTCTCTCTGCAAGCCCATCCGCAGTATACAGACATCTTAGGACCAGCTGTGCACTATCTATGAAGAAGTTGGAGAAGATTTCAGTTGCTAGAAATTCAGAAGAAACTTTGAAGAAGAGAAAGGAGACCATCCTTCAATGGCTAGCTGATAGAGAAATTGACTTTGAGAACAATTGCGTATTTTTGGATGAAGCAGGATTCAATCTTCACATGACACGCACTCGTGGCTGGTCTAAGAAGGGAGCACCTGCTAAGACAACTGTCCCTGCTTCAAAAGGCACTACAATAACCATCCTTGGTGCCATCTCAAGTGCCGGCGTTATTGACATTTCTTTGAGAAAGCCAATAATGGTTTCGAGAGCTAAGAAGAGAAGAGTAGATGGTAAGGTTGTTACAACAACAGCCAAAGTTGGAACAAGGGCCGAGCATTATCTAAATTACTTGAGTAATGTGATGGATGTTCTTGACCGAAACAACATGAGGGGTTTTTACTTGGTAATGGACAATGCTCCCATACATAAGCCAGCTACAGTAAGAAATTTGATAGAAAGCAGAGGCTATAGGTGTGTATATCTTCCACCATACTCACCATTCCTAAACCCAATTGAGCTATTCTGGTCGAAGGTGAAGTATGGTGTCAAAAGAAAACCTTTCGAAACTGGTGAGACACTCACACCCAGAATCATGGATGCCTGCTCCAAGGTAACCAAGAAAGACTGCCAAGGCTGGATCCACCATTCCCTCGGATTTTTTGAAAAGTGCTTAGCCCTGGAGAAAAACTTATAATGAGATTAAAGTATAAATAAGCTTTCTACTAATTGCCCCTTTTTTTCTCTCTTAATTTTTCCTGTGTTTTTCTCTTATTTTATTGGTCAGTTTTCTCTTAATTGATCTAAAATTTTCTCTTATTTTATCCAATAATTTTCTCTTATTTTCTCTGAGACTGTCTCTTAATTGCTGAAAAATACAATATTAAGTAAAAAGAGATAATATAACGCACAATAATCATATAAGCAAGATCAAGATATTCTTGGGCAAATGATATGCGTTTATTTTAATCTATAGCTAGGCTGCATGTTTTTCGATATCTTTGACAGTCCATAAAGAAATACCAGTTTGATTTGTTTCGTAAGGCTGTGCCATAGATCTCAAGAACTTTTTAGCAACCACTAATGACATATCTGTCGACAAGTTTGTTGATGCATCTGTAATATACTGATTAATCCACTTTGGTAACTTGGCTCTCTTATCGGCTCTTGCAAACCGCTAATAGAAAACGATGAGTGGATACCTTAAAGAAAATTTTCTTTACCTTATCTGCAAATATCATGAGACCATAATCTGTTTTACCTCTTAATACACGGCCTACACATTGAGCAGCATGTCGCATAGCATCAAATGTAAGGAAATCGTTCTCACGAATGTGTAAATTATCACGCAGATATTCTAGGCGAGCCTTCAAAATACGTGATTCAGTGTATTGGTATGGAATACCAAACATAATGACAGCACGACCATAATTATGATCAAAATCAATACCTTCAGACACTTTGCCTCGAGCAACAGACAATAGAATGGCACCACGACCATTGTCGCACGCTTTGCGATAATTAGCTAATGCCAAACTTGTTTCTGCAGCATCTGGTGTCTCCACAAAGATTAACTTGTATTTCCAGGCTTCGTTTAGTATGCCCATATCATTCCACATAGAGACAATAGATTCCATATACAAATAGCTAGGAAAGAAGCAGACCATACCATCAGGCACAATCTTTGACATTTCCACCATAATTTGGCCAAAGTTACGGACAACTGCAGGGTCATTTCTTACTTCGAATTTGGAACTGATGGCCACTTGATCAGAGCCACGGGTAATAATCATAGGAAGGAAACAGTTTCTAGAAAGTGTCATAGAATAACTCTCTTGGACAACAGCTTGAAAGTTGAGCATTTTAGGATACATTTCAAGTGGAGACAAAGTACCAGAAGTAATGACTACTGTACTAAATCTATCAAACACAGGTTTGATAGCAATGGAAGCATCCAAACAACTATCAGATTCATGAGTTGGAATATCTTTCTTTTTTTTTTCTGGTTTTACTTACGTGAAATGTAAGATAGGATTAGGTACAGTTGCAGTCTCGGTCTCAAATGGCTCTAAAATAAGCAAAAAGCCTTTATCATAAGTAGATGTCAAAGTAGCAAAAGCAGCGACTTTTTGCAGACTACTAAAGTGTTCCAAGTCTGTTAATTCCAGGGTTCGAACAAGACTCGACAGACGTTCTGCACAGAATCTTAATGGCTTTCGTTCAATATATGTCACATCTTTAAGATGCTGTAAGAAAGAAGCAGGTGTCTCTGCTACTACATGCATCACACGCAGACGAGTCTATAGAATTCATCATCAAGAACAGAATCAGCAGGCTGCTTACCTTCAAGTATTCTATAAATCTTCTTAAAAATGCCACAAAATGTTCTGCTCTTCTAATATTACCAGGCACAGCTTCTTTTAAAAGATCGTCTGGTAAGATAGGATTGGCCATAAATGTGTCTTCATCTCTTGCTGCATTTGCATCTTTCAATCCTTCTACTAGTTTTGAGTATTCGTTCTTCAGTCTCTCAGCATCTGTTTTCTTTATTCTGCAATATGTTAGTATATACAGCCTGAATGATTTACGTACTCTTCAATCTTATCAGCCAATACGCCCACACTTCTTGCACTTGCATCTAGTATGGGCCTTGTCAAATCAATACTAAGAGATTCAATGCATACGTTGTCAATATTGTGTGCCTCATCAAACACAACAATACAATCTCTCGATAATTCTCGAGAAACAAGCTCAGCTACTTTGGGATCCAACATGTAATGGTAAGAATAAATGACTACATTCGCAAAGGCAATCTAACAAAAATGTCAGCATATTGACAATTGACTGACAGATACTTACAGCCCGTCGCACAAGATAATAAGGACAATAAGACATAGTCTTACAGAACGACTTTAAATCATCAAATGTGTATACACCATTTGGAATTGGATTGGGTGTATTCGCTGCCTCTAATGTCTCATAAAAGTTACATAATTCTGTCTGCCGCGGTTGATCCACTTCCATGGCATCTTCTCCATTGTTTGCTTTATTGACGCCTGCTTTTGCACGAACCCAACTCGCTGTCAAATTTCTGCATTTCGAGTCTACCACTTTGCCCTTTCTTTCTCGAGATACAGTAGGATGAAGACACAAATTTTTTCGTGAGGTAAGACCAAGGCCAAGAAAATCCTCTTCTAGACCTTGACTTTTTCTATAAGCAATCAAATTCTTTAATTCGGCTAATGCTTTATCAATTTCTGGCACAGTTCGAGAGCAATAAATGAATTTGCGTTGTTGCTCAGGGTATTGCTAAAGCAAAACTCAGTACTAACATAATCAAAACTTCTTTACCATTTGATAAGCAACAATCAGTGACAACAGGGAAACTGTTTTGCCAGTTCCTGAAGGCATTTCTAATACACAGTGACCCTATTCTATATCAATAACGCGTTTCTGACTCATCAATCTACCTGTGCATCTAGCGATTTTTTCAGATCGCACATGTATTGGTACTGTTCTGGATATATTTTGTCATAAGGAAAGTGAACAACAAGATCATCAATATTGAAACTATTGTATTCGTATAAGGTTAATAAATATATAAGTCTATTAGCGAATTGTAGAGTAGTACATCATTCTTTATATGAGAGAAATGCCTTCTTTTTCTTCTGTATAAGAATATAAAAGAAGTAAGCAACAGAAATGCATTTCGCAGTACATTTATCCTTTATTGTATTTTTCACTAAATTTGAAATAAATTCTATGATAAAATGAGAGAAATGTTTTTTTTTGCAGTAGTTACTATTAAGCTTCATATGCTTTCTGCATACAAGGCTGAAAACTCTTTTTCATGCTTTATGATAGCATTCTAACTCTAGTTAATTATATATGTCTGGCTGTATTAACTCATAAAATAGAAAACTGGGTAACCTCTAATACACACTGTATTTAAACTCGACACTAAATGAGCGCGCTGTGACTCTTTAAAAACTTGCTTTTTTTTTTTTCTTTTCACTCTTTACGCACATGTCACAACCACCACCACAGCAACAACAGCTACCACCACCACCAGCTGGTACAGCTTCTTTCCCTCCTGGAGCACCACCCCCTGCTGGATTCCCACCTGCTGGTTTTCCTTCAGGACCTCCACCTCCAGGTGGATTCCCACCCACTGGATTCCCTCCACCAGGCAGTGGACCTGCTCCTTTTACACCCAACGTGCCCCAAGCAACACCACCAGCTATGGTCAATGGTATTCCTACCGCTAAACAACCTCTTAATACAACACCCAGTCGTACAGTTTACGCAAGTAATCTAAACGAAAAAGTCAAATTAGATGGTTCGATTCAACACAATTCTGTTTTTTTTTCTAACGCGTTTTTATTTTTTGTGTAGTGCTCAAGAACTCTTTACGTACTTTGTTTAAGCAATTTGGCGATGTGTTGGATGTAGTAGCTCATGGCAACATTCGTATGCGCGGGCAAGCTTTTATTGCTTTTCCCGATGAAGACAGTGCAACAAAAGCCATCAAAGAACTACAACACTTTGTTTTGTATGATAAACCCATGGTCCTTCAATATGCTCGAAACAAGTCTGATGTTCATGCAAAGGCAGACGGTGATTTCGATACACATTATCAACAGCGTATGGCAAGAAAAGAACAAGTGGCCAAAATGCCACTACCTGGATCTCATAAACCTACGTTTAAAGCAAGTAGACCTCAAACAGCAGCTCCCAGTCAACATAATCCTACAGCCAATATTCCTGATGAATATTTGCCTCCCAACAGTATTCTTTTCTTACAAAAGTTACCAGAGACCATTACGCAACAACAATTGACAGACCTATTCCAACGCTATCCTGGCTTTAGAGAAGTGCGTATGATTCCTACAAAGAAGACGATTGCCTTTGTTGAATATGATAACGAGATACAGTCTGGTATGGCCAAGAATGAATTGAATGGATTCAAACTTGGACCAGATCAGGAAATGAAGGTGACATTTGCCAGAAAATAGCATACTTTTATTTACAAATCCCATACAATTTCTGTTAAATAAATAGAGACTGTCTGTCTTAATTCGCCTAGAGCATCTAAATCATCCACATGAACTTTGAGTTGTCCAGGCATACTTTCTTTAGCATTTGAAATAGCAATGGAGAGTGTGAGTGTGCTGCCAGGATCCACTATGCCTCTCATGTCTTGATCTAAGCCAGAAATCATCACAATTTCATGAGCAGGGAACTCTGCAGGACCTTCTATTGTAATCTGGAAGCGAAGAGGTACTTTGGCAGCATGGTTGATGATGGTGAGGGGACAGCTCTCTGGCATACATACAGCATTCGTAAGATTAGTCTCTGTGCTGTTGTCTTGATAATAAGTCACTAGCTTGAAATCTAAACGACGTTCACTAAGAGCAAACGTAGATGTTTCTTCCAACATACAGCGAACAGGAATCACCTCTCTTGATCTTGATTCTTCTTCGTCTTCTTCTATAGGGCAAGTAGTAACCCATAATTTGGCCATGATAATACCTGAGGCATCTGTCAGTTCAGGGCGATGACGAGGCAATCGAGACATTTCATTAGGCGAAGCTCTCACTCTGACTTCAATGCTGCCTTGAGGACCAATAGCAATATCACCCTTGAGCGGTGAATTTGTATAGCGAGACAGTACATCCAAATTCACAAATGGACTGAGTTCAGGTGTAATATCAGCACCAATTTCAAACCGTAAATCATCATCTGTCTTGTTATGAACCACAAACCAGTTATCACATGAAGCATTCTGCAAAGCAATAGGATGGTGAAGTGTAGGCAATACAAGTTCCCCATTGCTCGATAACCGCTCAAAGCGCAATTCAAACACTGTCATTAACCACTTGAGATGGAGATGCATTGTATTTGTGTTGTTGCGTAAGTTATCAATACGGACACTGTACCGTTGAATACCAGAAGTTTGATCAGGCATTTCGTTGGGTATAAGCATACCTTCCACGCGTTGTGTCTTGCGAGAAGGAATATAAAACATCTTTTGCTTGATCGCAACACCATTACGATCCAAAGGCGTAAAGTTGATAAAGTTGGGTGCATGAATTTCATATGTAGCAGGCACATCTGCCATATTGCTGATATGAAACTCAAAACGGGCTGGTTTGTAAGACGTACTATGACCAATCTTGCCTAAATCAATATGGTCCACCAGTAACTCAGTGTGAGAGACACAAAAGAGAGCTTCTAGTTCTAATGCGAGTACTTCTAGGTTTTGGCGCGCATCATACAGTACCATCATACCCTTGAGTGAGCCATTCTTGCCTTGAAGTGCAAGAGAACGACCTTCTTCGTCCAATTTTTCAGCAGATGGACTATGAAGTCGAACACGGATACGTTGACCTGGCTGTAAAGAGAGTTGACCACTACGTTGAACAAAGAGCCCTTCGTTATGTTCGGTAATGGCATCCTTCACTTTTTCTTCATCCACAGCAAAACCTGCCGTGATATCAATGTCACTCATCACAACCAGTTGCATAGGTTGGCCAGACGTGTTAGCCACATCAATTTCACGTACATAAAGACGTGTAGCATCTTGTTCTGGTAGCTCCATCAGTTGCAAACTAGTCTCTTGGTCAATTTGTTCAGGAGCAGGACAAATGTAAAGACTTTCCCATTTAATCATAGGTAAGGGGTCTGCTTCACGGTGTTCTGTTTGATCATCTTCCATATAGCCACTCTGTTGAGTCAATAAAGGACTACGTAGCATCTTTTTGGAAGGTAGGGACCAAGCATCTAGTTTTTTGCTATCCACAAACAGACGAACATCAATCACAAAGACTTCTTGACTGTTTCTCTTGTTGGTCACAATCAACTTTTCGTTCAAAAGACCATGGCGATAAGCATTAATTCGAAAAGTAATTTGAGTCAAGGAGGTAGCAGCTACTGTAGCTAAATCATCAAAAGAACCACGGCGTGCATCTGCATCTGAGCCTGGTATGCTTAGACTAGCAACACTGCCTTTTCGCTCTGTATTCAAATACTCGATATCTGTATCCCTTCTTGTTTTAAGACCCCGCCAACCATTCAAAGTACCACCACGACGATCTAGTTCAATATTGCCAGTAGCACACTCTACTTCATAGTCCAAGGGCAATTCACCCGACTTGTTCTTGATAGTGAAAGCACCATAAAACTCTTTTTGCAACAAATCAGTGTATCCCAAGTTGATGACACGATCTGATACTTCAAGATGAGATTGTCCAATGATAGAAGTAAACTTGACAGTTTGTGTAAGCATCAGAAGCATGCCCTCTTCATCATTTTTTTGGTCTTTTGGTTCTTCTGGCTTTTCATAAATTGAAAACTTGATACCACCTACAAGTTCACGGCACTTATCAGCAGAGCTACCAAGGTAGCCTGTCAATAGATTAGGTTGAACTGCTACCCATACAGTCGCCATACAACCACGCTTTAATGGCATCATGTCCACAAGACCACGTTCACCTGCTTCGTCCATGAAAATCAGCACTTGATGTGACAAATTACTCTGACAGGTAATAAAGATATCTTGTCCTGACGTGTTCTCAACCAACAAGGGAGTTACTTGTGAGTACTTGCTTCCTGGATCTACATATGAAAAGCCCAAATCAAGCACACCATTGGCTTCATCGGCTAACGAAGGGAAGTCCAAATATTGGTTGTGATAAACCAAACATTGCGTTGTAAATGGCTGCAGTGATCCCGTACGATTGTTTCTTAACAAAAACATGTATTGTTGCTTACCCACTTGTTGAGGTAAAATGCCATAGCGAATCTTTTTGGTTTCACCAGGCTGCAATTCTTTAGCTTCGTCGCACGCATCAAAATCAAAGACAGAAGGTTGTTCAGTCTCAACAAAGTCGAAACTAACAGGCTCGTCAGATTCGTTTGTCACCTTGACATAAAACACAGCACTCTGATTCAATTCAATACGACCACCATCAAAGAAGTCTCGTTCCAGTTTGAGGGCTTCTGTTTGAGATTTTCTTTTTTGAATAGTAGGACTGGTAGTGGTTGTAGCAGGGTCTGTACGAGATACTGAGGTATGTGTGTTGAGAGAGTCAATAACGGTTGTGTTAGTTGTCGAAGTACCATGGGCGGTAGAAGCATCAACTGTATCAGCAGCAACGGCGCTAGTCGTAGCAGTAGTATTCGCAGTAGTTGTAGTAGCAGTAGATGGTGCATGGGTAGCAACAGCAACAGCAGCAGCAGTAGCAGCAGTAGTAGGAACCGTATTTTCTCCATCATTTTCAACAGACAAAGCATCAATATAAGCACCTTCATCTGTATAGACCTCAGCGGTATAGACAATACTTTTACAAACATCCGTGTTTTTGTATTCATGAACCAAGATGCGGCCTTTGACAGAGATAGGTTCGCAAGGATTGCGATTGTCTTCCACTTGTTCTGTTTGAAAAGGTCTCAATACAGGCTTAAATGTTACGCTGATTGTCTTTGAAGCATGAGGATCCAGAGGAAACACCACACTTTCAGATGTCTTTTTAAACACGACGTTGCTTGCAGTCAGTGAAGCTACATTATCGCCATTAGAATCTTCCTGCTCTACTGTTTTGGTATCAGCTTCTTCTGGATTGCCAACATCAGCATTTGACTCTGCCTTTTCTTCATCTAGATTCTTGAGTTTGGCCAATTTTCGAAGATATTTTTTGACTTTGTCAGGCTGAGCCTTGCGTCGAGCAATCTTTAGCTTCTGCTCTAGATTTTCAATCTCTTCTTCTGCTTCTTTGGAGATTGTGTTGGTATCATCCTCCTTGACATCAAATTCGAATTCTGCATAATAACGACCAAAACTGACTTCATTAGGATCGACTCGCACTTCAAACATACGTGATTGCTTGTTTGTATTTGTCAAAATGATGGTTTCAGTACGTTCGCATGGTTGGTCGATGACACATTGACCAAAGGACATTTCTAATGATTTGATCAAGAATGTAGAAGGCTTTCGTACCTGAGCCTTCAACAACAACACTTGGTCATTGGTACGGTCTCGTATGTTTTCAATAATCAATTTCTCCATAAATGGACCAGACAGAGTAGGTTCAAACACAAACTCGACCTCACGTTTACCATAAGATCTGACAACACCATATCGACCCACGTCTAAATCAATATCACCAGAAGCAATAGAGCCTGATTTACGAATGGCATACAACAAGGGTGTTTCACTACGATTATGCAGCACAATTGTCTTTGCATGGCGTTCATTTCGCTCCACCAGACCAAAATTGATATTCTTCTGCCCTAAATCCATCACAGATCGACATAACTGAGAACGAACAATGACTTCTCGGACAGGAATATCCGTCTGACTAAGGTCCAACAAGTTTTCAAATTCTGTTTGTTCAATATCACGATCAAATTGAACCAGGCGTAAAAAGATGCGCGCATCTTGTTTTTTAGGAGCAGATTGTATATGTGGTTTTGTAGTCCCACAAGGTGTGATCACCACAACAACTTCTTCTTCCCCCTTTGGATCCACGTCAACCATGGAAGTACGTACAAGAATACCCTTTTCTACAAGACGACCGAGTTCACGACGCCAAGCTAATTGATACCGAACAAACTGCTCTTCAGCAGACTGTTTGGGGAACAAAGGAGGAGATGCTTTCGATCCATGTTCAAGCACAGATATCAAATCTTCAAAAGGCACGCGTGATTTACCGGCAATGTCAGACCAGTCCAAGTTCTTTCTTGATTTGTACCGAGCTGCTGTGATACCCAACGATCGCTTTGTTTTAGCATTTCGTGTGCCATAATTGTGATGCCTGTTTTGGTTTTCAAGTCGACTGGCTTCGAGTCGTTTTGTGCCTGGACCTGAAAGAGAAGAAACAGAGGGTGAAGAGAGTGTGGAAGGCGAAGTTGTCATACCCCGTAAGCCATGTTGACGATGACTAGTCGTTATTTCCAGACCTGATTCATTGGCAACAGGTACTGAAGAAGGACTGGTAAGAGTCATTGTCTTTTTTGATCCTTGTTTTCTTTCTGTCTTGTCCTTCTTGAGGTCTTTTTCGTCTTTGTGCAAAAAGTTAGGGTCCGATTTGATTTGAACCATTTTCTTTCGATAGGACTTGAGCGAATGCAAAGGTGGTAAAGCAAGGTCCAAATACGCTGTAGAAGAGTGCGTTTGGCCCATCTTGAGCTGTTGCACAGAGTGGCGGAACCGTCTTGCTACCATCAAATCGTTCTTTGTGTCCGATGTACGCCGTGTGTTTGTCGCTTCTGATTCCAAAGTCGTGGTATCAACAGCAGGTTTACGTCGGTTACTGATGGATTCTAATAGTAGCTTTGACCTTCTTCGCTTGCTGGATGGCGCTGTTGAAGAGAGAGTAGGGGGTATATCAGCAACAGCATCACCTTTTTCAATCGATTCAGCAGTAATTGAATTGGATAATTTGGACAAAGAAGACGATGTCGTGATGGCAAACGCTGTATTTAGTGCTGCAGAAGAAGCAGTGGTAGATGCTGTTGTCGCTGTGGGTGTAATAGATGCAGTGGCATTGGCATGCTCTGTCTTTCTGTTCTTGTTTCTCGTATAAATCGCAATATCTTCGGGTAAAGACGTGGTGATCTCCAAAGACAATGGTTTATCTCGAATGTTTTCCACGGTAAAAGTACGAAGCGAGGGAGAGTTGAGAGCAATCGAGCCAAAGTCCAAGAAATTGGCACCCGTAGCCGTAAGAATACGATAAAATAAAGAATGGAACGTTACTCTGTTTTTATCGATATTGGTACTATGGACTTCAATAATTTGATCGTTGTCCTTGTTTAAAAAGTTGACTAAGGTGATCTGCTTGCGATAATCAGGATTGACTTTACGAGGGTACAAGTCAAGCTTCAGCTCTACATAACTTCTAGGCTGAATTGTGATTTCTCCCCGCAAACAGTTGAGCACCTTGGAACTAAACTGAAGCTCCACACGTGCCAGAATGTCTGAGCGATTAAAAATATTGATAGGCAGTGATTTGAGTGTTCCGACATCTGTATCACCGAAATTAATCACTTTAGGAATCACTTCGACAAAGGAAGTACATGTTCTTGCTTTACACTGTATCACTTTTCTCTCCTTGGGTTCTTCTGTTCGAAACGTGCCGTATTCTAGCAAGATACGAAAGTTTCGGCGAATAAGCTGACCCGCATTAAAGTCATTGATTGAGACGTCTTTTTGAGGGCGATAAGAGACTTGAATCACACGTTCGGTACCTGGCTTGAGCAACAAATCTTCAATACGAGTGTAACTTTCTGCTGTACTGAGTGGTACAAGTGTTCCTGCAGCAGCAGCAGCAGCAGTAGTAGTAGAAGTACCAGCAGTAACATTAGCAGCAGCAGTAGTAGCAGCAACACTCTCAGACACTGAACTTGTTTCAGTAAACATGCTACCATCTACACACATTAATCCTAAACCAATATCTGAGTCAGAGTCTTCAGGTATAGTTGGTGGCTGTGAAGGGAATTGAATACGTGAGTTGATAGGTGATTCGGATATCAAGAAGGGCGAATAAGGGCTCTCATGATCTATGTTTTGAGTACGAATAGGCGTAGGTGAAGTGGACCTTGAACTTAATTCACTGTTAGGCGCTGATAATTCGCTGAAAGTCGTATGCGTGGTAGCAGGTGTGTTGAAGCCTGCTGTGCGACTATTCCCATTATGACTAAACTTACGTCGCATCGAATGAAGTCGAGTATTGGCCTCTGTACGTTCAGTGACTGTGTTGTTGTTCTCCATGACAGTCGTGTCTTGTTTGATGTCAAAGATCACTTCCGCACCTTCTGGTATAAATCGTATCTCTACGGGTGATTCGCTGACATTATTTAACACAATCTGTTGAATAGCCCAACTGCCAGAAACGCAGTCGCCAAAGTCGACCACATTGCCACTGCTCACAATGAGTGTTTCCTTTCTGAGCACAGATCGAACAGTGGCATGTATTTTCATTTGTATGACATTACGTGTATCATTTGCATTCTCGAGTTGAAGATCATAGTTAAATTCGCCTACTTCTTTAGGCATAAACAGCAGTCGTATTTGCTTGCTAGAATAGCTGGAAATGGGTTTATCGCCAAGAAGTTCGTTAGTTTCAGCATCTATGAACTGTAACCAGTCTGATTTCGAGAGATCAATGGTGTTCAATAGCCAATACAGATCAATTTCAGACCTGTTTTGTATGACAAAGTCCTTTGAATATGTTTCACCCAAGACACAATCGTCAAAATTGAGGCCTGTCTCTGCAGCGTCTGTCCACAAGGCTGACTGACATACACTTGCTCGGAATTTGACTGAGAGCTGATAGTCTGCTAAACTAGAAGTCGACAACACATCTTTTGAACCGTCTTCTACAGAAGGCATTGGGTTGTAATAACCAAAAAAGAACAGACTACCCGTGACATTAAACATACTGAATGTTTCTGAACTATCGTCCGTCACTGACATATCAAAATCATCTTCGTTATCTGCACTATCAGGTCTTTCAGGCAAAAAGGCTAGCACAATGGGTCTACATTGACCTGGCCCCAATTCGATTTCGTCAATATGATTGATCAGGTTAAACAATTGATTGAAAGGGTATTTTTCAGCTTCACAAGACCAGCCGACAGTGTTGGTTGTTTCAAATGTATCTGGCACATTGCGCATATTTTCATTTTCTAACTGAAAAGCAATTTGGTTGCGCAAATTGGATCTTATTTTGATTAGAATCGACTGGTCCGAAAGATTGCGTAGTTCAAGGCGTCGAAGTGCATGAAGGCCATTCAGATATACATTGTCTAGCGTAATTCGACCATGAATACCAGTGAGTTCAAACATAGGTGCTGTTATGTTTTTGTCATTATTTGAGGATGTTGCTGCTGAAGAATCATTTGTTTGGACATTATTCATTCTATTCTTTAATAATTTATGAAAAGAAGTTGTTGCTTTCGAATGGAGATGGCTATGGAAGGTGATGACGAGTTAGTAAAGTTTTTTTTTTTTTTTTTTTTTTTTCTTACATAATGAATATTTACACACGAAGAAATAATAATGAAAGCCCTCTTCTCTTTCTTTCTTTATTTTTTATGCTTAAGTTTGATTACTTGAAATTTTTAAATAAGATAGAAAGACTATGACAAAAAAAGAAAAATAAATAGATTTTAAAAATGACAAGGCAGACATTTATCTTGAAGGAAAAAAAAAACTTGTGTCACGTGAAGCTCAAGTAAACCAAGGACAGAGGCAATGGGAAAGACATACTACTTATGAGCATCCAATAAATAAGCCACTTAAACAGAATCATTCATGGCCAACCCAAACTCTAAAATATTTATGACCCGTATTGAAGAATGAAAGCCATTTGATTTGGTAGCAGGCAAACTTGAAATTGAGATTCACTGATAGATGTACCAATAAGCTTGCTTTGTTCTTTATGATTCAAATTCTCGTCACAGCCAAAGAGTTGCCAAATCTAGGGAAACTGACTTTTTATTTTTTGCCTTATCTTGTCAGTGAGTATAAAAACCTCAAGATCCGCATTTCTTTTTTCTTTTCTTTTCTTTTCTTTTATAAACAAGGGAATGCTTCGATCTATTGCAACTCGCGTTGTAAGTCATTGATATAAACCAAATGTCATGATTAATTCTATAGGTTCAAACACGCTCTCCCCTCATTAACGCTAGATTTTTAGCTAGTCAAAGTAGTTCAGCTACTTCTGCCATTTCTTTTAAGAAACATATCCGCCAACGTCGTTTCGGCCCCGTTCCAGTAGTCCCTCAGCCTACTGTTGAAGATGCTGTGTCCAACATCCTCTATAACACACCTGCCCCTTCTCAACAGCCTGAAACTCGCCATATCTTGAACTGCTTGGTTCAAAATGAACCTGGTGTTCTTAGCCGTGTTTCCGGTATCCTGGCTGCCCGTGGTTTTAACATTGAATCCCTTGTTGTTGCTAATACTGAAGTGGAAGATTTGAGTCGTATGACCATTGTTTTCAATGGTCGTAATGTTCAAATTGAACAAGCAAGACGTCAATTGGAAGATTTGGTAAGTCAGTTTGTAAAGACACAGAATCTAGAGGATTAAAAACAACAACAACAACAATAATAAGGTACCTGTTTGGGCTGTTTTAGACTACACCAAGACCAAATTGGTTGAACGTGAACTTTTGTTGATCAAGGTGTCTATTCTTGGTCCTGAACACTTGCACGAACAATTGCCTACTGCCAGATTAGATGATGATGTAGAATATGAAGATGAGAATGTATCTCATTATGAAAAGGTAAACACAAATAGATTGTTTAGGCAGTCATGCTAAACTTATCTATAGCATGCCATTGAGGCTTCTTCGGATACCCTTCGTGAAACTTTCTCTCATTTGCGTGCATTAACAGAACTTACTCGTCTGTTTGACGGTAAGATTGTTGATGTCTCTTCTGATTCTGTTATCATCGAATTAAGTGCCAAGTCAAGCAGATTGACTTCATTCATGAAACTCTGTAAGCCTTTTGGTATCCTTGAAGCCTCTAGAACCGGTAAGTGGTCATTTATGATCATCCTATATACTTATTTGTTATATAGGTGTCATGGCTATGCCTAGATCTCCTGTTCATGATCATTATGAACCTCAAACTGAACATTCTTATGAAACCGAAGAAGTCGATGCTTCTTTGCTTCCTCCTGGATAAAGCTCATTTCTGTGTAAATAAAAACCCACTTGTCAAATCATACTGAGTCATACATTTCATTGGTTGTCTGTTTACATAAGTTTATTTTGCTGTGTAACTTTAAGGTCTTTTATATTCAACTAAATAACCCAAGATATTGGATAGACTGACAATACCAATCAGTTTGTTCTCTTGATCTACAATAATGAGTCGATATACGCGCTGCTTTCGAATGATTCTAAAGATAGAATGAAGTGTATCATTTAATGTACAAGTATGGACACCAGGATAATCTTTGGGTCTCGCTTCCATTGCTTCTCCTACTGACATATCCAACTCTTTATATCTCCCTGACCGAGCAATACTCTAATAGAGGATGAATAGCTTAGCCTTGCCGTGACTGCCTTACCATCACATCAATGGTTTCGTATACATTAAGCACAACGCCATTTGAATCCACAATAGGCACAGCACTGATATTCTGTTCCACAAACATGTTGATCACTTGAATTACAGGTGTTGACATGGAAGCTGTCGCCACATTATCAAAAGTACCTATCTTTAGCTCTGATAATGGTTGACGTAATGCTTTTGTATATTTAAACTAGAATAAATAACATCAGTTCCCTCCTCCTCCCCTTTTATGTTATTCTTACATTGGATGCAATAAATTTCAAGATTCTATACTGTGTAATCACACTGACTATCATTTCTGTGCCTGTTTCTGGTTCTTTGTCTAACAATGGTACACGGTGTACTCGACTCTCAGCCAGCATGTGACATGCATCATACAATGTTGCCATTGGATCCATAGACACAAGCTGAGGAGCAGGTGCACCCACTTTCTTTTCTACATTTCTTAAATGAGCCAATTCAAAGCTCTCTATTTCTCGAAATGCATCTTCCATAGACGAATGGGTATAATAATATTGGATCAAGTTGATAAAATCAGCGACTGTCAACATGCCTGCAAATTTCTGCGTTTCACTCGACCATAGAGGAGCAGATACAATACCTAAGCATGTGAATAGAGAGTTCCAAATAAGACAGGACATATTACCATTCTGTACAAGCGCGTTAAGTGCCTTCTTGACTAAAAGGTGAGTATCAAACACAATCACTCGATAACTGACGGGCAACACATCGTATGCTGTATGTTCTTTCAGGAATGAGCGCATCAGAGATTGTATCTCGCAAGCTTGTTCTGGTAAAGAAGTTGATTCTTTGTCAGAGTTATCTACTGAAGGTACACTGGATGTTGAATAAGACATATCTCGCAGAAAGAAAAGAAGAAAAAAAAACAAGAGAAAATCCCGTTGTATTGAGAAATACCTAAATATGATTCGTCAATACGACCTGCAGATGACAAATCTGTAGAGGTTGAAATTAACCTGTCCGACTAAAGAAGTCTTACAAATAAAGCATTGTCCATTATTCTTTTCTTTTTTGAGTACACCAATAGCGTAAGTCATAGAAGAAGAACAAAAGATTAGTTTGTATAGATCAAAGATGGAGATAAGAAGCAGTAGACATCAACAACAATGCTATACTGATAGAAGAGTATGCCACACACACACACAGCACTGATCACAAATATAAAAAAAGGATTTATTTCTTTTGTACACTTTATCCATTAGATGCATTTGAAACAGATGCTTAGTGTTGTTTACAATAGAATCATGTTTATTATTTTAATAAAGTATGTCAGCCTTTAGTTTCACTTCATATAAAGAAGTTACTCACAGGAGTAGCCAACGCGAAGGCAACTGACTTGTACTCCCACTCCCTTCATTGGCACCTTGCCAGGCCCACGATACACTGGAGTATGCCAAATCCTTAGCAGAGCCTTCAACAACTTCCAGCAAACGTCCTTCGTTTCATAGTTGATCAGCGTCTATAAACCCCTTGCTTACTCTCGGGGTGGTAAGACAAGGAAGCATAGTCATCAACTATAACAGACCAATTACGATCAGGACTATTTATGGACAGCCACGGAAGGAGATATAGCCTGAGGAAGAGACACCAAAAAGTCTTGACAACTATTAAAAAGAAAAGAAAAGGATATATTAGTTGTGGGTCACTTCTGAACAAGGCTGGACAGAGATTCTTGAACAAAAACAACCAGATCAGTCAACGGTAAAACCTGATCTTTAGAGAAACACTCTTCAAGAAGGCACCACTCTCCTTTTCAAGTGAATGTTTTGTACTCAGCCAGTAAGATGCATAAATGCAACTCATCTAAACCAAGACATAAATATGAATACTACAAAGCTAGAAGTAGAATAGCCTTCCAACCTCATATTATTACTGAACAAGAAGGTATACTCCTTGAACGCAATGCAGCACTTCCTGGAGTAAAAGAATAAGAAAGGAAAAAAAAGAGGGAGGTTACGCGTTAAATAGGATTGGAGTGGAGTCCAAAAAGCATTAGCCAATTGTTGTAATGATATATTCCCTCTGGTTGAAGAGTGATGTATCCTTTTTCATTACTTTGTTGATCCCACATGATTATTTCAAACTAGATGATGTCAATGAAGACTTCTTTTTGATGTGGCGGTCTATAAGCGCAGTGAGTTTGTTGCTATGGAAACACTATTACAGAAGAAATGCAGACATGAACCATGTCCTACTTTGTCATGATAATCCCTCTTTTTTTCTCTTTTTGTGTAAGGTATTAAGTATAATTTCTTTCTTTTTTATTGGTAGAATAATGTACAGCTTTCTTCCTACGAAGAGAGTACAAATAGCGCTTACGCACTTACAAAGAAAATATACGCATAAGAACACATTTTAACCACGCACATATCTAATCTTTTGTTTCTTGGGTTTAGCAGGAATTTGGGGCTGTTGAGCTGCATTTTGTGCCTGCATTTCAGCCAATGTAGGAAGTCCTTGAGCCTTACGTTGTTCATCTGCAAGAGCTTCAATTTCTGCCAATGTGGTCATAGGGCCTACAATACTCTTAGGCACACTACCTGTCTTTTGACATTCAGGTAAAATTTTGGCAATAGCCACAAACAATTGTTTACGTGTAGTGATATCTGCATTCACAAAGAAATTGGATGAATTCTTGATTTGAACACGCACACGACCTACATTGGCCCAATCACGGGGATGGCGTTTACCCTAATCGTTCTTAATACACATTTTCTCGCCATGTACTTACTTCATAAACAACAGAAAACCCGAGTTTTTGACAGGCAATTGCCATATGATAAGCATGAGGGTTTTTGGCTGCTTTTTCCTTAGAAATCTTACGACCTTCTTGTACCGTTTTGTCGGCATCAATGTAACAAGGATACACACAGACCCAACTAAAGATATGGCATCAGCATATAGAACAATAGTCATAAGCTTACTTACTCTTTGTATTCATCAGGATGCATTTGACGAGTAGTACCTGAAGGTGTAGTTGCGACAGCAACACTTTCTTTACGAGAAACAGCAGCAGGAGCAGGAGCAGGAGCACCACCACCGAGACCACCACCGAGACCACCCATGCTCTGCATCATTTGTTGAAGTTGCGCCATATCAGGCATGCCTCCTCCACCGCGACCAAGACCACCCATACCTTGCATCATCTGTTGAAGTTGTGCCATGTCGGGCATACCACCACGACCAAAGTTAGGCATGCCACCTGCATTAGAACTCGATCGTGAAGAAGAGGGTTCATTAGGAAGAGGAAAATCCATATTGTCTACATCCATATCCTCCTCATCTAAAAACACATGATTCTTTTTTGTCTTTTTTAAGTTATCTAGCATAGACATCTTGATGTGATTTTTAAAGTGAAAGAAGAAAGAAAGAAAGAGAAAGGGAATGGGGAAAAAAGCGTCACGCTAGTGTCTACGCGTTATGCAGAAAAGATAGATGCCGTAGTTCTTCCCCCTCCTCCTCTCTTTTTTTTCTTATATATATATATAATACCATGACTAGTACTTTAAGAAACCAAACCCTTATGATTGGCAAGACAGGTTCTTCTGTTGTTTCATTTCAGGCAAGTATTGAGTTATCAACAGGAAAATAAACTCATACGTTTCATAGGAAGAAGATGCTCAATGTCCTGTATGTAAGAGTGATAAGTATCTTACACCTAATCTCAAACTACTTGTATCGCCATGCTTTCATAAAATGTAAAACAAGTAAAACAAAAAGCAACACATTGGACTCATGTCTATTAGGTGCGAATCATGTATTGATCGTCTGTTTGGCGCAGGACCTGCACCATGTCCTATCTGTCAGCAAGTATTAAGAAAGAACCAATTCATGTCACAGATCTTTGAAGATTTAGCAGTAGAAAAAGAAGTGCGTATACGTAAAAGGGCAGCCAGAGTGTAAGTCATGTTCTTTTTTTTTTTTTTTTTTTTTTTTTGCTGATCATACAGACACTAGGTTCAATAAGAGACCAGAAGATTTTAGTAGTCTAAGAGCATATAATGATTACTTAGAAATGGTAGAAGACATAAGTAAGTCAAACGATTGTATATGTCTTAGTCAACTAATTCATCCATCAGCCTTTAATTTGATGAATGAGGTAGATGTAGCTGAGACAGAAGCCAAGATTGCAGCCTATGAAAAAGAAAATAAGGACAGTATTGCAGCCAACCAAGCCAAGAGTGTCAATGAACAGCGAGTCAGAAACTACCAAGATGAACTAGACAAACAAGAGCGAGAACAGAAGCACAAAGAATATTTACAGCAATTAGAAGAAGAAAGAAAGCAAAAGAATTAGAGAAATCAGACATTATTACCGAGCTAGCCACGACCAACAAATCTGCTCAAGCAGTAATTCAGAACAGGCAAGCTACTGCTCTTAAGCGATCTTCTGCTTTACGTCAATCCAACGAAACCAAGAAATCGATGCCTTCTTGGATTACTGCTGCCATGGATACAGAAATGAAGGAAGCGGAAGCTGATTTTGATCCATTTGATCTACAGTATGAATACACCACTGGATATACTGTGCGGGATAATTATAGTGATCCATCTGTTGATTACTTGAATAACAATAAGCCGGCAAGAGCAGGTGGTTATACAGCCAGATTTGCTCATCATCGTGCTATTATGTCTGCATTTACTGGTATTCTGTGTCAGCCTATGAAACAACAAGTGGACTAAGTTTTATTCTTTTTTTGTTTTGTTTTGGAAATAAACGGGTTATCCTTGAATGACACAACTAAGTCGATATTTCATTCCAAGATATGATAAATACATTCTAGTTGGGAATACGCGTATACTCTTTAGATGAGGGAAATTCAAGTCTACATTAATTTAGTAATTTAAATTACGATGATGATTGTACCTTTAATATCTACATAGATGCCTATAGACATACAATAAGCACAAAAAGAAAAAAAAAAGAGAGAAAATAAAGCATACCTCCTAAAGTAAATGCTTGTTCTATCTTGTAATGATTGTTTGATTGAAATGGTATCCATTTATTATCTCGAAAGAATAACCAAGTGATCTCTTGGGGATAGTCAGAAAGTGATTCAGAAGGATCAGTCTCATTCTGTATTGGACAACTAGAAGAAGTAGGTGAAGTGCTTTGGCTAGGTGTAAGTGGTAGTCGACTATAATTCATCAAGTGAGAAAAAAGAAAAAAAAAAGTAGATATATATATATATATATATATATATAATTATCAGATCATCTGACTTGTATCATTGTCGAAACAATCCCATGATAGTCTATGTAATGACGCCATTCACTATACACTTTATTGAGAAAATAAAACGAAAGTTAAATTCTAAAAATTAAGCAGAGTAGGAGATACATAAATAATATTTACATCAAGTTATAAGGAAGAGCAAAGAATTAATTAGTGGCAGACATTAACTAGTATATGTAAAATATTGACACGGACACGAGAAGGTGGTTGAATAATCTTGTCAATTGCATGATTAAAAATGAGATAGTCTTCAATTCATTACATTCATACTACTACACGCTTGACCAACCAATACCAAGCTGTGATTGATACTAAAGGCTGTATCACCAAGTATTGATTTTTTCTATTTATATGATCCTAAAATAAACAAAAAACTGAGCGGATTGAAGTATCATCTTGACATATTAAAGGGCTCTTGAATCCGGATATCTTTATTGCTGAGTTCGAGTGATAACAAACTGGGCTAATTTTTATTTCTGGTCACTATATAACCGAATTACATGTCAAAAAATCTCCTTTGTTCTTTCTTTCTGTTTTTTAATGAATAAGACATATCCTCAAGCATGGTTTGCATTGTTCTTACTTGTATTACTTCGGACAGCTGTTTCTGTATTTCAATATACTTTTAGTGTGATTCCTACAATCACAAGCCATTACTTTGACAAGTCACTCTCGATAGTCAATTGGCTTACTAATGTACAATGCATTGTTTATGTTATTTTAAGTTTCTTTACAGGCTATATATTCGAAACATTAGGTGTCAAACGATCTGTAGGTTCATGCTAGACATCATTTGTTCATTTCAATAGATTTTAGTCTCCGGATTTCTTTGTGCTTTAGGATCAGCCATTCGAAGTATAGCGACAATAACCCATCCTCCTTCATTCTTATGGACTATAGTGGGTCAAATTGTAGGAGGAGCAGCATCTCCTATGGCATTGAATATCATGACAATGGTAACTGCTTGTTTATGCTCGTAAGACTCATAATATAAGTTTGCTTCTACTTGGTTTACAGAAAATTTACGGGCAACAGCTGGTGTGTTTGTAGGTAAGTGAACAATGAAAAAAAAAATAATGCATTATTTATACTGTCTTGCATTAGCATCCAATTATGGTGGTATCCTTGTCATGTTTATTGTTCCTACAATTGCATCAGATGAGGCTGATATGTCTAAAGTGGTATGGGACTAACTTCTTAAGAATATGCTTTAATTGTATCCAGATTCATTTAGTCACTGGAGTCTGTGTCATCGCATTTCTCCCATTGTTTTTAATGCCTGCTAAACCGCCTACACCACCCAACAGCGTACAAGACACAGAACGTCCACCATTTCTTAAAGGACTTGTCATGCTATCTAAAAACTTCCATTTTTGGGTTTTGTTTTTTATTCATGCATTTAACGTAGGACTAAGTATTGCCTTTTGCGCTTTGTTTACACAAATAGTTAACCCACATGGTTATTCAGATGCTGAAGCAGGCCAGTTAAATGCTTTGGCTATCATCGCTGGTACATTGGGTTGCTGTAAGTCATCTCAATTAACTATATATTATATTCATGGTAATTAGCGGTTGCTGGACCTGTGTTGGATCGAACAAAGCAGCATACATTATTCCTAAGAATAATTGCACCTATGGTATTCCTGACAAATGTAGCCTTTGTGTTTATAAGTAAGTTCTCCTTGTTTTGAACTATATTCACCTCATGACATGATACAAGTTCCTCAAGGTTCTTTTGCTTCTGTATTGTTTATCATGACCATGAACCAGTTCTTTTTATCATTTCTTGTACCAGTAGTGATTGAGCTTGGTTCTGAAAGTAAGTTAGCCAAAGGAATGGACGCGGTATTGACTGGACAGCATCTTATCCTGTGGCTGAATCCACAACCAATTCACTTTTATGGCAAGGCGCTCAAGTGTTTGGCTTTGTATTTGTCCTTGTTATGGATGCCATGCGTGACATAAGTGGCATTCCTGCAAATAACATGATCCATGCACTTATCTTTCAAGCAGCTGCGTCGGGTTTAATAGCAGTGCTGGGATTTATCTTTCATGGAAAAATGGCTCGATCAGAAGCCATGAAATGGCAACAAAGCTTAGATCAACAGAGAGCTGCTGACAAGAATACAGAAAACCAATTATCACTTGGATCTTATCCTATTTCTTCTGTGTTCGAGTCTTCTATCAAGGCAAAAACAAACCAACAATAGCTACTTTTGATAGACAAAAAAAAAAGAGATACAGTGCTGTAAATCATAAACATAAATATTTTACTGTTTAATACGGCAAACTTTACACGATAGTAAACCTCTCTCTATGTACTGTCTTTCCATAACAACTTGTCGCGTTTTGAAAAATCACTTGTTGCATTTTTTTGACTTGTCACTTTATTATTTTAGTTCAGATGAGTAATTTCCACGAAGTAGTGTTTGAAGATGGCCAAGGAGGATTAAGAGAGGAAAGGTATTGAGTTGATGGAGGTAGATGAGCTTGAAGTTCAAGTTAAGAAGCTAGTCGCAATGGAAGACTATTTGAACCAACAGTTAGGTGTCAAAGTTGAGACGGCAAAAACCGAGGAGGGACCTGCAACGAACACTGATCCCAAAAAAAGTTAACACAATCTATTCAGAATACGACAAGATAAATTTCATCCTCCATATGCTGGCAAAGGCGCTCAAGAAAACTGCACCTGTAGCTAGAAAGTACAACATCAATAAGCGTACCGGTCAGCGTTGGTGGATTCAGTAGAAGAACGATCCAGATTCTTTTTTCCTTCCAAAAGTCAGAGGAGATCGCAAAAAGCTTAAAGAAGAGCATCACGTTTTCTTGACTGCCTTGCTAGACAAAACCCTGCAATCAATGTCGAACAAGCACTGGAGCAGTTAACTGCTAAGTTTGATGGATTGCAGATTGAAAAGTCAGCAGTTCATAACTTTATTACCAAAGACACGGGATTCACTTTTAAAAAACCTGCTTTCCACAGCCTTAAAAGAAATGGTGAGGGCGCTATTGAATGAAGTAAGATTCAAGTGGGCTAAGCAAATGATTGAAACGGACATGAGTTTTCTTAGAAACTGTGTATTTATTGATGAGTTTGGCTTCCATATTAACATGAATTGTAGTGGTGCGTGTGCAACAAAGGGTGAGACACCCATCGTGAAGGTTGAAAATACTAGGGCTGCCTCTCATACAATTTCGGGTGCCGTTATCAGCATATGCAGTCGTGAATGTCAGCATTCGAACTCCCAATTTATCCACCAAGAAGCTTGTTCCTGTAGAGATTGGCAAGAAGAGAAAACTTGACCAAGAAAAAGCTCAAAAGCCGAAGCCAAAGGAGACCACTATAGACCATTGTCTGTGCTTTTTAGGCGATACCCTTGATATTTTAGATGCATATGAATATACCCAGGGCTCGTATATCATCATGGATAATGCTTTAATTTACAAACAAATTGATATTCAAGAGATGATCGCAAATCGAGAATACAAATGTGTTTATTTGCCACCTTACTCCCGCCGAATTAAATCCTATAGAGCAATTCTGGTCGGTTGTTAAGAGCAAACTCAAGAGATATCAAATCCTCGAAGAGGAAACCCTGCAAGACTGTATCACTGAAGCCTGTAGCCAAATCCTTCAAAGCCATCTTTATGGTTTTACTAAGCACTCTCATTTGCGCTTGGAAGATTGTTTGAATAAAAAAGTCATTTGATCCCTTTCTAATACTCATAAACTCTTTATGACTCTCGTACAACTTAATTAGTTTACATCAGAGTTATGCATAAGAAAGCTTTGATGGCTTGCACCAAAGCGACAAGTCAAAAAAAAAATGCGACAAGTGATTTTTTAAAACGCGACAAATTGTTATGGAAAGATTGTATATATGAGCAAATGATATCATGATATGTGGCACTTTTGAGTCCAAAAAGAGCAGTTTTGAATATGATAAACGATAGAGGAAACCTTGATGATTTCAAACATCGACTGTTTCTTTTCCTGACCCTCGACGACCTTGGCAGTAAATAGATTTCCTGAAGGTCAGCAGCTAGCTCAAGACATCAGTATAAGCCAGCAGTTTTGAAGGGAAAAACAAACTGGAATTTGGGAACATTTACGTATAAACCATCAGCATCCAAGTGAATACTACTGAAGAAACAAAAAGAACCACCAATTTGTACAGACCAGCCCATACCAGTATTTGATTTGCTTCGAGGAATTATTAAAACAGGTTTCTATGCACCCTCATCTTCTTTTTTAGGGACCACTCTCTATTGGACATGTTCAAATCGAAACTCGCAGAGTACCGGGTCGAGAGGATATGGCTAAAAAGCATTATCATCGACTTCAAAAAACAATCGCTTTTAGTCATTTGATAAAAAAAATAAAAAAAAAAAGAATAAATTTATAAACAAGGTTCAATCGTTTATCACACATAAAGGAACCGATACTTTATCAAGTAAATATAAAGATAAATGATTTATTTGTGCTAAACTGACAGCAACTATACTGCCAGAATGTATACACTTATGCTTCTTTTTGGAGTAGAGGGAGTGTTTACTATTAATAAACATACATTTATTTTTTTAGGACCACCACAGTTATATGAACTATCCCCTCTCTATTCAGCAGTTTGCAAATTTCGATTTGAGCACACGATAAGAGATAGTCCTTAAGTAAAAAAAAAAAAAAAAAAAAAAAAAAAAAAAAAAGAAAAAGAAAAGAAGGTAGTGTAAAGAAGCCTGTTTAAATATAAGCTCTTTGCTAAGGAAACAATCAAAAAATTCCGTTCATTTTCTTATTTGACAAAAAAAAAAAAGACAGAGGGATATCACACAAGACAAAACGCATTGGACTGTAACCAGAGATATACTAAACTTGCACAGATTTAAATCTTTTTCATGACGAACATAGTCTCGTGGAAGAAAATCAGTATTCTCATGCATTCTTTTGTGACGTCGCTGATAGAAAAAAAGTGTACAAGATTTTTAAAAACCAATCACGAAAACCCTGCTCCCCCCCTTTTTTTTACCTTTTCTTTCAAATTATAAAATGTCAAATATCATTCAATACATTGAAGAAACCAAACTCCCATTGAATTCGCTCGAGTTGGCCGAGCATTTTGATACTCAAGACCCATTTAGTTCATTCCGTAACGAATTTGCTATTCCTCCTCGCAAAGAAGTCTCTGGCGATAAACCCATCATTGGTAATAATTCCCCTCTCTTTATAAAAAAACAATATGTTCACCTATTCTTATGTCAGAAAACCAAGAAGATCTAGAGAAACCTTGTACTTATCTCTGTGGCAATTCTTTGGGATTAATGCCTAAACGCGCTCGTGTATTAATCAATGAAGAACTCGATGCATGGAGCAGAAGGTAATAAAATTCAATTTCTAGAAGATAATTAAATAGCCCACGATAGAGGTGTTGAGGGCCATTGGAACCATCCTTACAATAGACCTTGGGCAACCATTGATGAAACAGTAAAAGAGCACCTTGCAAACATGGTTGGTATGTAGTTTCGGATATCAGGACATAAGAACACAAAACGAATAAATTTTATTAGGTGCCAAGCCAGTGGAAGTGACTTCCATGAATACATTGACTGCCAATTTGCATACTATGCTTGTTACTTTTTATCGCCCAACAGCATCTCGTTTCAAGATTCTGATCGAGAAAAAGGCCTTTCCCTCAGATCATGTAAGTAAGCTAACCAGTCAAGATCAATTTCTCACGATTTTATTAAAAGTATGCTGTAACTTCGCATCTTCAATCACGCGGCATTGACCCTGAGGTCGGGCTTTTAACTATTGCACCTCGCTCAGGAGAACATATATTGCGTACCGAGGACATCATTCAACTGATTCAGGATGACAAGGAAATTGCTGTGGTCATGTTGGCTGGTATTCAATACTACACAGGCCAATTTTTTGAAATCGAGAAGATCACTAAAGCAGGACATGATGCTGTAAGGGACTCTTTTTTCTTTTTATATATATATATATATATTATATGATTTATTTATTTATATGTGTTAGGGTTGTATTGTCGGTTGGGATCTTGCTCATGCTGTGGGTAATGTTCCTCTTCAGTTACATGATTGGAATGTTGACTTTGCTTGTTGGTGTTCTTACAAGTACTTGAATTCCGGTGCAGGTGGGATTGCTGGCTTATTCATCCATGAGAAATACAAGAGTGATGTTTCTAGACCAAGGTAAGCTGTTATAGTTTCTGAAACACTTACACATCCAACTAGACTTGCCGGTTGGTGGGGACATCAAAAAGAAAACCGTTTTGAAATGCTTCCCGAATTTGTGCCTAGTGAAGGTGCTTCAGGTTATCAAGTAAGTAACCCTAGTATCTTTACCACTGTTTCTTTGTTGGGATCCCTTCAAATCTTCGAAGCTGCTGGTGGTATTCAAGCCTTGCGTCAGAAATCGCTCTTATTGACAGGCTATCTTGAAAAGCTCTTGTTGAATGAGCTTCAAACTGAATTTGAAAATGATACAATCCGAATCTTGACACCCAGTGACCCTACACAGAGAGGATGTCAGCTGTCGTTGGAATTTCCGGAGTGTATGATGGATGTCTTTGATGCTCTCCATGAGCGTGGCGTCATTGTGGACGAACGTAAGCCTACTGTCATCCGTGTAGCTCCTACTCCTCTTTACAATACTTTTAAAGATGTTTATTGTTTTGTTATGCAACTTAAAGAGGCAATGAAACAAGTCTATCATTAAATTATTATTTATTTTTTTATTGTTTTTTATTATGATTAAATTGGTAAGTAAGTAAGTGTAATATATGATACAATGGAAAAAAAATTGTTTTTTGTTAAAATATATATTTAAGGGATAATTCATATAAAAGCTAGCTAGTATTATAATAGACATTAGGCATACTTTATCGTTTGCGTTTCTTTAAGAATTCGTCAGATTCTGTTCTACTGGTAGAAGTTGAAGGATGGTGAGGATAAGCATAATTTTGATGAAACCCTAAGGGCGGAAGATCTCTGCTTGTATCTAACTTTGGTTCAGCTGTGTTTGCAGAAAAAGTAGAAGCAGACAAGTTTCGAATTGAAGGTAAACGATTGTTCTGTAATGATGGAGAGAGTGGAGGAGGCGTTGTCTGTATTCTAGGCGGAGAACTGACCGAGGAAGAGGATGATTGTACTGAGTCTCTACTTAAGAAATGGCTGACTAAAGGATGTTCTGCATCACTCAGGTGTTGTGCTTTAATAATTGTGCGCAACATGTCTTCAATTGTCTTTAGTCGTTCTTCTATAGCATCTAGAGCTTGTTTGCTAGGTGCGTTACGTCTATCGTCTGTTGTAGAAGCAGAAGGGTAGATACATGGTACACCTGACTTTTCACAGTTGCGACATGGGTGCTCACCATTACACTTTGTCTTTTTGCGACGACACTCTCCACATGCACTCACTATCTTGGCTCGCTTTCTACGTGGTTCTGTTGTGTTTTCTTCAAGTGGCATAATAAATAAAAGAAGAAAGGAGAAAATAAAAAGAAAAGAAAAAAATATAAGAATGTGATCAAATGTATATATATAGGCAACAAGACACCCTCTATATTAAGTAATAAGCGAATGGCTTAATTGAGATATGATTGGATGGACGCCTCTTGGCTGGTGGAATATATATATATATATACGAATCTAGCAGCGGGTTTTCAAAGAAGGGAACTATTTTTATACTCAACAAAAAAATAAAAAAGCTACAGAAAAGGAAACTATAAGGGCTTATTAAGTAAATACAATCCAATCATTGCTTGTATTTACTTGATTTAAAAGACATGATCTACATAAAAAGACATATCTTACGGTATTGTTCCCTTTGGACTATGTCTGATTAAGTCATGGTGATTTACAATGATAATGTTCTTCATGATTTTGGCAGCAATTGAAATACCGATAGACAATCGTAGTTGGTAATCAACACTAGCCTTCTTTGAAGTGAAATCCTTAAACTTCTTAAACATTCCAAATGTCCGAGTTTACTGTTTGTTTTAAATATTTGCTGCTAAAGCTACAATGGGTGCATTTTTGATACCCATTTGGCATCAACTAACTCCATAGTTTTTCTAATACGTTTGATAATGTAAAATACATAGATCAAAACAACGGCTTTATATGCACATCAAATGCCAGTATGTCAAGTGTATTTACTAAGGTGATACGTAACTTCTTATCTGTTCCTCGGCATTGTGTTGCTATAGGAATGAACTCGGATGTCTAACAAAAAAAGGAGGGGGGGGATAATACCTTCTTTTGCCAAGACGTCAAGTTTTATTTTTACACCATTGGTCACATGATCAAATATCAATATTTTTTTTCCTGCATAACGTAAAAAAAAAGAGGCTTTAACCACATTTATCCTTTATTTTGAACATGAAAGAAGACATAAGCCTTCACGCTCTTGTGGAAGCAACATCTCATGAGCCTTTGGAGTATACTATCTATGACCACTCTTCTTTTTCAGGTCTTTATCATCCTCGTAATATCTGTGTCAATGATCCTACTGAACAGTCTTCCCGTTGGTCTTCTGGCTCACACGATCAGTCACAGTATATTACGATTCAACTTGATAAACCTACAGTTGCATGTAAATAAACACATTCTTATATGCTTCATGATTGACTTTGTATTTTAGGCGAGATATTGTTTGGAAAATTTCATCGAAGTAAACTACTCGAATAACAAAGCCATGGTTGATTGACTTGGTGAATAGGCCATGTATGTAACCTGAAAGAATTCAAGATCTACGGCGGTCTATCTCCCGACACAATGCATGAACTATTGCACAAAGGCAAGTCATTCTTTCTATTTCGACATCAACTAAACAAGACTAGGTTTAGTGGATGATAATAAAGCAGAGATCTTTCCTCTTCGATATATATATCAAGATGTGGTATATGACTACTTATTTCTCTTTCTTTGTGCTAATCTTCTAGATCTTTCCTATACAATACATTAAAATCATACCCTTGGCTACATTTGGTGCCAATTTCAACTATAGTATTTGGTATGTGGAAATTAGAGGTATTCGAGATGATGCATTGATGGAAAAAGTATATGAAGCCTATGATAAAGTAAGTCTTGCCTCAAGATCTCTACTAATATTTGAACAAGTATAAAGAAATGGAAGCCATTCGATTATGTCTCAAGTATTTTAGACAAAAGAATATGTTGGATGTGTATTCTGTATTACAACAAAAAGTCAAATTAGATCTAGAGCACCCTCTTGTCAGTGAATTACATGATACACTTGTCTCTAAAGGAGATTTTAAATCAGCAGAAGAAATTATTATCAAGGCAGATAAACAGCATGTATTTCAGTCCTATGTAAAAGAAGCAAAATACTTGCCTACTTGGCAGTCCATTACTGCATTTAATGATGGTCTGTTGTTACTTGTTCTATGTTGGGATAACTGACAGTATGTTAGATGGAGATGCACCCTGCGCTCGAGGAGGACATCAGATCTGTATGGATCCAGATAAAGAGCGTATCTACTTGTTTGGTGGATGGGATGGTAAACAAGAATTATCTGATTTTTGGTGTTATCATATCAAAGATAATCGATGGAAATTGATCAGTCCAGATACTTCTCTGTAAGTGACTTTTATACTTTATAAGACTGACTTAATCATATCTACAAGGCAAGGTGGTCCCTCAGCTCGTTCATGCCATGGTATTTGCTTTGATCCGGTTCGAAAGTCAATTTATGTGATTGGAAGATACATTGAAGCATGTCCTCTCAGTATTTCTACTGTATCAGAAGGACCTCTAAAAGGATTTGAATCTGATTTCTATCAATACTTTATTGAACTGGACCGTTGGATAAAAATCAGTGAGAATACATTGGTAAGTGCTTGATATAAATGTAAGCTTACCTTATCTACTAGCTGGACGGTGGTCCTGCTTTGTTGTGTGATCATCAAATGTGTGTTGATCCTGTCACAAAAACATTGTATGTGATTGGAGGACGTATTGTGGCACCTGAATCTATAGCACATCCTTACAGTGGATTTTATGCTTATGATATGGACGAATGTCTTTGGCGTGTGATTAGGTAACATAGATTGGGATGAAAAAGTGCATTAAAACGATGGTTAGACATGAAGAACGTACCACATCATCTGCCTGGTTAGACATGGACCATCTTGTGCCTGTTGGACGTCGTCACTCAAGCAATGGATCGTATGTTCCTTCACCCACTATATCCCGAGTATTCAAATCTCGAGCAGGTCATTCTGTCTTGATGGACACGATTCATCGCTGTCTCTATATCTTTGGTGGACAGCGAGGCAAAGAATTCTTGGTTGACTTGTATTGTTATGACCTTGAGAAAGAAACACTGGTTGAAATCACGCATGATTTTCAAAAGCTGTTTGGATCCGATGCAGGCTATACACAGCGCGCTACAATTCACCCTGAACGACAAGAGATCCATGTCTATTCAGGCTATTTACAGACAAAACCCACGCATGTGGTTCGTCATTGTCTTTGGGTCTATAGTATCAAGCAAAATCATTGGGAAAAGGTCTATGAAAGTGATTCCCAAGATTATTGGCAACGTCAGAAACATATAGAACCTCAACCAAGATATGCACACCAATTTGTCTACCATTCCAGCTCAAATACGCATTTCATATTTGCTGGTCATCCAGGTGATGCCACACAACCTGAACTGCGTCTCAATGACTTTTGGAAGCTTAGACTAGCAAAGTAAGCAACTTGATATCATATCAACAACTCATGTTTCCATTAGGCCAGATTCAGCTCAAGTCGTCCATCGATGTCTGTATCTACTGAGGACAAGAAAGCTTAGGGAACTATGTTTAGAAGATAATCAGGAGATAGGGACTATCTTGGACTATTTAAGACGCTATGTATCTCCTATTGTCAATTATGAGGATAAGGAAGAAGTAGCTCAATTCAAGAGTCTATGTGCTGATGTATGTCTATCTGTTGAGACAAAGCAAGATAAATCAATACAAGGTAAGTTGATAGATGAGTTATGATAGACTCATGTTATCATAGATACTTGTTTTGCAGAACGAACAAACGTATTTCAGGCCTTATTGACCTTTTTCCCAGCCCATATGAAAGAACCTGAGAGTAGCTTAATGGACGCAGTCAAAATTGCTTAAACCATGATAAACATAATGATTCATGAATGATGCTATCTGATATATATATATATATGTATTTATCCAATAGGTCTATATAAACTATAACCCTTTCTTGTGTGTGTGTGTGTGTGTGTGTGTTTTTTTTTTACAATGGTTGTTACAAACAGAAATAAAGAAGTAGTTCAATTCATCTATGGTTGTTATATTTGTGATCATATATTTAGGGATGCCAAACGATTGATTGATCATGTTCAACGTATTCATGGCTATGTTCTTCCTACTCGCTCGGTTGGTCGTAGACGCCCTGCTCATCCAGACTATGAATATCAAAATGATCCTAATGGTGAACATGATTGTGAGCATTATTCATGTCCTTCTTGTTGGTTTCATACACCTGCTAATAGAGAAGGATTGGATGATCTAGCAGAACATGTCAAAGAAGCCCATCATCCTACCAATATCAGTCAAGACAATGAAGAAGAAAATGAAGAAAGCGAAGAAGAAGAAGAAACAACAGCTCAAAGAACAAGAAGACCAAGTTCTGGTTCTACTCAATCAAATCCTAGTGAGACACCAACTCATCAAGAGGACCTTGGTAGTATTCTTCAAAAACTAACTGAAGTAACAGAACTCTTCAAGCATCTTATGAGATAATTTTTTCTTTGCATAATAAAAAAAAAAATCTTTTTTTTCTTTCTTTCTTTCTTAAAATGCCTACACTCAAGATCATCGACGATCAAGACAAAGCACTTGAACCTGTAAACCAAACTTTATGTGAAATGTAATGTTCTATCTTTCTCTTCATGATAATGACACTTCCTTCTTTAAATGTAGCTGTCAAAAACAATTTTCAAATTATGTCTGTCCTCGTTGTAACTTGAGATACTGTTCACTGACTTGTTATAAAGATCTAAAGCATGCTGACTGTACAGAGTCATTCTATCGAGAAAGTGTCACTGCCGAGATTCAAACCCGGGAACTCGACAAAAACGACAAGAACAAGATGCTCGCTATGTTACAACGTCTCGAACAAGAGAACCAAGCCCTCGATCTAGACGATGATGACCACTACGAGTCCATGCTTGATCGGTTCAGTCAGATTGATATTGAACACACAGATGCCAATGTGATTTGGGACCTCTTGTCTGATCAAGAACGAAAAGAATTTGAACACGTCTTGCACAATGTAGAAAAGACAGGTGATTGGCACGCTTGGCATCTCCCATCCTATTCTCCCTGGTGGGAGGCCTCATCCCTTATTCAAGAACAAGACCAATCGATACCTGGACCTGTATTGCCTGCATCTTTACCTGATTTCACTCGACTCACGCAACCTGCAACACGATCCAGTCCACATATTGTCTGGAATGGACTCAGTATTTTAGCCACGTATAGTTATTTAATGCGCCATGCCATGGGCGACTTATTGGAAGATACACGCGATACCCTATGTCTATGTGAAGTACTCTCAGCGAACGTACTGTTTTCCAATGCAGCCACATGTCCCTATGAGGGTGTAGAGGATGTGGTGGGTGATGTAGTAGCACGTATCATCGATTGGGAAGACAAAGCAACCACTCGACCCTCATTCAACCACATAAGACGATACGATTTAAAACTATTGTTGTTGCATGATTTGGAAGTACTTCAGAAAGAATCCAAGCGAGCCATATTTGATTTCTGGCACACCATGGACTGTATCAGCAAACAGACAAGAAAGAAAAAGGTTGTGTTAGCCACAAAAAAGCTTTATTTCTATTTTGCAGCAGCATGTTATTTAGATAAGCAAGACATGGTTCAATTAGCCATCCAACATGAGACCCAAAAGATAGAAAAAGAAAAACAAGCGTTTCAAAGAGACTTTGAGGCTGCTAAAGAGGCCATGAAGCAATATCAAAAATCAAATTCAACCAAAATACAAATATTAGATTAAAGTCTAGATATGTTTGTCTTTTCCTTATGGACCCTTTTGATGGTCTTCAAGATATGTGGCACTAAAAAAAGAAAAGAAAAATGAGTTGAGTCATGTATACAAAGCATATTTGTTTACCAATAATATCGGGTGTTTCGTTAGGAGCCATATGAGTGCCTTCAACAAACTCGAGTGTGATTCTATCCTTGTTGAGATTGATGACACTAGCGGCATCTTGACGACGCACACTTGTATATTTTGATGAGATGGATTACGATAAAGAACAACTTACAAACTAGATCCCAAAGCATAAACAAAGTGAATAGGCACTTTAATCAAAGCAAGTGATCTACGTGCTGTGTTGGTATCATAAGTAGCGTATCTAAATACATGCTAATAAACTATCAATATACATATGCATATATCTTCCTAACTAGACTGTACTTTACATATTCTTGTTCTCTAGGACACTTGAGTTTTACAGTGCCTTGTTCAGTGTCATACATGCCATATTCCTTATTACAGTTAGATATAGTCATAGACAGAGGATACTTACCACATAAAGATCAAGTACTTCAGGATGTAACAACTGAAAGAACTTCTTGGTCAATAAAGATGCACGACATGCTTCTCTTGTTGGCCATTCATCACGGCGTCTTAAGGAAGCAAGCACAGGCACTTGACTTGCCAATTTAGCATCTAAAAAAATATTCGACATCACAGGCTCAATCACACATAATCCATCAAACGTGTTGGGGAAAAAGAATTCGCAAAGAATAGCACTACTCGCACCAAACGAATGACCCACTAAAATAAGCAAATGGTCCTTTAGTTTCAATTGATCCACCACTTGCTTGGTATCCATGGCATTATCAAACCAACGATCTAAATAAGGTCAGTCAAATAAATGTCTGTGCGTTCGTTGACTTACATGAGTTCAAAAAAGTGCCTTGATTCAGTCTGGCTGAGTCTCCATGGTTACGAGCATCCCAAGAGACGAGCAAAAGATCAGTTTGGTCATAGGCCTTGATGGTTCTGAGACTGTCAACCAACCGCTTCATAAGGGGATGAAGGGATTCTTTATGGAAGCCGTTGGAATGAGAAAACATAAAGACCATCTTGTTGGTACTGTTAGTACCCGGAAAGGAGTGCGTATCAACCACTAACTTCTGAACATCATAACCATCTGTAGAAGGATGAACTGGAATGATGTGCGTAGAAGAAGGAACAAGGTACATGGAAGAAAAAGCAAATAAAAATGTGGGGCAAAGAAAAATACTCAATGCATTTTATACGTCTGTGGGATTTTGGATCAATAAGCAAATGTGAAAAAATAACGGGAAAAATCCTTTATCCGCTTATGACAAATACAAAAAAGCAAGGGAAAAGACTTGTATCAACCTTTATTTATTCTCCTAAAAAAAAAAAGGGGGGAGGGAGAGAGAGAGAAGAGGAAGATTTCGCGTCGCGTTCGTGTCCAATCAAATGTCTATTCTGTCGCGTACAATGATATCTGCTTCTTTCTTTTTTTTTTTTTTTTTATTTATTCAACATGTCAACTCAAAAAGGAAAGAGAAATAGAATGGATCTAGACGATAGTTATGAGCCAGAAGCAGAGTCTTCTCAGAGAGTCAAGACTATGTCTTCTTCTACTGATTGGGAAAACGAAGTACAGTTTTATGCCTTAACAACAATCTACTCATTTATAGCGTAGGAAACACAACGTAAAGTCAAAGATGTCGTCCGTTACTGCTTGTCATGTGAATACAAACGCAAAACAATCAAGCGTGAAGATCTACAGAAGCGTAACGTTCAATCAACCTCATCTGTCATCTCATAGTCGTTTAGATCTCAATGCCAAAGGTTATATGTATAATCTTGTGATTGACAAAGCCAAAACCAAACTAAGGAATGTCTTTGGCTTTGATTTGGTTGAATTGCCTTCGATTAGAGACAAACAGAATCAGTCCAAGACACAACAACAGAAAAGTAAGATTCCCCTATCGTCATTCCGTTGTTAATGTCTTAGGCACTCAAGCACAAACAACAGACACGCAAACACAAGGAAGGGGCCCTTCTACAGGCGCTTATGTGTTAGTATCCTCACTCAAGGAAGTCTATAGTACAGCCGATATCATTACTCGTACTCCAGAAGAATATCAATACACCGGTATTTTATATACGATCCTGGGCCTCATCTTTCTTAATGCCAATGAAATTTCCAGCCGTAAGTCATACTGTAATAACAATACGAATGCTCAACATGACTGGATAGCTGAATTATACGCTCATTTGGATCGTATGAAGATTCGTAAGCATGGATCAGATCAACTTGAGGACCGAGACAAAATCCTAGACTATTTCATCAAATTAAATTATCTTAGAAAAACCAAAAAACCTGATACAGAAGGCGAAGATTTAGAATTCATCTTTACAGCAGGAGCACGCGCCAAAGTTGAATTGCCTACAGCCAGTCTTGTTCATTTCATGTGCAGTGTAAGCCAATCCGTATTCATTATCATCTTAACATGATCTAGTTTTACAATGGCTCTGAAGAAGAAAAACAAGCACTTGCTCGTAAAATGTATTTGCAAGCAGGTTTTAGTGATAGTGTAGGTCGTTAATTCATAAAATAGACACGCAATGCATCTGCTTCTTCTTTCATTTCTTGTTCTGTACGTGGTTTTCGTCCTTCATTATCGACTTTTGAATCTAGGGCATGATAGATGTCATCATTATTAGCCCAATCTCCCTTTTTACGTGGAATGATATGCATATGTACATGAGGTACCTGTATGCTTATTAGATATATATATATGTATATAGAGAGAGAGAAAAGCATGTTCTACTTGCCGTTTGACCTGCTTGAGGACCATCTTGTATGGTCAATGTAAGAGAAGTACCTTGATAGTGCTTTTCTACTACATTGCCAATAGACTGTGCTGACATCATGAGATCGACTGTTTCTTCAACATCTAAATCAGCTAAACGAGCAGCAACACGCCTAGGAATCACAAGGACATCTATCATGTTAAGGAATAGACATAGACACTATGAACCTATGCGCATATATATATATATATTTAAAAAAGGATACGACCCCTATTTTTTTTATTTTTAATGGTATGTTCTGTTCATCCCTTGACTTACGGTGCAATAGGTTTCAGGTTGACAATTCCCAAAGCTAACTTAGACTTGAAGAATATCTGAGATTCGTGAATGATGTGTGGACCAAACCTATACACCGTCATAAATAAGAGAGAGAAAGAGAAAGAAAGCTGTGACTAATAAAATTTCTTTTTTATTTTTATTTTTTTTTTTCTTTCAATCATGACACGATTCAACGGTTGCATTGATCTTCATCACGGCAAAGTGAAGCAAATTGTAGGTGGTTCTTTATCTGACAGTTCCCCTGAACAATTGACTACCAACTTTGTATCCGAGTAAGAAGGGTTCGTCCATGATGATGGTCAATAACACTCTATAGAGAGTCCCCTGGTTTTTATGCTCGTCTCTACAAGCAACACAATGTGTCACGCTGCCATGTTATCAAGCTTGGTCCTAATAATGATGAAGCAGCAAAAGAAGCATTAGCTGCATGGCCTCAAGGTCTTCAAGTAGGTGGAGGTATTACATTAGAGAATGCGCAAACATGGCTTTCTCTTGGTGCTTCCAAAGTAATATTGATAAAAAAAAAAAAAAAAAGTTTTGTGGCATTTGGACTGATGCTCATACTCTAGGTGATTGTGACAAGCTATTTATTTCCTGATGCCAAATTTTCGTTAGATCGGTTAGTTCAACTCTCTCAGTTGGTGGGTAAAGACAAGCTTGTGGTAGATGTCAGTTGTCGTAAAAAGCAAGATCAATGGGTTGTTGCAATGGATAAATGGCAAACCATGACAGATATGCAGGTCAACAAAGGTATAAAAAAAAAAAAATTGAGTTCCATGTTACTGATGATGACTAGCTACTTTGGATATGTTGAGTGAATACTGTAGTGAATTCTTGATTCATGCAGCTGATGTAGAAGGTCTTTGTAATGGCATTGATCAAGCATTAGTTGAACGCAAGTAAGATGGTTTTATATAACATGTCCTTATGTCTATCATAGGTCTTGGTGAATGGGTTACTATTCCAACAACATATGCTGGTGGAGGAAGATGTAACGATAAAATCTATTAAATAAGTGACTTATTTGTTATAGCATTAGAAGATTTAGCATTAGTGGATAAACTCTCTAAAGGCAAAGTAGATTTGACATTTGGAAGGTAAATCCCATGGCTTCATATGGAATGGAATAACTCAATAGCATGTAGTGCTTTGGATATCTTTGGTGGTCAAGGCGTCACTTTTGATGCCTGTGTAGAATGGAATATGCATCATCCATAAAATAAAATAAAAAATAATTCCCGCTTTTTTTCTTTTATTTTTTAAATGACTACAAATATCAAACGAAATATTCCTAAAGATGAATGGGAACAACGGTTATCCAAAGTCAAAGTAAACAAACAGTAAGTGAGATAGACGACATACTTTCTTGAGACATACTTTTTATTATAGAGACTTAAATCAACTGGTCATGAACTATCTTGTGGTAGAAGGATATAAAGATGCAGCAGAGCAGTTTAGTACAGAAAGTGGATTAGCACCTACAGTAGACTTGCAATCTATTCAAGAACGAATGGATATTCGTCATGCTGTTCAATCGGGTGATGTAGACACAGCTATTGACCTTGTGAATGACCTCAATCCAGAAGTAAGAAAAATAAGAGTTGAATGATTCATAGACGCGTGATTAGATTCTAGATACAAATCCATTACTGTTTTTTCATTTACAACAACAACGCTTGATTGAACTGATCCGCAGTGGTTCATTTCAAGAAGCGCTTGAATTTGCTTCTGAAGAAATGGCACCCCGGGGAGAAGAACATCCAGAGTTTCTGGAAGAATTGGAACGTACTATGGCTTTATTAGCCTTCCAAAATGCTTCAGATTCACCTGTTCAAGACTTGCTTCATCCTGGCCAAAGACAAAAGACAGCCAGTGAATTGAATGCAGCTATTTTGATGAGTCAATCTCAAGAAAAAGACCCTAAATTACCCAACCTGTTGAAAATGTTGGCTTGGAGTCAAGAACAATTAGATGAGCGTATGACTTATCCTCGTATTGAAGATTGGGTCAAGGCAGACTTAGTTGTAAGAGATGAAGATGGAAATCAATTGGAAGAAGATGTAACCATGTCTTGATATAAAAAAAAAATCGATCTACTGCTTCTCAGAATCATCCTATCTACATTCACTTGCGGCGTTTAAATACTGTAAAGAATATAAAGTTTAAACCTTAAAAACCGATCATTTGAAAGCTTCTTCTTTTTTCTCGCTTTCTCTTTTTCTCTTTTTCATCTTATTTATTCAAGAGATGGTGTGTTTCTGGGCTTTATTGTCAACTGAATTAGAGTTTATATACACATCGTATTATTCACTCGATAGACATTCTTTATGGGATTTCATTCATCCTGAAGAAGTCTTGTTAGCCAAGAGAGATCTTGTTCGCTTTATTCAAACCAATCAGTCCAATGGATCTGTTACAAGGTAAGCTTGTTTCTTTTTACCCGAGAACTAAAAAAAAAAAAAAAATGTTAATGCTCAAGATCAATTCATTTAGATGTCGATTAAAAGATTATACTAACGTAAAGAAATATATATATATACATATATATATGTATATATATCAGAATCATACGAGAAATCTTAAAAAAAAGGTCTCTTTAGAACTCCTCTTTGGATTGGATTGTTGTTGACATGACGATGTATGTAGCCACACAAGATCTTGTCTTGGCTTTCTTTCACCCTATTCAAGAAGGTAAAATAAATAAATATATATATATAGACAAATCAACACAACTTATCCTTTTACATATAGTCTCTTGCCAGGAACAGCCCAATTGCTATCATTTGAGAGAAGCATTAATACACCGTTTACATAGAAACCTGCCTTCTCCTTCTCTTTCAACATCGTCTTCTATTTCATCTAGTTCATCTCAACCTATATACCCTGATACACCATACCAATCATTATCCATCATGGATACTCGCTATCAATCCATTGTGTTATCATGGCCTGAAGAGACAGACAGAGTACTGGATGTACATCTCTCGTCTGATAAACACAATGGCTGTTCTCGCTATATTCAACCTCAAGTGCGTCTCATATCTGGTCAACGTATAGAACGTCTTGTGATTGAATATGGTACGATTGGATTTATACTGACGCGTATAGACAAGATCCAGACACACATTTCATTTGAAGAGAATAGTAACAAACAACAACAATATCAAAGGAATCATTGTCAAAGTTGTGGCACAGATTCCAGTCCAGAATGGCGTCGAGGACCCACAGGCCATAAAACGTAAGTTTATTCACATTGACATGGGATTTGCTTATTTATGTATATATATATATATAGTCTATGTAATGCTTGTGGTCTGAGATATTCTCGATCAGTTGCACGACAGGGAAAGAAACAAAAACAACATTCTTTAATTCAGAGTCAGAATACGCCACATTATCATCCTTATTAAACATGCCTTTCATATATATATATGTATATATATGCTCTCATTACATTCATTTACTATAGTATACACACTCTATTTATATGCCCAATAGGAACAAGAAGAAGAACAAGAACAAGAACATATGAATTAAGCTAATAAAGAAGCATATCGGAATGAAGGGTTCCGTTGCATTGACAGTTTATTTTTAGATATTGTTAAAATGACCAAGTTGCTAAAAAGTAAACAATCACTAAATTTGTAGAAATCATAAAAATATCATTCTATATGCTTTCTTCTGAAATGGAAAACTAGACCATTTTCTATGTTGTACCAACGATATTCCTTATTAGGTATAAATTCAAATAATATATAAAACAAGAATGGGTTTGTCTGTGTACTGTCTAAAAAAGAAAATGAAAGAGAAATAAAAATTAAAACTCCACGTCCAAGAACGCGTTTTCTATTTTATTTTATTTTCATGGAAGACAGAACAGGTACAAACCTAAATCAACAACATCAACTCATGATGCAATAGACGAACTTTCCAACAAGACATTTCGAACTCGTCAATTACCACCTCTTCATAACTTTCTTAAAGACTCACTTGTTCATAAAGAAAAACTCCTTTCTCGCATCTTGTGTCAACATTTGGATCTCAAAGACAGTGCTAGAAGCAGTCGCCATAAAAAGGACATTCGAGGTGAAATCAAAAACTTGACGATTGCTCAATTACCCTTACCGAATCTACCTACATATGATCCTGCTCTTTTACCTATTCGTGTTCGTATTGAGATCTATCTCTTTACGGATGCTGTCACTTATAAACACGAATTTGTCTTATTGCCTGCAATGCATCTACCCAAAATTGACTTGGATATCATCAATGATATAGCATTCTATCCTCTGTTGTTATTAAGAGCAGCTAGTGATGTGACAGACAGTGTGCTGTATTGGCTGGAAAATGCTTATTTGGCCCCTGCACGTCCATTTGTCTTGCCAAATACAACACTGGTGAATATTGTGCATATCTGTGTTGAGTCCTTTTATTATTTATCACAGGAAATGGAAGAACGAAAATCATTGGATCCAAAAGCAATTGTTCATGGTAATGTTATTATTCTTAAAATGTAATGCTGATGATAGTTGTGTTAGACTTGGAGGATGATACAGATCAACTCAAGCTAGAATATCAGTTACTTAATGATGATGTATCCAAAATTACACTGCTTATATCTAGGCAGCAAGTAGTAGATATTTGTCATCAATTACCAGAAAGAGCTTTGTTCTATAAAGCATTTCTAAATCATGTATGTAATACAACTTCAATCCGTGTCAGTAGCATGACCTTCTCTCAAGTGGCTTATTCTTCACTGGCAGTCAGAAGAGATGGCTGTTTCAAGGTAAAGAAAAAAAAGAGAAAATGAGAAAAGATACTTATTTATGTTTAGATTAACCCAAACGCACTTAAAGATGATGCTTTGGATCTATTACGAGAATTACTTCAAGCAGGAGAAGAACAAGCGTATGAGTTTTTATATTAAGGACCGAAATAAAAACTAGCCCCATCTTTTGTCATTCAAACTCAGTAACAAAATTATCCTGATCCAAGAGCCCCATATACTTTAATGCGTTTCAGCTCTTTGCGGATGATGTGTTTTAAGATAATGCAGTTTAGTACTTGTTAGCCTCAATTACAACTTAGTATTGGTGGGTCATATTGTGTATGAATGTAATGAGTTGAAGCCATTATGCAATTAACAAAAATACTCAACTACCTCCTTGTATTTGTGCCATTATTCTACATTGACTGGTTCATATATGTTACTCTTTTATTCTCTGTATCTCATACTCTACTTGAACTTTTTTTAATAAAATGTATAAAGAACAGACCATCATTTTAAACTCAGTTTATAAAATAAAAGTGGACTGAGTTTTCTTTTTTTTTTTTTTTTTTCTTTCATTTCTTTGAGAATGACAAAAGAGTCTAATACACCCAAGGCCATCAATATCATTAGACCCAATAGCAGTCATTATTTACTGAATACAAGCCATAGCAGTAGTACAAATGGAAGCATAACAAGTAATAACTCAACAAGACGTCCAAGTTCAGTCTTGTCGGGTACATCAAGCACATCTCATTCTCGGAAACCAAGAGTTGTTAAAGATAATATATACCAACCTCCTAGTCGGAAACCCTCTTATGACGACTACAGTAGAGTATCTACTCGACCTCCTATTGAACTCTACAAACCACCGCAGCAACATAAAAATAAGTCTATACCATCGCATGACCCTATCAAAATAGTGAGCCATAGACCACCAACTAACAAGTCGCAATACCATCGATCTGTATTAGGTGTGATTAATACACCAGCCAATCATGAAGATCAACCTATATCCTCAGAAGATAATGATGATGATGATGATGATGACCAACAGAGTGTGGTTGATTTAGATGAACTCTCAGATAAAGAACAAAATGAACAGCCAATAGAAGAGCAAGAAGAAGAAGGGGAAGACGAACCCGTGCTGAATGAAGCACGAGTTAATCGAAAAGTAAGGAAATTGGGTTATTTATTCTCCTCATTTATAGATATATACATGTATATATTATTGATTAGATTGAAGATCTTGAATTAACCGTGAAATCCTTATTGACAGTGAATGCCATGTTGGAAGCTACTGTGAGGAAACAAGCATCTCAACTGAATCAAGTTAAAAAATCAGGTCAAGTAAGCATGGATACACTATTAGAACCACCTCAAGATATAGTTGAACCAGTGATTCAAGTAAGGCGATATACATTCAATACAAGGATTGACTCTTTATGTATTAGTCGGACAGTGAAGAAGAATGGGAAAATGATGCTTTGTTTCAAAAACTAAAAAAACTGACTGAACAGCTGATTGAACAAGGACAAAAATCAGTGGATTTTGAATATAAAATATTAGGCCGAGTATTATCTAATTATGAACCATTGGATCAAGTACAAGAAGAAGAAGAAGAAGATGCAGGTAAGATCATAGTAACACTTGATCTTTGTTTTGATTCTCGACATTCAGGCACTATAGAAACAATACCCAATAATACATCGATACCACAACCACCACCACCACCACCACCTTCCACGACGACGACACGAAGAAAGCCCAAAAGAAAGTTATCCAACAAGAGTACATCTTAATATCCATTTCTAAAAGCGGTTATTTAAAAAAAAAAAAAAAAAAAAAAAAAGAAAGAAAAGACGCGCTTTGATATATACAAACAAAAATATATATATATATATATAAATATAAAAATACACGTGTCGATAAAAACGCGTCTCTTTTCTTTTTTCTTCTATTTATGAGTGATTCGAGTAAGGTATTTCATCCTTTTTTTCAACCTAAAAGGCCTGTGAAAGAGACTCCCGAGCCACTCAATACAACAACCTTAAAGAAAAACACACCAGCACCTCCTCTACCTCGATTCTTTTGTCAACCTGAATCTTCTAGAAAACTAACACCTGTCAAACAACCTACACCTCGACCTGTCTTTATTTCAGATATCGTTCAACAGAAACCCACTCGACATGCTATCAAGACAGATCATGAGTTTGCTCGATTGGATCGATCTATTTTTGGCCATGGCCATATCACAGACAAAGTATTTGAACCTTGTGCTTTACCCCATCCACCTCAAGTCGATTTAAAGCAGATCATTAACACACAAACACATGCATTCTTTGCAATGGGCAAACAACTTCGACAAGTCACACCTTGTATGGAACGCGACACTACCATGCCAACACACATACCTGATCAAGCCACACTAGAAATGACGATGGATCAGTATTTTCCTCAGTGGCGATCGTATTCTTCATGTGTTGTACTAATGCAATCCATAACTCATCAACGATCTTCTCATAAACAATGGGTAGACAAATACCGTCCAAATGATATCCATGGCTTATTAGGTGCCAGGCACAATTTTACTTATCTTAAGGATTGGTTGCATCAAATGAAAGTACAGCCATTATCTGCACCTAAATCCACTGGATCAGAACATAAAAAGAAAAAGAAAAGAAAAAAGATGAATATACGTCACTACTATGAGGAAGAAGACATGGATATCATGCGACATTTATCCCTTCGTGGACAAGATAGTGATAGTGACGATGATGATTTTGTTGTCAAGCCCAAACGACAGTTAAAAGAAGAACATATGCGATCTAATATTGTGCTGCTTGTAGGGGATCATGGTGTAGGCAAGACAGCAGCTGTCTATACAGCAGCAGAACAAATGGCCTATGAAGTATTTGAGATCAATTCAGGATCCAGAAGATCAGGCAAGGATATTGTATCCATGGTAGGGGAGATGACCAAGAGTCATCTAGTTGCCTTTGGTGCAACACCCCCTGCTTCAGTTGCCAGTTTGTTTGTGGATAAGCCTACACCTGTCAAACAAACCAAGCGAAAGAAACTGAACCCTTGTCTCTCTTCTAAAAATGGATCCAATGGCACACTGAAAGGATTCTTGCGTAAAAAAGAAGTGAAGCCGATGGCTATCCCTACAACGAAACAAAGCTTGATTTTACTAGAAGAAGTCGACTTGTTGTTTGAAGAAGATAAAGGGTTTTGGACTTCTGTGATTGAATTAGCCCAAAAGAGTAAGCGGCCTATCATCATGACTTGTAATGGCAAGTAACAGTTATCTGCTCTTTTTAACAGTGCTAATCTTGAGATAGACCTTGATCAAGTGCCGTTAGACAACCTTTCTTTACAGATAGTGTTAGACATCAAACCACCCTCAGATACTGAATTATTGCCTTATTTATGGTTGATGTGTTATCTGGAAGGATGGAGAGTAGAACCAGCAGATTTAGTGTGTTTGATGGGTCTATTGGGAAGAGATATTCGAAGATTGATTCAGACATGCGAATTATTTGCAGGACAAGAGATGTTTGGAAAATACTTGGGTATTGAACAAGGCATGAATTTGACTGACATGAAGTTGAGGTCAATACCTTCTAAAGTGTGTGTGGATACATTTCGTTTGGCTCGTTATTATCAACATGAAGAGACAACTAAAGAGGAAGAGGAAGAAGAGAGTTTAGATGTCGTGTTAGAAACATTAGAAAACCATTGTTTCATTGACACTTGGTTAAAAAGACAAGTAAGAAAGAGTGTTTGATGTACTCAAGTGTTGATACGTGGGAGTAGCATAGTGATACTGAAGAGACAGAAGATGCGGTTCGTATGAAAGAAATAGAGACAAGGACTTCTTTGCTGAATACCTTGAGACCTGTATCATCTACATGGCAGCAATTCTTATTAGATGAAGATAGCCATTGGGATGAATTATGGGATGCAAGGTAAAACATACGACATGACATACTAGGCCTTTTTTTATTGATCATAGCAGACTAAATCATATGGAGGATTATCGTGAAGCCATTGAGAAGATATTACCTTTACCTATGCCAAATGAACAATATCTCACGATGGAATATATACCCCATATTCAAAGAATGACTGTCTCTTCCACTGTAGATAAGCCACAGAGATCAACTCGATCAAAGCGTAAGCGTATGCATTTACCTTTAAGTAATGATGCTGTTGACCTATTGAATCAAAATAAGCCACCTGTAGATGAAGTAAGTACATGTACAATCAGATGAGTTCACTTATTTTCTAGACTGCCTTTTTTATTCATTATCTACAGCTATTTAAATGTTGATCACAGGAGTCAGTGTTGTCTTAAAATAAATTGATAGTTGTGGAGTCCCTTCAACGCTAATAAATTATGCAATTTCCTTTTTAACACTAATTAACACTTTTTTTCTAATCTCTATAAAGAGCTACACTCTAGACTCTTTTTTTTTTTTCTTTTTTTTTGTATTTATTGCTGAGCAACCAAGCCAATCATTGAATAGCCATATCATAAAAGTAAAAAAAAAGTAAAAAACGAAAGAAAATAACGGTTACACATCATCGACTTGTTTATTTTACTATATTTAGGTAATGAGCCTGATGAAACAGTGTCTTATAAAGCACCCACGATCATCCTGAATACATCAAGGCCCCTACTCTCTTTCTAATTTATTTCACAAAAATAATAAAAAAAAAAATTAAAGTGTCACTTTGATGGAAACCCTACATCTCAATCGATCACAGTCTACGCTGAAGTCTACTGAAGAAAGACCCAGTCTGAGCCGCATGGAGTCCCTTCGAAGAGCTTTGACCACAAGCCGCAGAAAAGAAAAGCAGAATACGATATTGCAAATATCATTACCTCTTGTCGAATCATTACACACAACACCTCCTCTCTCTCCCCCTACAGTAGGAGTGCTACCTCGTTTTATACCAGATATACCACAGCAACAAGACGCTATTGTTCGCCACATGGCTGTCCTTTATATAGAATCCTATCTAGACGATTTGGATGATGTGTTGACTTGGGTGGACATGAAAAAGTCTTCTTCTCTATGGGGAAAATTAAAGACCCATATCTTGACACCTACTTCAGACCCACCCTTTTCTTTTCCTTCTTCGCCTACAGGTGAAAAGAAGATGGGCGTCTCCTTAGGTGACTTGAGCAATCCTTCCTTGTGTCAACCGAGTATGGAGGACATCAAACCATGGAAGACTGTCTGTCCATCCATTGTGTCTTGTTTCTCTATCCATGCACGGGTGCCTGGCTTTATTAAGGATTGTGTGTTGACCATGATCCATCAAGGTACAAGTGCCTGTTTGACTATGATGATTAACCAATACGTTAGATATTCATACGGAAGGCATCTTTCGAAAGAACGGCAATATTCGTGCACTGAAAGAGATGTGCGATACTCTGGATGCTCAGCCTCATCGTGAAGATTGGAAATATTTTTTTAAAGATCAATCGATTGTACAACTCGCAGCATTTATCAAACGATTTCTAAGAGAATTACCAGAACCCTTGTTGACATACAAGCTTCATAAATTGTTTATGTTGTCTATAAAAGCGCCCACACAAACAGAGATGCTGATCATCCTTCGCTACACTATCTGTATATTACCCAAAGCCAACCGAGATACCCTTTTGATCATATTAGCCTTGTTGAACTGGGTAGCAAGACATGCTTCTCATAACAAGATGGACTATGAGAACCTTGCGACTGTCATGGCACCGAATATTCTGTATGAAACAAGAAAGCAAACATCACATGTCACTGCAGATTCACCTGTCTGTCAGGGGGAAATTTATGTGATTGCAACCATGATTGAGCACTTTGAGACACTAATGGAGGTAAATTGGCAACAATCCATCTACGGTTTACTGATTTCTGTTAGGTGCCTATTGAATATTCAGGCTTATTGGAACATCCTAAAATGCTGGACTATCTTTGTACGCATGCCATCGACCTAAATTCATCTAAACAGTTTGTGAAAATGTTCCACCAGTTACTCAAGATCAAAAAAGACATTTTAATCACCCATTCTGCTGTATTGCCTCCTTCACCTTCCATCTCTTTTGTTCATTAAATTTAGTTTATTACAAGGCATCATACTTGTTTTCACACATAGAGAACCATGCCATATGTTCTTCAGGTGCTTGTTGTTTCGCAAGTTGAACAAGTGATTTGGAATGTTCAATGTATGTCTTGACTTGTTCTTTCATGGTAAATACATCTTCGTCATAGATCTGTGAGACCAGGACATCTGTTTCGTCCACTAATATATGTGCTTTTGTATAAATATCATCTAACCACCGTGTTGAGGGCTGAGGAGATTCACGAATACAACGACGCTCTATCTTTTGCATGACAAAGACAGCCATGTCTACTAGCTTGGCACATTGTTGAGCCACCTCTAATTCTTCTGGACTTAAATCTGTAGCATCATCTTCTTCTTCATTATCGTCAAACCCTTCTGAGGCGTCTTGACCATTTGCAATAGCATGGACTTCTGTCTTGGCATCTTTCAAGATGCTCTGTAGATTTACCCAGGCGTGTAAGACGGCTTCCTTGTTATTCTTGGGTAGCGTTTCCATGGCTTTACATGTATCCCAAAGAGCAGCTGTGGAGGCCATATAAGGCATATGTTTGCGGACTTCACTGGCATTTTCTTCTGTCATAAAACTACTGCAGAGAGCAACTAGGCCTTGAAGTACTTCTCGCACCATAGATTGATAAGCGTCTTTGTACATCTTGCCAGCATGGTCGGGTATGGTATTGTAGAATCCAACAAGACGGTACAAGGTGTTACTGATTTCGCTGATCATATGGATAGCATCATCAGGTTTACGAGGTGGTTTACAAGACAAGGTGAATTTAGTTGCATTGTGAGCCAAGATCTTTCCAAGATTGGCTAATGAAATGCATGAATGATCTGTCAAAAAATTGATGGAGAGTTACCTATTGTTTCTTGAAATTGAACCGAATTAAAATCAGAATGATCTATCTCTCTCTTCTTTTTCAAGTCGTCTAAATAGACCATGCACATTTTAAAGCATGCATTTAATTTCTCTATCAAGCGAAAGGGAGTCAATATGTATGTCTTTAACAGAACATACCTTGAAAGTCTGCTTCAGTCGTCATGTTGATATCGAGAAAGACAAAAGAAAAAAAAGAAAAAGAAAAAGAAAAAATAAACAAAACCGTCACGACTTGTTGGGCCCCTGAGTGGCGCATAAAGTAGAATATCATTTTCAGCAATAAGCATTATCATGACAATAAGAACTCTTTTTTTTTTTTTTTTATTCGTTCAAAGCCTTCTTGGCAAATTGAGGCAAGACAAAAGCAGCTTTGTGAATATCAGAGTTGTAGTAACGCAAGAGCTTTTCTTCTTGTTCAGGAGTGAACTTACGAAGAGGTTCCTTGAGGTTAGCTTCAGCATCCTTGGAACACATGATGTGACCAATTTGACCACTGGGATAAGTGGGGATACAGGTGTAAGCATATTCAACTTGAGGATAGAGGTTCTTACAGAAATCCTTGACCTTTCTGATAAGAGGAAGGTGAAGCCACATACATTCACCTTGAGTAGAGAAGACACCCTTTTCGGTCAAGGCGTTCTTCAAGAGTTGGAAGAAGTCAGGACCAAAGAGGGATTCAGCAGGACCATCAGGATCAGAAGAGTCAGTGATGATGACATCGTATTGGTTGAACTTGTCCTTCAAGAATTCGAAACCATCACCAATGTGAAGAGTGACCTTGGGGTGTTCGAAACCAATGGACATGTTGGGAAGGTACTTCTTGGACACACGAGGAACAGCTTCATCAATGTCAACAAGAGTAGCTTCTTCAACACATTCGTGCTTGACAACTTCACGGAGGACACCACCGTCACCACCACCAATGACGAGAACCTACCCTCAAAAAAAAAATCAATCATTTATTCCATTCAACATGTCGAATATGCAAATGTGTTATTACCTTCTTGGGGCAAGGATGAGAGTTCATGGCAAGGTGGGTGATCATTTCTTGATAACTAACCATGGGGAGTTAGGCCATGTCTTTGTTTCTATGGTTTGACTTACGAGAATTCATCACGTTCAGTGGCTTGAATAACACCATCAAGAACCAAGACATTACCATAGTTGGCAGATTGGAAGACAAGAACGTCTTGGAATTGAGACTTTTCAACGTGAAGGATTTCTTCAACCTTGAGAGACATGGCTATTCAAATGAATAAACTAGATAGACTATATGCGTCTTACCTTGACCAGGCCATTGGTTGTTCTTTTCCATGAACCAACCGTCGTTAATGAGAGGGTGAGTGAGAGGTGCTGCCATTTTTATGATCTAGAAGAGTAAGAAATCTTTTTTGATTTTGGGTTGCTTGGTTTTATATGAAAAAAAAACTTTTTCTAAAGAGTTGTGACTTGTAATTTTTCAATCCAAGAGAGTCTTCTTTAGCATAACATCATATGGGTTTTGTGATTTGTCGAGACTAGTGTATGTACCACTTGGTATGATCATGGCTTTACTTCAAAGTCAAGATACCCATTATTCTACAAACAAACAAACAAACAAACAAACAAACGAAAAAAATCAATCAATGAAAAGACAGCGAACCAAATACTTTTCAATGCTTATTTAAAGAAAACAACAGATTGAATCAATAGGCGATCCAAACCAAAAGCATACTTAAACATGAATCAAGCAATAGCCTCATTGCATCCAATTCAAAACAAGTCATTTTTATTTATTTACACAGGTACTTTTGCCATTGATTTATTCATTTTTCGGCCGAGTGGTTCGCAAGGTTAAGAGTAGCGATTGCCAAATAGTAGATAAGCTTGGCCTTTTATCTGGTAGCATAGAATACTAATCAAAGACTTAAGCTTTTTTTCCTCTTTTTTTTTTTTTTTTTTTTTTTCCTTACCTGAAGCTTTGGTATAGGCTTAATAGGTTCTCCATAAAGTAGGCAATTAAACACATAGGCTGAAAAATAGTGCGCACTGAGACGCTTCCAGAGCAGCATGTATTGAAAAAAGATAGCACTTAAAGGAATCGGCATATTCTATGACACATCATGAGTCATGCGCATTCCAAAACAAAGTGTCCTTACCCGCATCCATAAATAAGCGCCATGGATCGCATTCTGTTTTGATGGTATCTTGCTTGACATAGAAGAAGATCCTGCAATATCTTTCCTTCGAAGCGAATACCAGATTTGCTTTATCCTGTGAAAAATACCATGGTGTTCAAGCAGGAAGCTATCTTGACTAAAGATTTCAAATTCAAGGCCGCCTACATTGAATTATGAACAAACAACATACCCATGATATACACTCATATGTATATATATGTACCTGGTAAACGATGTGGGTCTTTCAATCGAAGCATAATAGCAAACAATGGGAAATGATTGAAAAAAGCTAAAATAGTCTCCATCACAGCTTGTAAAAAGATAACACCCACACGACTCTGAACAAAACAATGAGTGTTTCTATGCTTTATATCAATTTCACTCACCACAGCAAATGTCATGTAATAAATCAAGACCGTAGGAAACAGAAATGTCAACAGAGTAAAAAGACTGGTTCCCAAAAGCAACTGATCCAGGTCATAATCACAGGAATCAATACGGTGACGCAGAATATTCTGTTTTTTGCCTCGAAACAAGTTGAACAGTGAATTCAAGATCACCAACTGCCAGTTGAAGATACGAGCTGCGACCATATAAAAGCAGTAAATGTGCAATGTCATGAAAGCCAGCAGATCAGACGAGAGAGAAATGATCATGGTGATACCAAAGATGCCTGAAAACCCAATAAAATGGATCATTTGAGGTGTATACGGTTCAATGGTTTGTGTGCATAATGTCCATAACCGAATCAACCAGAGAAACAATTCACTCAAAAAACTACCTAGTTCATGATTTAATTTTAGACCTGCCGGTGATTCCAAAAACCATAGCATCATGGATTGAAGTGATTCCACTGTATATTCCTAAAAGGCAATCAATCACCAAAGCGTCGTTCATGGTTTTACTTACATGAAGCAACTTGTGTAAATGATGAGCTATGATCCGATGGTTCGCCATCAAAAATGATCCCATTGCTAACCCAATGATGATATCGTTAGCTACTAGCCACATACTGTTATAAAAACTAATATAATGCGCTCTTGCTTTTGCTGTATTGGCCCAGTTATGTTTTTGTAACATCATGTATTGACGAGGCCAAAAAAAGAGTTGTTGTAGTCTTAAATCAACCTGTTGACCTAGACCATAAGTGTTTTTTTTTTGTTTTTTTTTTTGACAACACCTATACTTACCAGCGGCAGATAAATCCTTGAGTGCAACACCATTCAGGACAAAGGTTGGTAGTCTGACATGTAGTAAATGAAGCGTCACTTCTGCCAAACTCAAGATGACAAACAAAGTACACATAAACACACTGACAATGACTTTTTCTGCAAGATAGCCAATTAACCCTTTTGGGCTAGTGATAATGACACGTATCAAGTATTTAGTTGCATTAGAAACTAGTTTTGTAATGTAATTTAGACTAGCATATTTTGTGATTGTCTTTTTCTTATATTCCAAAGCGAGTGTCTGTATGCCATGCTCGAGAAAATAAGAAGAGTTGATCTGGACAAGAACAAGGCTCAAATCATCACATTCTGGTCTCATGTGTCCATTCAATTGATGACTGTAATCCACAATTGTATTCAGATGTTTTTGTGTCTCTGATTGCTTTTTATCCATTGCCGTATGCATATCCATATTTTTGGAGGATATATCGAGTTCGAGTGGATCTAGTGCTAAAAATTGAAGTCGCTTTGGATTCGGTTGCTCATAAAACACGACTTCATATTGATTGCAACTTGACTCGATATGGTTGATTGTCATAGAAAGTGGTATTGGTATATAAGCATCATTTAGGCATATTGTTAACCAAGCTATGATCCTGTTTAGTTGTTAAATATAGACAAACGAGTGTCTTGTTACCTTGATCATTTAAAGAAACAGTATTGCATTGATCCTTAATCAAAATACCAAGGATTTGAGGCGGCACATTACATACTTTATTAATGTGTGTATATTCAGCATATTCTCCTGAGAAGCAAAACTCTTTGAGTATATCTTGCAACTCTTTTAGCTAACTTATTTAGTCTACAGTTAAAGGAGTCTAAACTACCTCAATACCAGACACAACAGAAGCAACACATATCACTTTTTCTTTATTATGCCATCCTATCAAAAATCCTTGTTTCGCTTTAGGAGAACAAAGGTGAGAAGGCCAAAATAGCTTTATGACCATTGATGAAAGTAAAAAAGAAAGCAAAGAGAATAAACAGCGTGTGTTTGTCATTCAAAGTCACGTTTGGCATGAAGATTCAGGGACAGCGCATCCACCTTGTTATAAAACTCTTTTCTTTTTTTTTTTTTTTATACTATGCTTGCTCGATGTCAGCACATATTTGCCTTCTCAAGAATCAATTGGTATACGCTTGCTATAGGCATTTTAAAAGATCATAAACGCAATTATTCTTATGGTCATGTATCCACCTCGTCACCTTTAATAAAGACGACTTCGGTCGAGATAAACCCAGTCTCACATATACTCAAACCAAAGAAAAAGATGATTCGTTGTTCAGGCTTCAAGAAATACGATGGACAACGCTGTAAAAGAAAAGTCAAGACAACATTAGATACTGTTTATTGTTTTGACCATCATCCTATTCAACCCACAAAAAAAAAAAAGAAAGGACAGTTTTCAGCTGATATTATAGAATTACCAATGTACACAAAAAAGTCAGTAGATGAAGGAAACAAGCTATATGATTGTTGGGACTGTAAGTGACAAGTTCATATGCCTTGTTATTGAATACTGTCTATAGTATGGATCAAGCCGTATATTAAGAAGGAATCAAGACAATTGATTCGCCGAGAAATGAAACGTCCTTTAACAAAGACAGACAAACCAGGTTACATTTATGCTTATTCGTTCGAGAATGGACCTCTTGCTTCAACAGACGCATTTGCTTATTTCAAGATTGGAAGAACAGCAGACCCTCATCGACGCATGTATCAAGTAGCCCATTTGTGCAACCATATGCCTAAAATCATTGAATTATTTCCTAGCTTTCCTCTAGTGACAGACAGACCTTACATGTCCACCAACTTGGAGACGCTAGATCGGAAAATACAGCAATTACCCAAATGTCCAGCAACACACCGAGTAGAACGATTGATCTTGCTTGAATTGTCGTCCTTGTATGAGAAGGCAGATGTCAAATGCTCTGCTTGTGGACAACTACATCGAGAATGGATACGTGTCGAAAGAACAAGATATGCTGATGGTACACTCATGACAGATCAAGAATTATGGACTTCCAACATAAAACCAGTAGTTTTGCGTTGGATTCAGTATGGTGTTCTTGCTTCAGCTATCAACAAAGAGAATTTTATTTACAAGTAGAATAAATATTAAGCAGTCTCGGTAGAAATGGTATTGTCACCATTCGAATTACCATCTAGACTTTGAGTTGTTGTGATAAGGCCAGCCAATCGATATTTGAGTTCTTGCCACATCAGAGCAAGTTCTTTATTGACGCCACCTAGTACAGATGAATTTTCTTGAGCGCGACGTAGTAGATAAGGAATGACCTGATCTATCCTACCATAAGGCAAGTATTTGTACACCGAGTAGCCATTTTTGCCTAGCGTGTAAGTGATTTGATCTTGCATACCAAACAATTGACCAAAGTGGACAACACCAGATCCAGGTGAAACGTGGTGCTGTTCCATTTCCTCTACGGTCAAAATGGTGGATTCTCTATTATGACTAGCAACCATGAAAACGACAGGAGCAGTGGAGGCAGTCAAAGGTTGACCCGCTGTCTCTTGATAGTGTTGCAATCTACCGAGTAAGAATCGGATACCATTGTTATAAGAATGATGTGTGTCTTCAATCGTATTGTGAATAGGAGATTCATAGTTCAATTGCTCTGCACGCTAATAGATGCATGTAAGTTCGTTTTTGTTTTTGATTTTGTTTTTGTTTTCTTACTTTGCGTTCTGAGATCATATAAGCACCACGCACAAGTTTAACAGCAAAAGCAAAATTGCCTCGCTCAGCCCTTTCAAAATCACGCTCTAGTTTCTTTTGAGCTGCTTTTGTATACATTTGATCTAAGAGAAAATAAACAAGTCTAAGAGCAAGAACAAACACACACATCAAACCTACAAGTATTATAAACAGTGGGAGAATGATCCATATCGTCTCGACGGTTATATTTCTCTTGAAGGTTCATCGCTACATGATCAATGGCTTCTTGAAAATAAGATTGTTCGGCATCCACCATAATCCCCACACCTTTATCTTGAGCAAGTTGACATACTTGATCCAATCGATGAAGCATGCGGCCATAAGCATGTAGATCCTCTAGCGTAAGATACACATCTTTTTCTGTCTTGTCACTATCTGTTTCCCACCAAACTTTATATCCCATTCCGTTCAGATTAAATAGTTTAGTATATTCAACATAGTCCAACGTGTATTTTTGATCGGTGAATCGAGACAAGATTTGGTTACGTTCTTGTTCTTGTTGTTTTGTATGAGGAGCAGGGCAAATATGAGAAGTAACATACTCAACACCATTACGACCAATACGACCGTCCACTTGATACTTTTCAAACGCCTTATCTAGAAAATACATGACCTGATTTAAGCGTAAGAGTAATTCAGGTGGAGCTAATGCAGTCAATTTAATTGCAGCAAAAGCATCATTCAATGAAGATTGAGAAGCAGTCTTGAGGCATGTCTTTATCATGTCTAAAGTGAGATCTGCATTGTGTTCTTGTTGAGCATATTTGCCAGCATTGTCTTTAGAAGGAGGAGGCAGGTCGGATTCAATGCTGAGGTCAAGAATACAGTTAATGTTGGATTGTGATAGCCGGTTCATAGTAGCCACACATTCTTCAGCTGTTTCTCCACCACAAAACTGATTAAAGAACGTATGTTTGATAAACCAATAGACAGGTGCTTGTAAATGACATGCTTCAGCCAATCGAAGAACATAAGGAGCAGTATCGGCGATCCAAGGAAAAGTGCATAACTTATAAACGAACAAGCCCAATAAGATTTCTGGAGTGGATCTGGCTTGAACAGCAACGCGATTATGCTCATCCTGTAACTGAGTAGATGTAGGGCCAATGATTGAGTGTTTTCTGTCTTGATCTGAATGCTGAAAGTAGTAATAGGCACTGGCAGCAGATACAGTAGCAATATATGAAAGTGTTCGAACAGGCATCTCATGCGTATGAGGATGATGATAGGATTTTGAATGAAAGCGACATGTCAAGGTGTAGGCATGGCGATACGAAAATGGCTTTCTAAAATACGATGTAGTTACAGTATTGAACGAATTACGGGCAATCAAATAACGTTGCATACCAATTTCTGGTAACAAATAAAAAAAAAATGGGAAGAAAGGCATAAAAAAAACCAAAGATAGCTGTCTTTTATACTTTATGCTTCAAGGGTTCATTGTTCATCCTTAAAATAGTAACTTTTTTTCGCACATAGTGAACCAATCATGTCTTCTTTGAGATTGACAAGTCAACATAGAATAGCATCATAATGACAGTTTATTACCATATCAATTTATGATTTTCTTCATTCCATTGCTGTCGTCTATGATTGTCCATCTGATTGATGGGTAAGCCATGTTCACTGGACATAGAATTGGAGTATTTCTTGTGTTTATCAGTAGAGAATAGGCTTTCTAAGTTTTGGTGTCTTGCGTATTGTTCTTGCCTTAACATTCTCATAGTTTCAAATAAGGCTGTGTCCATTTGTTCCCTTAATCGGTTATTCTTTATTT